CGTAATTGGATTAGCTTTGCTTGCCAAAAGCATGCTTTCGCGTTCGCAACCACAAGGCTGGTAGAACCCGGCGCACACAACTTCGTCCCCAGTGCTTACTTTATTTCCAACCTCGCAAATATAGTAAGCCCTGGATAGGGAAACAGTGAATGTGTGACTTTAATTCGCCGGTGTGCCGCGACGGGTTTATCCCTGCTATTCTGTGAAGTTCAGAAATCGCTAAATGCGGGGTCACCACGAGTGCATCAAACCATGGCGCATGGCCTCAAATGGAATTTCAGCTATGTTGGGATTTAAAAAGTACAGACGGAGGGTTAATTGGTTCTACCCTCAATAGGATTGAACTTTATGAAATCAAAAAAAAAAAAACAGACTGAGCCGTTGAACAAAAAAGAAGCGCAAAAAGCCACTGCAGGCTAGACTTGGTCCAATGAGACATGAACTATACCTATAGAATACGGATTGACTTTTCGGGGGAATTTAAAGGGAATATACAACATTTGCAAACATCAACAAATAAAACTACCAAGTTTTTACGAAATAAGTACTAGGATGTTGGTTAATGACAGTCTAAAGCATCCTGTAAAATTATGGCACCTGGTGTGAAGTCATTTTCAAGAAAATGGTATTTTTGTATAAATTTCCAACCAGTCCATATTTCTTGGTCTGCAACCATAACGACCTGCTGGCGTGTGGGTGGATATGCGGGTGGACAAGCATTACATTCACTGTGTGAAATTCCGAACAAAAGAGATCCACGTAAACCAGGTAGCAGCGACGCTGTGTGGACTTGCCCACGTCCACACAATGTTTCCCCCTCTCTGGAAAACAGGTTTAGAGGCATTTTGGGGTTAGGTTTATTGGTGGCAAAATGAAGAGAAACACTTAAGAGAATCATAGAAAAAACTTGGGTTGAAAGAGTTTTCACAGTTTGAGAAAAACGAGTCTTTTTCACTGTTCATTCTTAACTACACAAAAACAAAGGAATGTCTACACTAGGTATGTAAAACGAACGTGTGGGTGTGTGTGTTGAGAGCGCCCTCTGCGGTGAATCGCTGCAAAAGGTATAGTTCAATAACCCGTGCTATGCGCGCAAACATCGCACCGGGCTGCAATTTTTTTTTTCTCCCAAACGACATCCACGTATGGGTACACGCTATGGAGTTTTGGACTTAACTTTTATAAAAATATGAGGAAAAATTTTAAAATTAGTAAAAAAAAAGTGAATTTGAACGTTATGAAATTCGGACTTTATTTCCGTTTTAAGAAAATTCCTCCCAAAATATGACTTTAATTCGCCGGTGTGCGACGGGTTTATCCCTGCTATTCTGTGAAGTTCAGAAATCGCTAAATGCGGGGTCACCGTGTGCATCAAACAATGGCGCATGGCCTCAAATGGAATTTCAGCTATGTTGGGATTGAAAAAGTACAAAGACGGAGGGTTGGTTCTACCCTCAATAGGACTGAACTTTATGAAATTAAAAAAAAAACAAGACTGAGCCGTTGAACAAAAAAGAAGCGCAAAAAGCCACTGCAGGCTAGACTTGGTCCAATGAGACATGAACTATACCTATAGAACACGGATTGACGTTTGGGGGGGAATTTAAGCTTTGCATCCATTTTATAAGACTGTCAAACTTCTGTAACTTTGCGCGACTCACTCATTCACCGTGGCACACTATTTAGGCCGCCATGCTTGTTTGCGTTATCACTACCGCTGTGATTTTCAAGAAAGCGTACACTGAGAAAGGTCTATATTGCCAGTCCATATTTCTTGGTCTGCAACCATAACGACCTGCTTGCGTGTGGGTGGATATGCGGGTGAACAAGCATTACATTCAATGTTTGGAATTCCGAACAAAAGAGATCCACGTAAACCAGGTAGGAGCGACGCTGTGTGGACTTGCCCACATCCACACAGTGTTTCCCCCTCTCTGGACAACAGGTTTAGAGGCATTTTAGGGTTAGGTTTATTTGTGGCAAAATGAAGAGAAACACTTAAAGGGAATATACATCATTTGCTTTTGCTGTAATTTTCAGAAATGGATGGAATTGGGGGTTGGAAATATATAGCAAATATAGTTACACTGACTTTTTGGAGGTTTTGGGTTCGAAAATGCTATAAAAACCAAGAAAAACGATCATTTTCCTGTAGTCTGGTTCCCTGACTCCATATAAGAAGAAACAGAGCAGTTTACATACATTGGGGAATTGTAAGGTCAGGGAACCAGTCTAGCTGGCTCGTACCCGTTCATAGGTTTGTAATCGATTGCAGACAAGTGCAATGGTCAATTGGGGCCAGTATTTGAAAAAAAAGCCAGTTGTTTCCAACGCTGATCGGCCGATCAGCGTTGGAAATTGATACAAAAATACCACTTTTCTTGAAAATGACAGTATACCAGGTGCCATAATTTTACAGGATGCTTTAGACTGTCATTTACCAACATCCTATTAAGGTATTTCGCAAAAACTTGGTAGTTTTATTTTCCGATGTTTGCAATTGTGGTATATTCCCTTTAAGAGAATCATAGAAAAAACTTGGGTTGAAAGAATTTTCACAGTTTGAGAAAAACGAGTCTTTTTCACTGTTCATTCTTAACTACACGAAAACAAAAGAATGTCTACACTAGGTATGTAAAACGAACGTGTGGGTGTGTGGGGGGCGGTGTGTTGAGAGCGCCCTCTACGGTGAATCGCTGCAAAAGGTATAGTTCAATAACCCGTTCTATGCGCGCAAACATCGCACCGGGCTGCAATTTGTTTTCTTTTCCCAAACGACATCTACGTATGGGTGTACGCTATGGTGTTTTGGACTTAACTTTTATAAAAACATGAGGAAAAATTAGAAAATTAGTAAAAAAAAAAAGGTGAATTTGAACGTTATGAAATTCGGACTTTATTTCCGTTTTAAGATAATTCCTCCAAAAAAATTCGCCACCGGGCTAAGGACGTCTGGGAACCAAGACTACACTCTGAAGTTCAAGGCTGGGACCAAGTCTCACAGCGTATGCACGCAGTTCCTACTAATTATACGGGGCCAGTATGATGTGGATCTGTTTTAATGCACTCGGCAAATACCATCAATATTCTCCGCTGACTAAAGTAATTTTATTCAATCATTGGTATTTCCGCCCCAAAAAACACGGGGGAATATAGACTTCAAAGCATAATTGCCAGTTAGTCTAACCTGACTCCCCCACCCAGCCGACTGTCAATCGGAGGGACAAACTATTCCTCCCGTGGGTAATTATATATAAGGGAAATCTTGGGGGGAATTGTGCCTTTGACGATACAAGACATTTGGCACACGGTCAGAAGTATGTCTTATGAAAGATAGGCCATCGCAGATTTGTCCTTTGAGAAAATGTAGGTAGAATTACAAGCAATGATTATCAAAGTTTTCAAAATGGCTGACATTAATTGTCATTCTATACCTATATTTTTTTCAAAGGACAAATCTGCCATGACCTTATAGCCAAATATCTTTCTCATGACATACTCTGACTGTGTGCCAAATTCCATATTATCATGAAAGACACAATAATCACCTATCTGCCGCACTAGGTATACTGTAACTGGATTTATGAAACGGCGGGGTGGTCCAAATGAAACACGCATCCATTCGTGGACTCGGGTTGTATTGATTTTATCATGTGATGTGACGTGAAATAAAATGCAGGAAGAAATCAAAAGGGCAAACCCATTCAAAAAATACCATTATTCACTACTGCCGAAAGATGGCGCTATTACTGGTGCGTGATATGCTTTCGATGTACCACGTCCACAAGAACAAAACACAATAAAGTGTACATCTAGTTGTGCAGTTTCGAATGTATTTCCGCACCATCGTACATCAAAATTGTGGTCTCTTCGCTAATATTAATTGATGCAACATCTTCCATAATAATGACCGAGCACACCTATTTTGTTTTACATTTAGAAAATCGCCAGTAATTTCTATAACCTAATGTGAACACACCGTCTTGTTTAGGGTGCCTTAATTCGGATTCGCTGTTATGATGCAATAGGCTAATTCTGTTGTCACAACCTGCTACAAAAATTGAGTAGTCAGGTCATATACTCCCTTTTAAAAGTTTTATTGGAACAATTAAAACAAAAACTCAAAAGTGGTGGTTGTTTAACATGATTGGCCATGTCAGTGTGAGCCATCAGCTCAGTATGTAACAATATAATTATTTGTAATTTCTTCATAAGTAGTAAAATCACTAGCAGCACGCCAAAGTTTGTTTTCTCCTCTAATAACGTCAAAGTGTCTCATGATTGGTACAGTATATCATAAACACTGGGAAAACAATCTCCAAATAGCCCATGAAACGGGTCTTCCCCAATTAAATAAAACTACAAAAGTAAATCACATCAAAATATTAACAATACCGATCTAATAACCGAGATAAATATTAAGGGCTTAATCAGTCTGCAATCCTCTTAGCGACGACCGACACTGTGAAAAAACAGACACTATAATATCTAAAAGATTATAGCTGACCAGGGGCGGATCCAGGAATTTTCGTAGGGGGGGGGGGTTCATTAGCAAAAAAATCTGAAAATGTACACAGGTTGCTTTCCCCGGACACTTGGCCTTCGTAAAATCAAAAACTGGGTTTTTTGGGGGGTGGTAATCCTATTAATTTTGCGAGAAAATGCTATCCAATCGGATGGTTGCCCCTAAAAGTAGTCCAGTGCTCCTCGCCATTTTGAAAAGAGATGCCTGCGCTCTGTTTGGCAAAACATGGCCGGTTGTCGCAACTCATCAACAGACCGATTGCATTCAGCACCCATATTTGAGGTGTGTTTTGTTATGTTAATTCATTCACAGTGAACGGACAAGAGGTCGGGGCCCAATTTCACGGAACCCGTAACGGTTAGCGAGAAATCGCCGCTAACTATAGCGGAAAATTCCGCGCAAACGCTTAGCGTATTTCACGGGTTAGCAAGGAATTTTGGCTTGTGCGCATGCGCACTTCCCGTAACTAAGGATTCTGTGCTTACAAGGTTAGCACAGAATTTTTGTGCTAGCTCGGTTAGCACAAAATTGCGGGTCGTTAGCACAAAATTCGGCGTTACGGATTCCATGAAATTGGGCCCTGCTCGGGCGTATCCCTGTTAAGCAAAAGCACACACCTCAAAATGGATGCAGCACAAGCGACCTATATAGGGTTGCAGACTAGTAAATAAATTTCCATAGACCTCAATGATAAATGCCCCCACTTCAGAAATTCAGGAGAGTTACTTAAAACTCTCTGAGGTGTTCAATACGTACATCACATTAAAGTTTATTTCATTATCTCTCATTTTCTGTGCATATTCTGGGGGTTTACCAATGACTTTTAGGAGAAAATCCCATCCAAAGATGATCACCCCTAAAAGCAACCCTGAAGCCCATCCCCATTTTGAAAATGGACGCCTACGCCCGATTGCAAAATTGAGCCATTTTAGGGCCTAATCATCATTTCACAGAAATACGAGCTTGCAATCCTCTGCAAGGCTTCCAACCTTCTTTTTTCATCAAGTTCACGGCCTTCAAAATGCTTTAATACTGACGAATTTTAGGGCATGCAAATCGTGATGTGGCCGGCGTAGGCAATTTCGGATCGATTTACTGGCCTGCACCCATAGCCAATTGCTTTAAAATGGCATCAGTTTCCCTTATGTTTGAACAAAGAACTATATAAAGTGCATGCACGCAAGGCCCCCATTGATGTGTGCGCCCCAATCAGGCTCGCTGTTCTCCCATGAATTCCTCGGCAAGTTGCTTCCTGTCAACGTCTCCCCGTTTTGTCTTCGATAGAGGGCGGTCTTTGCATGTCTTCAGGATGTAGACGATGCCTCGCACAACGAGCATCACGCCTGTATATAACACACCCACACACACACACACCCAGACTTGTTTCACATACGTAGTGTGGACTTTCCTTTCTTTTCGTGCAGTTAAGGAACACCAGTGGAAAAACTCATTTTTCTCAAACTGTGAAAACTCTTACAACCCAATTTTTTTTCAATGATTCCCTTTAGTGTTTCTCTTCATTCTGCTACAGATAAACCTAACCCAAAAATGCCTCTAAACCTGTTTTCCAGAAATGGGGAAACACTGTGTGGACGTGGGCAAGTCCACACAACGTCGGTGCTACCTACATTATGTGGACGTCTTTTGTTCGGAAGTCCACACTGCGTATGTAAGACAAGCTCACACACGCCAACAGACCAAGTAATATGGACTGGACTTGAAATTCAAAGCTAGGCAAATAACACAAACAAACATGGCGGCCTAAATAGTGTGCCACGGTGAAGAGTGACTCTCGCAAAGTTACAGAAGTTTGACGGTCTTATAAAATGGATGCGAATAAGCTTAAATTGCCCCAAAATGTCAATCCGTATTCTATAGGTATAGTTCATGTCTCATTGGACCAAGTCTAGCCTGCAGTGGCTTTTCGCGCTTCTTTTTAATCAACGGCTCAGTCTGTTTTTTTTTTTTTTTATTTCATAAAGTTCAATCCGTTATTGAGGTTAGAACCAACCGTTGGTCTTTGCACTTTTTAAATCGTGGTGACCCCGCATAATAGCGATTTCTGAACTTCACAGTATAGCTAGGGATAAACCCGGCGCACACCTTTCCGAATTAAAGCCCAAGTCACACATTCACGGTTTTGGAGCTACGGATCTCCACGGTTTGAAATTCGTGATAAACCGTTGGAGTACCTTATTCATCCTCAGTTCAGCCGTGGTTATCCACCACTTCCTTGGGTATTCGATGAAGGGGCTACGGAAGTTTTAAACTGTTCATAACTTCCGTGGTGAACCGTCATGAAAATGTATCCATAGTGCAACCGTGGGACATCCGTGCAGGACAACAGTGTATTTATTCGTAGTGTTATTCGTCTATTCCTGCCTATTCTTGGAGATTCATTCGTAGCTCATTCGTGGTATAAATCTCTACGAATTCGCTACGAATGTCCTACTACGGATATGCCCGAATGTGCTAGGGTTTTGCTAAGGTTGTACTACGAATATGCCGTAGAAGAACCGTGGCCCAATCGCAGACAACCTTGGCGTTTAACGTCGTTTAACGGTATTCTTCATCAATCTGCTATTTTTTTGACAAACCGTGGTGTATTCGTAGAAAAACCTTAGGACAGTCGCGGCTATCCGTCCTGAAACCGTAGTGCATTCTTAGAAAGTCGATTTTTCCACGAATCTCGACGGTTCATCGTGATCGATTGATTCTTGGTAAACCGTGGATATTCGTAGCTCAAACCGTGAATGTGTGACTGGGGCTCCACCAGTTCATCGGATGATCATCGTGCCACCGAACAAAGGTGTGCAGAAAATTCGGACCAATCTGACCGTAATCTGACCGGGCGACCAGCTGAAATCAAAATTCAAGTTTATTTTTTTCGCATCCGATTTCACCGGATCCGATATCACCGGACGCAATAGTTATGTTAACCAATCAGATTCACGAAGGAAGTCATATACGGTTGTCGTCATGTGACTGATCATTATGTGACCGATTCAAAAGACGGAATCGGCCATGTGTGCAGGTAACGTTGCAGTCTAACCGCAACGGTGAGAAACCGTACCGGTGATGGGTGATCCGAGAAACCGGTAAAATCGGAATGGTGTGCGCCGCAACCTCGTCCCCAGGGTGTCGAGCAGTACGTGCCAACCACTACCTGCTCTCTCACCCTGGTATTGGATCATTATTTTGCATGTGCACGATTTTTGAACACGTATGCAAATGAGGAATATTCTGGTGCCTGCATGTGCGTTACATAAGCGTTTGTTTTTGTATGCGGTGTCTGGGCAAAAAAACAGCATCAATTCGTCGCGCCGTGAGTTATAAAAATGCGAATTTTTTTGGGAGTTAAAATGTTACAATCTGGCCAGCCAAATAATTTGCAGTATCACATTTCATATTTATATGAGCAAACTGGAAAGAAAAGGAGTATTATTGAGAAGGCGTGAGCGTTATAATTACAATAATCGTGAAAACACGTAATGCACGTTGGAAATAACAACGCCAACTACACGATATAAATCCATTATTAGCAAATTGCGATATCGAATCAGGATACAGGAAGAAAGTTTCCTATCCAGGGCTTACTATATTTGCGAGATTGGAAATAAAGTAAGCACTGGGGACGAGGTTGTGTGCGCCGGGCTTTACCTAGTCTGGTTCCCAGACCAAAAGATTTTTAGGTCCGGTAGCCTCTGGTAATACATTGTATTACAATTTACGTCACGTGACTAAAACGGGAGGAATCCCTCCTTTTTCCGAAAATTTCCGAAGTTTGCCGAATTCCTTTCGTCGACAATCGGATAGCGCCCGAGTATTTCCGAGTATAATATAGGTTTAATTAGCTGCTAATTGCTTATTAATTTTTTTTTAATGAGTTGATAATTAATATTCATTGCTTTCATTTTAGAAAACTTGAAATTCAACGACGATTTTGGACATCAAATATACTCGGATCGTATTGGCGAAGTTTTTGCTGCGTCATGTACTATTTTGAATTTGATGAACGTTACAGAGATTTTCCAAAACTCGGTCTTCGTTCGGCTCCGCCTGCTAACAGTGCTATTTGGGTGCCCAATTTGAAGACCAACATTAGTCAATGTTATCTTGCAGAAATATCAAACTGTTTTATAATAACTGTATGATATTACGAAGCAAGTGATTTATTTACAAATTTGATCAGAAACATTAAAAGCTATAAAACAGTGATAAAGCGAAATCGGAAACGTAAAAAACGAAGCCGAGCTTTGAAAAAGGGCCGTCAATGTCGTCATGTTTATTTTTAGCCACGGAGGATGCCTGACCTACAATTTAGACGTGAGCGTCGGGAATAATTGTCAGGTCTAGGGAACCAGACTACTAAAATTTAGATGCGAGTGTCGGGAATAATTGTCAGGTCTAGGAACCAGACCGGGCTTTACCAGCCTTGTGGTTGCGAACGCGAAAGCGTGCCGGTTGTCAAGCAAAGCTAATCCGATTACGTACCTAGACGCTGTAACAGAGCAGTGAAATTCGTGAACCCCAAAAAACATGGCCTTTTTGAACATTGTATTTTTCTCAGAAAATATGCTCAGTATGACTGAAATGTTAAATTACAACGGAAGAAGAAATTCTAAACTTCATGTCATTGAAAAAAAATAATCGCCGTCATCGATGCCGAAACGTCAATACTGGTTACTGGTAAAGCTGACCTTCAGGTCTGGAAGAAATCGTTCGAAAACCTCTCCAAATCTATGTATTTATATCAATTTCTGGGAATTTCTCCAAGTTGTTATTTCACGAGTACAAACGTAGTTGAACACTTATATCATCTATTAAATATATTCCGAATTTCAGCTTAATCTTTCAGCTTACTCCTCTTAAACCCCCTCCCCCGGCCTGGCTACGCCTATGCATGGTATCTCATGCTAATACGCAAAACCCTATTCTTAGGCCACGTAGCCATGCGCGTCGGGAAAATTAAAAAGGTTCTTTTCAATGTAAGATGATGTCTCAAAACCGCCAAACTCACTGGTTTGACTGGAATCCTGCTGCTGCACAATTTAAACGTGTTTTTAGATGGGGTTACGATCGAGTATGAGCTTTATGTGGCCTCTCTGGGCTCCGATATATTTTGCGCTAATTTTAATCGGGCACCATTTGCAGACTGTGTTGTAATTTTTTTTGTGCGTCTGGAAGCCAGACTGACGAAGCGATGGTTGTGCAGTTGGAACCTGTAAACGCTTTTTAATTAGCTCAATATACTTCTCAAGCCTTATGGCCTTACTGAGGTCACCTCAAGCTGCACTCTGAAGGATATTTTGAGAGTTTTAAGGGGATCAAAGCGTCATCTGCAACATCAGCCGACATTTGAAGAGAAAAAAAAGTTAGGTAAAAAAAAAAAAAAAAAACCGCGTCGCTGCACCACTTTTGGGGCAAGCTCCATACCAGAAGCCAGAGTCCTTTTTTTGGACCTTAAAATAGAAATCATGCCACAAGTGGCTTTGCCTGGGGCCTCCTTTGTGGCAAAATCTCAATGAAGTCACCAAAGCGGTAACTGATAAATAAAGCCGAGTATAAGTGAAGATACTCCCGTCACGGAGGTTCACAAGCGTCATTGTGCAGCTTCGAGTACGGGTCATACTAATCACCGTCAACGCACACACTGTTACCGTCAACACACCGGCAACACCCTCAAAACACATTTTAAATTGACAAAAGAGGCATAGAATTGCAATGCATGAGCTAAAATAGAATTTCGATCGGTTTTAGGTTGCGTTTCAATTTAATATGAAAATGGATTTCTCTTCAAGCGAAAAAAACAGTAATGATCTCTAAACAGCACGGCGGTTGGCCGCTTCTCGCCTTCGCAAGGAGCCCGGACTATGCCATTTTTAAAGTATGGGTGTGCAGGTAATTGTGGCAAACGTGCATGCCGGTTTCACACAACAGCCGCCCTCTGCGGTTGGTTTAATGTACAATGCTATAAGTATCACCCCTTAAGCATAATGGTCCGCGCTGCCCGCTGAGACAACATGGCTACCGTTTTTTGAGCTGCACAGCGGCAAATTTTCTAAAAAATATGAAATTGTCAGACTTTTAACCTCCCGTTGTTAAGCCAAAATATGTTTCATTATCGCATTTGGCAATTAAGAATGTGTTTTGGAGGAGTTGAAGGTGTGTCAATGTTGTGTCGATGGTGTGTTGACGGTAGCTGTGCGTATTGACGTGTATTGACGGTAATTAGTATGAACGTCGTGGACGGGTGGCGGTTGCGTGATAAAAAGTTTTTTTTACCCACATCAAAAAAATTTGGAAGTAAAATGGCGTTCCGCGATGGTGCTCTGGTGGTGGTTCTGGGGCTGTGTCTGCTGTATGTGAAGGGCGGCGCAGGTGTATCGACTGCAGAGTCGCAAGGTGAGGTTGTCATTGTTTTACCTCGTATACCAGCAGAGCAGGGGCGGATCCAGGAATTTTCGCAGGGGGGGGGGGTTCATCGACCAGTAGAAAAATTGGGTGACAGAGCCCGTGGGGGGGGGGGGGTTCGCATTTTTTCCATAAGTTTGTATGGACATTTTTTTGGACAGAGCTGGGTTTTTTTACCCCCCCCCCATCCGTGCCTTTAGAGTCATCGTATGTGGATATCGCAAGAAGAGTATCCCGAAGATTTGGAATGTACACCATCCAATCCTGTGTATTATCAACTAGTACATGTACATGTATATACTTCATTTGCCACTTTCGTAAATCTGATCGACTTCAGAATTAACAGTGCGTCCAATTGGATATCTCGTCAATTTGCTTGGCGTGCACGGTGTGGACCAGTGTAGACTTAACGCATTTTACAAGGTGTACGTGTAGGTGCTGCTGCTGTTGCTGCTATAGGCTGGCTGGCTGCTGCTGCTAGTAAGTTAGCTGCGCAGCAGCCGGTCACAAGTATGGTGTTCTAAAACGGACAGGTAGCCTAGTGGTTCAACTTTGAAAATGTCGTGGTTTAACTTTACAAACATCGTGGTTCAACTTTTCAAACGTCGTATAGTAGGCCTAGTACTTTATCTTTTTAAACGTCGTGGTTCAACTATTCAAACGTCGTGGTTCGACTTGGTGTCAAGCCAACTCGTTCCCTGGCCGACTCGCCCCTTACATACTCGCCCCCCCTAGCCGACTCGCTCCCTAGCCGTCTCACCCCCTGGATAATTATTTTATTGAATGGCACACTTTGCTTCATCAAGTTTGTGCACTTTCAGTTACTAGATTTTTGAAGTCCGAGAAACCTTTTTATTTAGGGGTCTGCATGATAATAATGTTTGATCATGTTCTTTCTCTTTAGTACGATTAATGATTTTCCTGTGTTACTTATGACATTTGTGTCTGATATTTAACTCATTATGAACTGATATAAATCAAACATAACTTTTCAAGTTGGAAATAGCACGGCGTGTCTTTTGAAGTCGCTCCCTCGTACACAAGGTAAACCAACATTTCAAGGCCCACGGATCCTACACAAAAGGATTTACGACTCGGCCAAACTCCTGTTTAGACGCGTGATAACGGCCCGTAAGGTGGCAATTACCATGAACACTCGTCAACAAAGACCCAGACAGCTTACCCGCTTCACTAGCCGCGCCCGGCGGCTTTCAAATTTGCAGGGCTCTGCGCTCGATCTGGTGTCGAATTCTGTCAAGCCAGCTAATTATATTTTTTTGAATATTCATGATACTATGTTTTTGGCCTTGATTATTGAAGTTTGATAAGTGATAACTACATAACCATGTTAACGCCGAGCACAATATCTTTAGCTTTAAAATGAATTGTAAAATTGTTTTATTGGTTCGGGATCACATCTCTCTAAAACATTTTGATGAAAGCCTTATTAAAAACTAGATTTGGGTAAACAGTATTCTCGTCGAAAAGTTGTCACATTCGACTTTTATTTCCCAGGTAAATACTTCATCTATGACGACAAATCCTGCACAATACCATCTGTTAATATATCCTGAAGTGTTTATTTCTTTAAAACAATTTAGGAACAAGTATATCTTGCAGAAGGAGTGGTTTTGCTTAAAGTTTTATGAATATTTCCGTTTTAAATGTCTAAAAAGGTGTCCGTTCTTTCAGCAAAACGAAATCAGTTCACACACATCCTTTTGTGATTTGTTTTCGTTTTGCTGAGAACACTGAACTTTTTGTGATCCGTGGACAGAACCTTAAAACCGCGGTTGTGTTTAAAACTCCGTAACTTGAAAAGTAATAAGTGATTTGAATGATTCTTGTACTAAAAAAACTTATGAATTGGGCTTTCATATCCTAGATTTTGAAAGTGCTACATGCAGAACTTCACTAAACCAATGGTCCAGACATTTGGGTTTCGCTTTTTTTTACTCACCCTGTATAGGTAAAAAAAAAAATTACTCGTGTGCAGAACTGATGTAGGATTGGGATGGGATTCAAAGCCTAAACGCACAAAAATATTCAGATTAAGGCATGCAGCGCCAACGCTGTAAAGATTGACTGATGACTGGGGCTGCAAAAACTTTTACACAAAGGGACCTTGTGACCTTGCTATTCAGAATTTTTGAGATGCGAGCCATACAACCGAGGAGATTTACCGAAGAGGAACATGTTTTTACGAGAGCTACCTCCATGGTACTCACACCATAGAGGGATAATGGTACCTGGGTCGGGCTTTCCAATTCTATAACGAGTGTTCTTTCGTTTCGTTCATATCTCATGGGTAGCCGATAGACGTGTATACCGAGCCCGATCAAATAAACAAAAATGACAATGGTTGATTTTATTTAAATCAACTGGCGAGACAGCTAATCCCGCTCTCTGCCTAAAATCTCTGGCGTTACAACAATGTACAGGGACAAGCTAAAACGCTCACTGACCGTGGAATTGTCATCTTTGTGCGGCGGTAATAGAGCCTGAAAGTTGAACCGTGATGGTGGCGCGCTTCCGGACCCCTCGAGTAGGAAAACTAGCGTGTAAAAGTCGGAGTGTTTACAATTTATTTTTGGTTCATTGATTTCTTAAGAAAATCACCCTCGGAAAAGGCCTTTGTAAAATTGTTACTAGCATTTCAATTTATGGAAACTTTAAAATCGCATGACGAAAAAAGAGAAATATCGTGCCAAAAATTGACCTCTCACTTCCGAAAATGAAAATTTATCAATCAATCGGGATTTCAATTTTGAGTTGTATTTTTCATCGAGTGTAAAGCTGACGAGCGCAAATCAATAACAGGCCTACTTATAGTTAGAACTACTTATAATCTGGTGAAAGTATATAAAAGGGCCCTATAAATGAGACACACGAGTTCAGAAATCTGATATTGTGTCCCCCATCCTTCACTAGTTGGGGAGGGGGGGGGGACATGTGCCCCTGGTCCCCCCCCCCCCCAGGATTGACGCCCATGCTTGCATGCTTGGTTCCCAGACCTGACAATTATTCCCGACGCTCACGTCCAAATTGTAGGTCAGGCAGTAACCGCGGCTAAAAATGACGACATTGACGGCCCTTCCGAATTCGCTTTATCACTTATAGCTTTTAATGTTCCGATCATATTTTTTTTTTACAGTTATGATATACAGTTTGATATTTCTGTAAGAAAACATTGACTAATGTTGACCTGGAATCTTCAAAGTTAGGCGCCCAAATAGCATTGTTAGCAGGCGGAGCCGAATGGGGACCACGCCGAGTTCTGGAAAATCCCAGTAACGGTCGTGATCGTCAAATTCAAAAGTATGACGCAGCTAAAAGTTCGCTCCTCGTATACGATCCGAGTGCACACTTGATGCACAAAATCGTCCTTGAATTTCAAGTTTTCTAATTGCAAGCAAAATGTATTCATTATCAACTCATTTAAAAGTATTTAATAAGCTAGGCAGTTAATAAAACCTATATTATACTCGGAAATACCCGGGCGCTATCCGATTGTCGACGAAATGAATTCGGCAAACTTCGGACATTGTCGGAAAAAGGAGATATTCTCCCGTTTTAGTCACGTGACTTATATATATATATATATTTTGTATAGGTACTAGCGGCTGCCTGGCCTAAGATTCATCAGAAATAGTCAGAATCTTTTGGTCTGGGAACCAGACTACTGGCTGGCTGGCTTGCACGCTTGCTTGATATGCATGCTTGCTATGCATGCTTGCTATCTGCATGCTTGCTTGTTTGCTTGTTTGCGCGCAGGGTTTGCGTGCTTGCTTGTGCTGCCCCATTTTATCCTACTGTAGTCGGGGGTCTTAGGGATATTTTGGTTCATTATGGCGGACCCTTGGGCGTCTGTCTTGCCTCAAATCATTAAAATAACATCAGATTCAGATTGCTCGACCCCGAAAATACCTGAAAAGTGGTATTATTTATGATTCTAGCTCGTTTAGTTTGATTGACCTCTGACCCGGTTGGCGGCCATATTGGATTTTGCCAATATGGCGGCCCCGTGGGGCGCCTGTCTTGGCGCCCGTCAAAAACCGAAATAGTATGGTATGGACGACAGCTGTGCCGAATTTGGTTCTTTTGGAAGAATCTGAACCAAACAGCCCCTATAACGCCCTAACATCCCTGACTACTGCGCGTATATCACCTTTTGTCCTCAGTTAAGTTCCCACACTCACATATCCCAGAATGTGCGTGCCTATATCGTAGTATTGTTTACTTAAACCGAGCAATTTTGCTGTTAAGTGCTCATGCCTGGTTTTGGTACAAAACAAGTTTTACTGAGAAAACTAGTGAGGGTCTCCATTTTTCATTGGCTTGTCATTGTGTGGTCCGAGACGCGTGGTCTTTTTTTTTCACCGGAGCGAGGGGTAATTTTTTTTTTCCTGGCGACTTGAATGAAGGCAATAAAGCCTGAAAGTTGAACAGACCCCTACAGTGGCGCACTTACGGACCACTTGGATCGGAAAATGAAAGTGCAATTCTTTTTGCTTCACTGAATTATTAAGAAAATCACCCTCGAAAAAAGGTCTTTGTAAAATTGTTACGAGCATTATTTATGGAATCTGAAAAATCGCATGACGTGAAAGAGAAATATCCTGCCAAAACCGACCTCTCACTTCATAAATTCTTTACACCATTGATAATTGATTGATCAGCACCCTCTGTTTTTACTGTACATGTACCCCTACATATAAACCTTGTATGATGAAGCCCCTCTTCAGTGCATCTGATGAAGTAGTTGTATCTACCAAACCTTATGCACACTTTCACTCTAGTTAGTCATTTAAAGTGCTACCTTACTTTTATATGTACACGTATTTGAGTTTGCCTGACCTACACGCGCGGCGCCCACCACTTTTAGGTCCAAAAATCTAAAATACCTTTGGACAAGTGGAACTCGGTGTACTCGTACAACGAAGACAATTTATGACGCTCGTTGGGTAAAAACTGAAAGTTGAATAGGAGACTAAAATGTCTTTGTGATAATCAATTTCTTTGGGAGAAATTAATCTAACGTTCGCTGTGAATTATTAGGCCTACGTTCGTCCAACCCTCCTCAAAAGCAATCGTCCCCAAAAAACTAACCCCCTGTCCAATTTGCCTGTTATAATAATAGCAATTTAGGAAAGCAAAATAATGCAAGTGGCTGGGTAAGATTTAACAACACTACAACTTTATGCATCATGTTTGCCGATCTCAAGCAACGACGAATTAACGTGCTAATCATTGAACATGGGGTTAATAATCGAGTACTTAACAGGCAAACTATCAAGCACTAGAGTGAGAGAGAACCTAGTGGGATTGTACTGCTCGACACCATGGGGACGAGGTAGCAACTTAGGTACATCATGGAGCTATAAAACACATGTACATGGTTGCAGACTAATAAATAAACTGCCAAAGAACTGCAGTGCTGCACCTTCCTCCGGAATAAAGCTTATTTCATCATCATTCATTTTCTTTTCAACTATTTTGGGTTTACCAATGACATTTGGGAGGTAGTTCCATCTAAAAATGATCAGCCCTAAAAGTTACACCTGAAAGTAGTCCTGTAACCCATCGCCATTTTGAAAAATGATGCCTGCGCTGCACTGCAAATTAGAGCGATTTTAGGGCCCAATTTCATCTGAATTTCACAGAAATGCGAGCGGGCAGTCCTCTTCACTGTTTTGTTCTTGTTTTTTTTTTTTACAAACCCTCAAATTTATGGCCAACTAATTGCTTACATAGCAAAAAAGATTGAGGGCATGCAAATCAGGGCATGTATACAGTCGAACACCTTTATAACTAGGTCCTTGGGACTTTACGAATTACCTTGTTATAACAGGTACCTTTTATTAACAGTAATGGAAAACAAAGGAAAAGAAAGAAAATCAAAGATTTGGGACCTAAAAATGTGCTTGTTATAAGCAGCATCTTGTATTAACAGTGCTTTTCGGGGTTCGACAATATAGGCAAATATACTGGTCTGCAACCACATACAAACCTCAAAGCCGGGGCTTGAGATGGTCAAGGTCTCGGAAAATTCCCAAATCTTTCGTTAACCTTCACTGGAAAAAAAAGTTGAGGTCATTGTGGTCATACATGACCAAATTGAATTTGGTCTTGTATGACCACCAGTTTTGATGATATTTAACAGAAATTCTAACCCAAACAATTGGTTATAGAATTGAACAACCCAAGTTTAGGTTGTTGCAGTTTTCATCCTTTATTGGGTTAAATTAATCCAGGCAAGTTTTCAGAGTTCCTGGTAGATCAATTTGTTGGGTTTTTTTCCTCTGTCTCTACACAGACGCGCAACACGACAGTCGTCACGACCTGATTGCGAAGCTGATGGAAGTGCACAACAAGCTAGTCATGCCCAAGACGCCCGTGAATGTCTCCTATGGCCTAACTCTTCTCTCGATCGAGGGTGTGGTAAGTCCGTTGTATTGAAATTAGTGATCCACCAGATTTCGTGACCCGTTCTTCGAAAATTGGATTCTCATGTTTCGATACCGGTGTTATATGAAAATCAGACTCGTATGAAAATCGGACTCTTTTTCCCTTTTATTGGTTAAACCCTCTCACGTGACCAGTCCCTCTCCTAATCATCTATGCATAAGCATGCGCAATACCACCAATGAGTCCGTATTTCATAAAACCTAAATTCATGCTACACCGGATCATATCCGGTTTTGCTTTATCGTTAAATGCTTTCAGATGTTAAAGAAAATCACTTGCTTCATATACCATACAGTTTCACATTTTTGTAAGAAAACATTGACTTATGTTGAGCTGAAATTCCTACAAAAAGTAAACGCTTGTGCTCATGTTATGTTATGTATATTGTTTTTGCTATAAGAATAATACACTTCTTGATTGGTTTAAATTGCAGGACGAGAAGGAAAATATCCTCCGAATTGCGGCTTTCGCGACGATAGTAAGTAACCAAAGGACAAACCAGTTTGATCCATTAGTATTTTTGTTTTTGTCAAACAATCTGAGAAGTATCAATTTTAACTTTCAAAATGCTTTGAACAGAACTCAGTCCCCCTTTTCAATATTGCCTTCTTGTGGTTGTGCACTGTCGTTTTTGACGGCCGCTTCATATTTTAAACACAATTAAACTCTGGGAAAACATAGCTGACAAACAACATTTATATTGTGCATTTTTTTCTGCAATCATACAGTGTAACCCTTCTTTAAATACTTATAATTAATTTCCCTGCCTATACCAATAATCCCCATACGGATTTCAACGTTGATAACTCGCCAATTCGCCAATCCCACCGCTGCCACATGTAGTCATGTTGCCGCTTCGCGCTATATGGCGACACAGAGAGGGACAAAATGTATTTGAGGTAGTTTATTGCGAACATTATTTTACATTTTGCAGCAATGGTTTGATCACCGTTTCCAGTGGGATCCAGCAAATTACAGCGGATTATCTTTTGTGAATTTACCAAGAAATAGTATCTGGACTCCAGACTTCAGAATGCTGTACGCTCAGTAAGTAGCCTTTCAATAAGTTTATCTTGAAGCCGTGTTTAGCTGAGTCAAAGCACTGTAAACATGCAGCAATACCGCACAGGTCACGCTACTTTTATTATCTATGTTTTGAAGACGAATTATTTGCAGTTTTGTAGTAATTTTGGAATTTTGTATTAAAGGAGCTAGGCCAATGGCAAACAAGGTTCTGAATTTATTTTATTCACAGGGACAATTTTAAGATTGACATTTGTCAACCGAACAAGATGAAAATAACTTTGTTTCATCTGTTTATTTAGGGTTGTGGAGGAGGATGACGTCAACTTGATTGCGTATGCCGGTGGGACTGTCAGTCACTTCCTTCCGCTGCGACTAGCCATACCGTGCTCTTTTAACTTCAAGGACTTCCCATCCGATGTCCACACCTGCGACCTTTTTCTGGAATCCTGGAGCCATCCAGGTTCCCTGATCAATCTGACTTTTTTTGAAGATGAGACAGCAGCCAGCTTAGCCTACCATCGTGTAAACAGCCAATGGGAGGCCCAGTCCTTCAAAGTGAATAGGAAAGTGACCAAGTATCCGGATTACTCCACCGAGGAGTACATCAATCTGTCGTACCGCATCCAATTCAAACGCACAGTGAAGGAGTACACGGTCCGCTTTGTGGCGCCCTCGGTCGTCACATCGCTTCTGATCCTGCTGTGTTTTCTCATCCCTCCACTCTCTGGTGGGAGGATGGTTCTCTGCTCCGTCGTCATCCTCGGCCTCTTGCTTCAACTGTTCCACCTCAACCAGACCGTGCCCATCCACGGCTCCGATGCCCCCTTCATGGCTAAATTTCTCACTTTCAGCGTGTTCTTGGCCGCCTTTGCAGCTGTTGAGAGTGTGGTGTCAATGAATCTCTCCAGTTGGGGAACCTTGAGTGGGAGTAGCAACAACAACAGTAACGCCCCCAAAGACGGGGAGGAGCTCGTGGCGCAACCCAAGCCAAATTTGGTAGGTTCCGTGTGTTGCTCTCTTTTTGTATAGGCCCGATCAAGGTTAACAAGTTGCCCTTTTTAGCACATGCATTGCCTTTATCCCCAAAGATGCCTTGGATATATATTTTAGACATAGACCATCTTACATTGAACACACGCTTTTGTCCATAAGCTGGACGAGCTAGTCTGACTTTTCAGTCATGTCTGTTCGGGACAAGCCCACTTATGGTGTGTGCTTCGCTGGTTTCCAGTCTGTCAAGTCAGGCAGAGGTTGAGTTTTGGTCGGAAAGCCAAGTAGCACGGTCACAAGAAGAAGTGGCCAAAATGGGCCTGTGGCGCCTTTTTCATAGGGACTCGATCGACTTCATTGAATACAACCAATAGGCAGCCAAGTGTTGGTGACCACTTTGACCGCTACTACAGATTGTTCAAGTTCAGTATTTGTAATTCGCAAGCCATCGAATTTCCAGTGAAAGTCACACATGATCATCAGGCCTATAAAGATATCTTTTGAATTCGAGAGCAAAGAAAACGTCATTAGCATATAACGGCATGACGTCATCAGCAAACAAAGCTTCCAAGGTAAAAGCCTCACATTTTTGGAACTGTGCCGACTGGCCCTCGGTGGCAAACACATCTGTAGTTGTTGCCATTAATTTTGATTTTAATTATGTTTCTTTTCCCTGTGATTTTGAACGTTTTGTCCACTTTCTCTTTTCCTGTTTAGTTCCTGATGCAACTCGCTCGAATCATCGACTTGGTCTGCTTCGTCGTCTTCACCGTCATCTTTGCTATCGGTGGGGGCGTCATACTCAATCCTACAACGGAGTAGAGATGAATGCGTGACACTTCAAACAGCACACAACCGGCTCGTTGTAAATTAAGCCTTGAAACCGGGGGCATTAATGTTCTCATCTGTCGTGATAAGGACTAGTATCGAAAATGCTTCCCCAATGCCATACAGTTGCATATCACTAAGACATTTTGCATTGTTGGTCATCTGGATCCTTCTATACAGGGTGAGTTAAAAAAAAAAAAAAAAAAAAGAAACCCAAATGTCAGGATTATTGTTTTTAGTGAAGTTCCGCATGTAGCACTTCAAAATCTAGCATATGAAACCCCAATTCATAAGCTTTTTTTTCAGTACAAGAATCATTTAAATCACTCATGTACTTCCCAAGTTACGGAATTTTAAACACAACCATCGTTATAAACTGCTGTCTACGAACCACAAAAAAAGTTCAGTGTTCTTTCAGCAAAACGAAAACAAACCACATAGGGATGTGTGTGAATTGTATTCGTTTTGCTAAAAGAACGTACACTTTTTTTGTGATCCGTGGACAGAACTTTAAAACGGTGGTTGTGTTTGAAATTCCGTAACTTGAAAAGTACATGTAAGTGATTTGAATGATTTTTTGTACTAAAAGAAAGCTAATGAATTGGGCTTTTACACCCTAGATTTTGAAACTGCTACATGCAGAACTTCACTAAAACAATAGTTCCGTCATTTGGGTTTCGTTTTTTTGACTCGCCCTGTAGATAATACCTGTGCCGTCATACCAAAGCGCAACTGACGGGCAAGCCAAATATCTGAGCATCGCTTGCATGCCATTTTCCTACGATAAAACAGATGTCGCCACTTTAACACCAATCACATTTCAAGGAAGTTAGCAAGTTAGCAAGCATTGTATTTCCTAACAGCGTAGTTAAACAAGGTGTTCAGTATTTCTTGAGTTACACGAGGTGTTTATATTATTTCTTAAGAGCGTTTGTAAGTCCAACAAGGTGTTTAATATTTCTTATAGTGGCGTTTATAAGTTCAACAAGGTGTTTAGTATTTTTAAACAGCGTTTATAAGCTTAACAACGTGTTTAATATTTCTGTACAACATTTTTAAGTTCGACAAGGTGTTTGGTATTTCTTAACTGCGTTTATAAGTTTAACGAGATGTTTTATATTCCGTACAGCGTTTATAAGTTTTTGTGTTTGGTATTTCTTAACAGCGCTTATAAGTTTAACAAGATGTTTTATATTTCGCACAGCGTTTATAGGTTAAACAAGGTGTTTAGTATTTCTTAACAGCGTTTATAAGTGTAACAATATGTTTTATATTCCGCAAAGCGTTTATAAGTTAAGCAAGGTGTATGGTATTTCTTAACAGCGTTTATCAGTTAGACAATGATCATTGTATTCATTAACAGTGTTTAATTAAACAAGGCATTTAATATTTTTAACAACATCTATTAATCAATCAAGGTGTTAAATATTTCTATAAACAGTGTTTATGAGTTCTACAAGGTGTTTAATGTTTCTTAACAGCATTTTTTAGTTCAAAGAGGTGTTTTGTATGTTAAAAAAGTACGATAACGTTTCTTTTAATTATAATTGCAAGTCAGGCCTTACTTTTATGGCAGAATATAAAAACAAATTCTAACTCGTGGCTGTGGAGGATTTTCAAAGGGAAATAAAAACCGAAATGTCTTCAGGTCTGATTTCAACATTTTTGTTTCTTAATCGTGGCTTTGGAGGATTTTTGAAAGGAAAGCAAAGTCCAAAGTTTCATTAGGTCTTATTCCCAACCCTAAATATCACCATGATACTGTAAGTGCCGCCGCAGCATAATATTAGTTATCTTGCGAGCGCGAGTGGAACACGGAATAATGTAGTCCCCTTTGGTCTCTATATTTTGGCTGGTCTTGAGTCGAGACCGGCAATATGTAGCATTTTAACAGCTCGATCGATTACTTTGTGTTCACTTCGTTCAGTACCGTTGATAGATCATGTTGTCAACCTTGTTAACAAATAGTGATATGTCATGGTTGGTTCAGACTCACATTGGAAAGTCCCCAAAGTACATGAAAAGCTGCAGCTAGCTGTAATAAGGGCCCAATTTGGGGGAATTGTGTAGTTTAGCCCACCCTTGTGGGCATAATCACTTGTATTTTTATTTATTCTTTAAATAAATGAGCTTCTCGAAATAAGTGACATTTTCAACCCACACAATCTTCTCTTTAATTGGGGATAGTATTTTTGGAGAAAAAGTACGGTTTTGTATCTGATTTCCCAGCAATGAATTCACACACTCTTACCAATTATCACTCACTAAGGGGGTGACTGTGTAGTTTAGGATCCGAGTTCCTACCGGTACATGTATAGCAGATGAAACATCCACCTTAAACTTTTTACTTTTGTCAAGTTTTAACATTGCAAAAAGATAAGTAAACATTTTCGCACAGTGCGAAATTTAAGGTATGAAGCAAACATGAAGAGTACTCGCATGACACAAGCAGGAACTAGTACAAGTGATTTCTAGTGTTCAAACACTTCCTTCATATCCCTGCCTTCAACATTCATCATCTCAAGGATAGACTGTTCAGCTGTAATTATGTGTCTTGGTTATTTATTTAGATTATTGTTATTTATTGTCCGCGGTCTCGGTCTCGGTCTCGGTCTCGGACCATATCGGTCTCGGTCTTAGCCTTGGTCAAGGCGCTAGTTGTTATTAATCCCGGCCGTAGCGCGGTAAACGATATCCTCGCTAGCGCTAAGCATGCGGTGCTAAGTACAGCGCGAACAGCGACCTCACGCGGCCAACATTTCTATGCAAATCAGTTGGACCCAATCTAGCGCCTTGGTTCAATCGTCGGCAAAAGCTTATGTTTTGCGAATACATAAGTGTAGGTGGGGCTAATATGTGGAGTGTCCAATCACACCTTGGTAAATCCGGACGTCATCAAATTATTTGCAGCCATTCGCCTTTTGCGGACATGACAGGAACCACAGTTTTTGTGCATTGGTGCCGTGTGCAGAGACACACAACGTGTACGTGTATGGATTATGTACGGTGCCACGTTTCACTCTGCAAGTTTCCTCGCAACGATCGACCAATACGAAAATGACATTTTAGGTCAGCTAAGGCTATTAACATAATGAGCACCACCCCCAAAACCTCACATGGACGATTGAACCAAGGCGCTAGATTGGGTCCAACTGATTTGCATAAAAATAGTGGCCGCGTGAGGTCACTGTTCGCGCTGTATTTTTAATGCACCGCATGCATAGACATATGACTGCATGCATAGCGCTAGCGAAGATATCGTTTACCGCGTTACGGCCGGATAAATAACAACTAGCGCCTTGACCAAGGTTATCTCGGTCTCGGTCTGCATTGAAGGGGCTGGTCTCGGTCTCGGTCTCGGTCTCGGTCTCGGTCTTGGACCATATCGGTCTCGGTCTCGGACCATATCGGTCTCGGTCTTGGTCTGCCTTGAAGGGGCCGGTCTCGGTCTCGGTATGGAAACTTCAGGTCTCGGTCTTGGTGTTGGTCTCGGGCTATCCGGTCTCGACTACAACACCGGTCTTAAGGCAGTAAGCTTAAGCGGTCCATTAAGAATACATTCTGGTAATTTTCTCTCAATTTTTGTCTCCAGGATTTGTCACTTTTTAAATTGTATTTTTTTTTTATAGAAAAACCCCTATAAAATCATTTATCGACACAATACTTTTTTTTGGGGGGGGGGCATAAAACTTACCAAATATGCAATTGACCATTAGAAAAGATTACCATTAAAAGCTTGACAATCAAGGTGGGCGCTATGAATAGCCAGTATGACCATGCAGTACATGCCATACATACCGCGTGTACTTCAACCTCGTCCCCAGTGCTTACTTTATTTCCAACCTCGTTTCCAATAGTAAACCCTGGATAGGAAATTTTCTTCCTGCATCCTGATTCGATACCGCAATTGGCTATCAATGCATTTTTATCGTGTACTTGGTGTTATCCTTCACAACGTGCGGTACGTGTTTTCGCGATCATTCGTCCACGCCTTCTCGAAAATTATAGTAATTTCCTTTCCAATTTGTTCATATTAATATGAAGTATGATACTGCATGTTGTCTCGATAAGATCGTAACAGTTTAATTTAAAAAATCGTGTTTTCGTAACTCACGCCTTGCTCGCGCTACGACGAATTGACTCTGTTTTTACCCAGACACCACTTACAAAAACAAACGCCAATGTAACGCATATTCAGGCACCAGACTATTTCTCATTTGCATACGTGTTCAAAAATCTTGCACATGCAAATGATCCAATACCAGAGTGAGAAAGCAGGTAGTGATGGGCGCGTACTGTTCGACACCCTGGGGACGAGGTTGCGTGTACTATGCATTGTCCCGTGTACTGTGTCACTGCACTGGGTCAAATTGCACGGCGCTGCTAAGCACAAAATTTGCTTAGCACAAAAAAGTCTGGCTTATAAAAGCAGGTTACCAACCAAATTTCCGTGTGATATATATTGTTCGTGTTATTCAGCTGTTGTGTGCTTAGTAATCACGTGGAGTGTTTGGCTGGTAACCTGCTTTTATAAGCCAGACTCTCTTTATGCTAAGCAAATGTTTGTGCTTAGCAGGGACCCTGATCTAACGAAACTGAGTCTGGATCAAGCAGTGGATTTTTCACGTGTCTTTCTTTTGTTCTCTGTCTTTTTTTAATTTTCATATAAAGTTCAATCTTATTTGAGTTTAGAATAGATCGACCCTCGGTCTGTGCACTTTTTAATCCCAACATAGCTGAAATTCCATTTGAGGCCATGCGCCATAATAGCGATTTCTGAGCTTCACAGAATAGCAGGAATTATAGACCCTTATCATGCTGCCACCTTTTCAGTCATGTTCCCTGTATCCAATAACTGTCCTGAATGACAACCTTTTTTGTGCAAAAAGGAACCAGACTATTTTTCCTTCCGGCCTCGCTTTGGTTACGTTGATTTGAATGGGAACACATCATGATGGCCGCAACATGATAATAGTCTATCCCGGCGCACACCTTTCCGATCTGGCCAGTTCATCGGATCATCGTCGTGTCACCCAACAAAAGTGTGCAGAAAATTCGGACCGATCTGACCGTATCTCACCGGGCGGCGAATTATGTTTTCCCAAACAACATCCGCAATACATGTTGAGCGCCCTCTACGATACTTTTATGATACGTACGTCTATTACCATGAATTTCCAGGATTTGTCGAGCAGTTCGATAGCTCAGTTGGATAGGATCGTGATTTCGAATCACCATTTTTACCCGAGTGTTTTTCTTTTCTAATCTGAGGCTTTGGAGGACTTTTTAATAGAGAAATAAAGTCCGAATTTCATTACTATAGAACTCTTCTTTTTTTTCCCCAATTTTTATATTTTTTTCTCATGATTTTATAATCAATAAAGTCCAAAACGTCATAGCGTGCACCCCATGCGGATATCGTTTGGAGAAAAAAAAATCACCTGCGGCCTTGCATATAGGCAGCTCTTTCTGGCAAAATATAATACACAGCCGACAACAATAGATAGGCCTTCATGTAATGGAGAGCGTTACAATACGGAACACAAGTAGGCTATGTCGACAAGAGTCATCGCTCAGCTTCGCGTATGGCGTGCAAACTGAACATTAAGTTCCAAAATTAAGATATCGCTATTTCTAAAAGAGTTACATGTATTTCTATTTCTGATAGTGATATCTTTATTTCAAAAAGAAAATATCTCTATCAGATATCCCTATTAAAAATAGAAATATCTCTATTTAAAATAAAGATATGTCTATTTTATTCAGAGATATTTTTTATTTCAAATAGAGATATCCGCATCAGAAACAGAGATACAGATATTATGTCAATTGAGAAGATTCATCTCTATTGCAAATAGAGAGGAGATATCTCTATTTCCAATCAGGCGCAGATGGGGTCAACCCCCCCCCCCCCCAGCTCTGTCCAAAATTTATTACAAAAAAAACCGCGAAAACACCCCCCCCCCCCCCCCCCCCGCTCTGACACCCCGAAAAACTAAACTGTTAATTATTTTTCCGCCTGGGCACAAATTATATTTTTTTAGAGGGTATTTGTACACTATTCTGTAATACAGAGTTAAAATCGTCGGATTTGAACAGCGCCCCCATTGAAAGTATGATACGAGTCCCCCCTCCCCCCATATTGATTTTACGAGGCCAAGTGTCCGGACCAAAAAAACCTGTCTACATTTCAGCCATGATATGCTGATGAAACCCCCCCCCCCGCAAAAATTCTGGATCCGCCCCTGCTAAATGAGACACATGTATCTCTATTTGAAATAGAGATCTAAAATTGAAAATAGAGATATCTCTATTGGAAAAAAGAGATACCTCTATACTATTTAAAATAGAGATATCATTATTAAGATAGAGATATCTCTATTTAGGTATTAAGTGTTACATTTGCATGCCATACTTTGGTGGCGCGGTTGCACGATCAATACTTTTGCGAAAAAAGTTTTTTTTCACCAACATCAAAGCAATAAATACACATAACAGCATATGGTTCGCGCTGACGGGAGGTGGACGGTGGTGATGAATACTTAAGTTAATTCACCCACACAAAAAATAAGTTGGAAACCAAAATGGCGTTCCGCGATGGTGCTCTGGTGGTGGTTCTGGGGCTGTGTCTGCTGTATGTGAAGGGCGGCGAAGGTGCAGAGTCACAAGGTGAGGCCGTCATTGTTTTACCCCGTTTACTCTTCTGTTGGCATCCGTCTGTCTCAAGATACAATAGAGTTTTGCGCCGTAGGACAGTCCTTCTTAGAGTTGCAGCGCCTGCTGTGGTTGTACAGCCCAGTCCTGTTGTTGCAATTGCTGCAGGTGGTCAAGCCGAATCTGGCTGTGGTAGCGCTGATGTTGCCTCTGTCCTCCCAGCAATGTCACGGTGTGTGGATATCGCAAGAAAAGGGGTGCATATATTCCCTAATACCTATGGTCCCCAATACCGATGTTCCCCAACCCTAACCCTAACCCTAACGTTAACCCTAATCCTAAGGATTTCGGGGAACATCGGTATTGGGGAACATCGGGTAGACCCCCAGTGTCCCGAATATTTGGAATGTATGCAACACATTGTACAACCCTGTGAATTATCAAATAGGAAGCAGGAAGGGCAATTTCTTGTCACAACTTTGGGAGGGGAGGGGGAGGGAGGGGACAAGCAGCTTAGGAGATTCGAAAAAAAGAGGGGGATCTAATTTGAGGAGGCAATGTTCAAATTAAGTATGCATTAGTACACATGCCAATAAACGCCTTTTAAGTTTTACGTCGATTTCACGCAGGAAACTGTTGCATTTACACGACAAAAGTGTGGCAGGATATCTTGGAACTATTGGGAAACATAAAGCGCACACTTCGTCAGTGTTTTCACAAATGGACGAAATAGGCCAAAAGCATTTCACGAATTCGCGCAAAGGGTATGGGTATTTGATTTTACGGAGGCCAAGTGTCCGGAGAAAAAAAACATTTCAGCGTGGATGTGCGGTTTCCCACCTGACATCAAAAGCAGGACACGCTATTGGGTTAGGGTTAACTTGAACGTTACTCCTTACTTTCTCTTGTTCATATATTGAAATAAGTTATCATTTCTTCAAAGCGCATTTTACTTTTATTACTTTTGAGTCAAATTTATTGATTTTGTTATTTTGCTATTTACCAGTCTTTGTTTTATTTATGGATGTATTCTTTAAAGAGTGTGGAATAAATGTCTTCTTGAATTGAATTGAAGGTTATAGGGTTAGGGTTGGGGAACATCAGTATTTGGGGTCATATTGGGGAACATATATAGAACGGAGTCAGGCTTGTGTGCGGGAAATATTAAACCGAACAGTGAAAAAAACAGTGGTGCGGGGATCCAGTAATATCGGAAAGGTGTGCGCAGAGCATGCAATTCTTTTGCTGTCCAGAAACAAGTAGGAATCAATTAGGTTTAGAGCGCGTTTCCACAATGTTTTTCGACTCTCAAATTACGAGGTGGGACACTTGATTGATTAATTGTTTGCTTGCTTATTTGCTTGATTGCATACTCGCTGGCTGCCTTGCTTGCTTGCTTGATTGATTGATCGCATGCAGGCTGCTGGCTGGCCTGCACCCCTGCTTGCTTGATTGCATGCAGGCTGGCTGGCTGGCTGGCTGGCCTGCTCCCTCCCCTGCTTGATTGCATGCAGGCTGGCTGGCTGGCTTGCTCGCCTGCTTGCTTGCTCCCCTGCGTGCTTGAGTGCTTGCTTCATTTAATGCTGGCTGGCTGGCTGGCTGCACTGGCTTGCTGGGGTGTTAAGGTGTTGGGTCTGTTCGTCTGCTTGTTGGGTTGTCTGCTTGCTTGTGCTTTCCCTTAATATCCAAGGGGATATAATCACCTTTTATCCTCACTTTATAGGTCTATTATGCCCACCACACTGGCAGAATGCGCACACCTGTGGTATTGTTTACTTTGACCGAGCAGTTTCGCTTTTAGTGCTCGACACGAAATAGTTTGGTACAAACAACTTTTACAGATAAAAAAGAGTGTGACCGCTTTCATTTTAGGGTTTCTCGTTATTCATTGGGTTGTTATTGTTAGGTCATGGGGGCGCATTTTTTTCTTTCAACCAGAGCAAGGGTTAATCGATTTTCGACACTTTGAATAAAGGCAATAGAGCCTGACAGTTGACCTCTACCTTAGCGCACCTCCGGAACCTTGAATAGAAATATCAACGTGCAAAAGTTCTAAACTTTGCCATAATTTTTTTTTGGTGCAGTGATCTTAAGTAAATCACCCTCGAAAAAGGCCTTTGTACAATTGTTTTGTATAAGGCATCTGCATACTGGAAACTTGCAAATATAGTGTGACGTCACTGACGTGAAAGACTGACAATTTCCAAATCTTTTGTTAACCTTCTTCAAGGGCGTCAATCGCTTCTCAAAAGTGGGGGGCCCGGGGGCATTCCTTGATCAGCACTAATGCGAGTGCGAAGCGCGAAGCCCTACCGGTGTGGGGTTGGCCCCGGAAAATTTTTGGATTCTAGACACTCTGTGGTGCGATCTGAGGCAATTTTTGACAACTTAAACCAATTTTTGTGAGCAAAACATCATCTTTTAAACATTATTTTCGAGTTTGGAGTCTTTAAATTAACTATTCTGAGCTTGACAACAATTTTTATTCGGGGACGACAAAAGTGGGGGGGGGGACAAACGATATGATATCCCCCCACTTTAAAAAGTGGGAGGGCCTTGTCCCCCCTTCCCCCACCGTTTGACGCCCATGACCTTCCCGATCCTGATAGACCAATTTGTTGTTTTCCTCTCCCTCCACACAGACAAGGAACACAGCAGCCGTCATGACTTGATGACCCATCTGTTGGGTACGCACAATCCCCTAGTCATCCCCAGCACGCCCTTAAAAGTTTCCTACAAACTAGACCTCCTGGCGATCGAGGGTGTGGTAAGTCAGTGGTACCGGCCTAGTCCGGATTTCGTAAAGCGTTCCTCGAAAATTGGATTCCCATGTCAATTATGTTCAGATACAATTTTAAAGAAATTCACTTGCTTCATATATCATACACTTTCATATTGCTGTAAGAAGCCATTGGCTTATGTTGAACTGAATCCTTCAAAGTTATATTATTAGGGACCCCAAAACAGGCGAAGCCGAAATGGAGACGAAATGGAGTTTTCAGTTTTGGAATCCTAACCGTTGTCAATTCTAAATAGTACATCACGCAGCAAAGCTCGCAGCTCGTAAGATCAGAGTACACAAAGTCGTTATTCAATGTCATTTTTTTTTAAATGCCAGCAATGAATATAATTATAACAATTTACAATAGTATTCAACAAGTATGGCAGGTAAATACAACCTTTTGTCTATCCGGAAATTCCCGGGCGCCTATGCAGTAAACTCCGGACTATTTCGGAAACCCTCCCGTTTTGGTCACGTGACATTTGGCAGCTGCCTAACCTAAGATTAGTCAGAAATAGCCGGAATCCTTTTCATCTGGGAACCAGACTACTCCATGCACAAGTAACCCATCAACGGGAATACTGGGAGAGTTGAAACTACTGGGGGAAAAAACTTTCGATCGCATTGCCGAATTTGAAGCACATTTCGGGGAAGAAGATTCGATTCGCAATTCGCCCGAGTTGAATTTGTGTTGACGCAAAGGTTTGCCGTGACGTCAGGAATTCGTTCGTGTTCGTTGTCACATGCACCAAGCATAAACCGGCATTATTTTACTTGTATACTGTAGTTGTGCGCTTTTGAAAAAAATCCTTCAAATCAAAAAGATTTGAAACTACAAAAAGTGTTCGTTTGTATATTCATGTCTATATTTCTAAGAGTAAAGCTGTTTTGGATCGGTTTAATTGCAGGACGAGAAGGAAAACATCCTCCGAATTTCCGCTTTCGCAACGGTGGTAAGTATCCAACGGGCAAACCAGTTGAATCCACGATTATTGTTAGTTAAACAATCCGAAAAGGACCCGACAGCTTGGGTCGTAGATGGAACCAAGTTATACGGTGTCTGAAGAGTTTATTTCCAAATTACAAGTCGCTTCTCGCTAGATAGCACCACCAAGAGGGAGAACATTCATTGGAGGGAATATATTGCGAACATTGTTTTTTACATTTTGCAGTTTTGGTCTGACCACCGTTTCCAGTGGGATCCAGCAAACTATAGCGGTATACTTTCTGCGAGCCTACCTAAAAAAGCTATCTGGCATCCAGACCTCGAACTGCTGTACTCGCAGTAAGTAAATATATCTTGAAGTTGTGTATGGCTGAGTCAAACCACTGTAAACGTGCAGCTAGCAACACCGCGTAGGTCACGCTATTTTATTATGTACGTTTCGAAGACAAATTATTTGCAGTTTTGTATAAATCTCGTATTGTATTACTTGTATGTACAGGAGCTTTGTACAAACAAGGTTGAAATTTATATAGATAAAGTTTTCTCAATTTATTTATTCGCAGAGGAAATCTTAAAATGGACTTTTGTCAAGCGAACTAGATGAAAAACAAACTTTGTTTCATCTGTTTATTTAGAGTTGAGGAGATAGATGACATCAACTTGCGTGTGTTTCCCGATGGGTTTGTCGGGCACTACCTTCCGATGCGTCTGGCCATACCGTGCTCTTTTGACTTCAACGACTACCCGTACGATGCCCACACCTGCGACATTCGGGTGGAATCCTGGACCAATCCCGGTTCCATGCTCAATCTGACTCTTGGTGGGGCGTCAGCAGCCGGCACATGGTACCATCGTGTCAACAGCCAGTGGGAGATCCAGTCCTTCACAGCGAACAAGACCGTGGATATTTTTCCACCTTCCCCAGAGCAGTACATCTATCTGACGTTCCGTCTCCAGTTCAAACGCACGGTGGGCGAGTACGAGATACGCGCTGTGGTGCCCTCTGTCATCACATCGCTTCTGATCCTGCTGTGTTTTCTCATCCCTCCACTGTCTGGTGGGAGAATGGTTCTCTGCTCCGTCGTCATCCTCTGCATCTTACTTCAACTGTACCATCTCAACCTGACCGTGCCCATCCGAGGTCCCAACGCCCCCTTCCTGGCAGATTTCCTCTGTTTCAGCGTGATCCTGGCCGTCTTTGCAGCCGTTGAGAGTGTGGTGTCAATGAATCTCTCCAGTTGGGGAACCTTGAGTGGGAGTAGCAACAACAACAACAACAACAGTAACGCCCCCAAAGACGGGGAGGAGCTCGTGGCGCAACCCAAGCCAAGTTTGGTAGGTTCCGTGTGTTTCTGTCTTTTTGTATAACAGACGTTTATCTACGATCATTGGCAATTTAGGTAGACAAGTTGTCTTGTTTTAGCACACGCATTGCCTTCATCTCCAAAGAGGCCTATGTCATACACATATACATGTAGATCATCTTACATTGAACACACACTTTTGTCCATAAGCTGGACGAGCTAGTCTGACTTTTCAGTCATGCATAGCCTATTCAGGACAAGCCTTATTGTGGGTGCTTCGCCGGTTTTAATGGACTTCTAGTCTTTCAAATCAGGCAGATGTTGACTATTGGTCGAATAGCCGAGTCAAACTTGGTCAAAAGCAGAAATGGCCTCGATGGACTGTATACAACTGATAGCCAGCCATAAGTGTTGGTGACCACTTTTGACCGTTAAGATTGTTCATGTTCAGTATCGCGCATTTGTAATTCGCAATCGCCTTGCCAATGAAAGTCATACCGACCTCGCTCTGTATAATGTTCAGGCCAATAATAAGGATATAGTTAATTTGAGAGCTAATATCACGATGACGATATTTAGCATATAATGGCATGACGTCATCAGCAAACAAAGCTTCTAACGTAAAAGCCGTATACATGTTTTATACAGGAACTGTGCCGACGTCTGACCCTCGGTGGCAAACATATCGGTAACCGCTGCCATTTCGATCGTAATCATGTTTCTTTTCACTGTGATTTTGAACGTCTTGTCCATTTTTCTCTTTTCCTGTTCAGTTCCTGATGCAACTCGCTCGAATCATCGACTTGGTCTGCTTCGTCATCTTCACCATCACCTTTGCTATCGGTGGGGGCATCATACTCAATCCTAAAACGGAGTAGAGAGGAATGCGAGACACTTCAAACAGCACACAACCGGCACATTGTAAATTAAGCCTTGAAAACGGGGGCATTAATGCTCTCGATCCGTCAAGATTAGTTAAGTTATATAACGAAAACCGTTCACAAAATAATGCCACACAGTTGCATATCACTGAGACTAAAACTTTTAAATTTGCGTTGTTGCTCCTCTGAAATCCTAGTACAGTGTGACGTCACACCAAAGCGCCACTGACGGGTAACCCCAAAACAATGTATCTCTTGCATGCTCGGTTTCCTTCGATAAAAACAGGTGTCATCACTTTAACACAGTTTCTTGGAAGTTAGCAAGCGTGTATAATTTTGTTTAGTATTTCTTAACAGCGTTTATAAGTTAAACAAGGTGTTCAGCATTTCTGTACAGCGTTTATAAGCTCAACAAGGTGTTTAAAATTTCTTAACAGCGTTTATGAGTACAACAAGGTATTTGGTATTTTTTTTAAACAGCGTTTTTAAGTGAAACAAGATGTGTTAAATATTTCTTAACATTGTTTATGAGTTCAACAAGGTATTCAGTATTTCGTAATATCGTCTGTAAGTTAAACGAGGTTAGTATTTCTGTATATACAGCGTTTATAAGTTCAACAAGGTGTTTGGTATATTTAAAACAGCGTTTATAAGTTTAACGAGAAATTCAATATTTCTTAACAGCATTTATGAGTTCAACAAGGTGTGCAGTATTTTTTAATATCATTTATAAGTTAAACAAGGTTAGTATTTCTTATCAACGTTCATAAGTTAAACAAGGGGTTTAGCATTTCTGCACAGCCTTTATAAGTTAGACAGGGATTATGGTATTTCTTAACGTTTATTAAATAAACATGGTGTTTAATATTTCTTAAGATCCTGTATAAATGAATCAAGGTGTTCAGTATTTCTTAACAGCGTTTATAAGTCCCACGAGGTGTTTAGTATTTTCTTAACAGCGTTTAGAGTTCAACGAGGTGTTTAGTATTTCTTAAGAGCGTTTATGAGTTCAACGAGGTGTTTAGTATTTGTTTTAACAGCGTTTATGAGTTTAACGAGGTGTTTAGTATTTCTTAACAGCGTTTATGAGTTTAACGAGGTGTGTAGTATTTCTTAACAATGAAAAGTACGACAATTCTTCCCATAACAATTATTGCTGGTCATGGTCATTCTTTTTATCGTAGAAGATATATACATGTATATTGTTCTAATTCGTGACTCTGTAGGATTTTCTTGCGTATTGCGTTACATAATACAGGGCGCGTGACCACAGCCTTTGTTGCTGTGTATAGGGTACTTTTTTTATCCATGTCTATGACGGTGTATGACCAAAGACCCGATATAGAAAGCGCCCGTTGATTGGTCAAAATCTAATTCAAAAAAGAGGGGGCATCTGATTTGAGGGGGCAATGTTCAAACAGATTTGGCAAGCTCAATGCACCATGGAGGTTGCAAACACAAAAACAAAATCTATTTACACTTGGATATATTTATTAAAGGGAATATACATCATTTGCTTTTGCTGTAATTTTCAGAAATGGATGGAATTGGGGGGTTGGAAATATATAGCAAATATAGTTACACTGACTTTTTTGAGGTTTTGGGATCGAAAATGCTATAAAAACCAAGAAAAACAATCATTTTCCTGTAGTCTGGTTCCCTGACTCCATGTAAGAAGAAACAGAGCAGTTTACATACATTGGGGAATTGTAAGGTCAGGGAACCAGTCTAGCTGGCTTGTACCCGTTCATAGGTGTGTAATCGATTGCAAACAAGTACGATGGTCAATTGGGGCCAGTATTTGAAAAAAGCCAAATGACAGTATACCAGGTGCCATGATTTTACAGGATGCTTCACACTGTCATTCACTAACAGTCCAGCAAGGTATTTCAAAATGATTTGGTAGTTTTATTTTTTGATGTTTGCAAATGTTGTATTTTCCCTTTAATGGAACATCGCCATTGCTATGGCGCGCCAACCCAAAAGCGTTTGTGGTGTCAATCCCCCCTAACCAGGGCCCCATGCACCCCATCGCCCCTGGGATGATTACTGCAAAGCAAAAGCTGTGAGAAGATTGACGACTCGGGCTGCAAAAAAAACACCATTTATTCAACGATACGGTGCATTTCACTCGCTTTTCAGACTTTTTGTCATCTCATACAATGTAGTTACTAAAGCTTTCAAACGTAGTTTTCTCTGTGGTACGAGTGACCTTGCTAGCGCTATGCATGCCATACCACTGAGGAAATTAACAGAAGAGGCCCATATTTTTACGAGAGCTACTTTGCGGACCGGGGTACTACTCACACAAAGGAATCAACCTGGGGCTTTCAAAATGTATTGATTTATTCAAATCAACTGGCAAGGCAGCTTTATAATCTGGTGTCTGTGTAAATTCTATTTTGGTCTCAACGTGCAGGAGAGTAGCTCACTGTGCTACATGTAGTAGGCCTAAGTACTACCTGTGGAATTTATTTGGTGCGGGGGTAATCCACGAAGTTTAGGCTTTGCTTTTTAGAGACCCCCATCCACATATTGTAATGCTATGATTTTCGTGGCATATTGTTTTGTATTATAAAGTAAGATCAGTGGATTGATTGATTGATCGATCATTACATTCAGAGGTGTTTTCGAGCCCAAAATGCACATTGATTATGCCTTAAGTCGACTTTCATGGTTAATTGTCTCGTATCATTAGTTTACATGTTTGTTTCTTGAGATAAAAAATTAAGACAGATATAAACAGACACTTCGAAACTGAACAAAGTAGAATGATACACATGAACAGGTCAAAACACCTGAAAATCTCGCATCTTGCCTTCGTTTTTCTCATTTTGAATGCAGAAAGTACCAGATATAGAATATGCACGGGAATGCAAACGAAAATAAGAATCCCGTCCGTGCAAATAACCCTGAACCAATTGAACCGATTGCCAAATCGATTGATAATTCAGCCTTAACTGAATAACAGAACTTCCACAGGATGTGTTCAACTTGAAACATGTCAGGTGAAAACAAATTTGAACGTCTGAAATGGATTGACAACAGGGAGCTGGTTCACTTCAAACCGGCCTCTTTCAAGATGAATGTGAATACAGTTTTTGTTTGAGGAATTGATCAGGAAAACATATGTTATAAATATTCTGGCGTTTGTACACAGCAGACTGACATAATGGTTTTGGGTTCGTCATGTTATTAACCCTCCAACTCCCTGGGCATTGTTGCTAGGATGCAAGTTGCAACCCCAATCCTGCAAACTCCTCCAACTGCCTCCATGTCAAAGCATTATGCCTCAATCATGCAAAATCCTCCGTTATTTCTTGAATGTGGTCCTTGGAGGGGTAAACAATTGTCCCACTTCTGCAAAATCCTCCAGCAATCACTGTCAATATTATGTTGAGGTAGGGCCAGTGACATCTTGGAGCAGTGTGGAGGGTTTCAAGTAAAAGCTAGATTTAAATTCGTGCGTGGCTATAGGCTGAGCACCGTCACAAAGTCCGGCCCAAAATCTCGATACGGTGCATCCTCTGAACGCACATTTTTTATTTGTCCAAAAAGCCTCAATCCTGCAAAATCGTCCATTTTGCAAAGAGGATGTTGGAGGATTTGGGAAGGTGAGGGCTAAATGTTAACACAGTCATGCACTGTGAACCATTCCGTATTTTATTCACCTTGTACAAGAGACATTCCAACAAATTAACCCAAACGTCATACATTAATTTAATGAAAATACGAGAACCAGAGCACACGGGGACTACTTCCAACCAGCCCACGAATCAGTCGCCAGTCGTTGATGATTTAAACACCATTACTCCTTCTTATATAACTTATTCTCTAAAGCCACGGACATCATGAATTATGCATGGCGCAGTGAAAGCGCCCTCTTTTGAAATTGTCCGATCTCGCTTGGGAAAAAAAATTCGCGGACGGGCAGCACTCCGATTTCGCCGGACGCGATATTTTTGTAAACCAATCTGATTCTTGAAGGATGTCACGTGACCTGCTTATCTGACCTGGTTAAGCTGACCTGGCACTTTAAGCGTCACATTGTTAGCACAGTTCACGCAGATTGCGCGCAGGACAGTTTAATTACTATTTTGTTTTCTTTGCAGTTTTTGTAGCCTCGGTCAAGGCGTTCGTCAATGGCCGTCCGCCCCAGCCTTGGCCCAACTGTCGGCGTGAGGTTTTGGGGTGGTGGTCATTGTGATCAATCAATCAATCAAATCTTTAACTTTTCCCAACACATACATTGTGTATGTATGGATGGATGGATGGAGGTCTCCAAAAAGCATAAGCTTGTCGAGTGGAGACCCCCACTGTAATAAAGAACAATTACAATTACAATTACAGTTACAATTAATTACAAGTACAAGTACAACGATAGGAGTTAAATAACAAAAACTATTGGTACAGAACTAGTAATACGACATAAAACTAAAATTATTTGGTCTTACAAAATGAGATTATTAAAAAGTGGTTTTCTTTTTGGTCGAGTTGTGCGTAAAAATTGCTATGGCTTTGTGCCTGGCCGACCGGAACGCGTATTTTTGTTTTGCAGCGTAGGCCTACATCGTATTTCAACCAATCACATCACGCACCCCGAAAAAGGGGCACCTTCCGTCGGTGTGAAAGCGAGACCCCTTCGGCCTCCGCAATGGCAGATCCAGAACACAATTTTTTGAGGGGGGGGGGGTCCACAAATTCATGGCGTGGAGTTCGGGACCCTGAAAATGGATTGTAGATGCTCTGTGTTGCGATCTGAGGCAAAATGATTTGTGACCACTTTAACCAATATTGGTGAAAAGATGGTGGAGTACGCCATGCCTTTTTATTGTGACTTAACAAAAAACAATTCGGATTCGTGGGGTTTTTTTTTGGGGGGGGGGCATTGCCTCATTGCACCCCCCCCCCCCCCCCCCCTGGATCCGCCCGCGGGCCTTCGGCACACACCGCACACCCTGAATTTGACTATTATAGAAAGACCATTATTTTTTATTGCGCGAGGGGCACTGTTGCTTTTGATGGCCAGCTCATTGGCCATTGTATTTACGTGAGGAGGAGCACTATTATTTTTAAAGACCAGTTTTCCATTGGCATAATTTTATTGTTGCGAGTGGGGCACTAATATTAGGTTGTGCTTTCGAGGAGCAGTTTTCCATCTCGAGAAGTTATCGTGAGATGCACTATTGTTTTTGATGGCCAATTTTCCCATCTCGAGAGGGGCGCAACTTTATTGTTGCCTAGAGGGGTATGTGGGCTTTCGAGGGGTAGTTTTCCATCTCGAGAAGTTATCGTGAGATGCACTATTGTTTTTGATGGCCAATGTTCCATCTCGAGAGGATATTATTGCGAGAGGGGAATATGTGCTTTCAATGGGTAGTTTTCCATCTCGAGAAGGTGCACAATCTTATTAATGCGAGAGGGGCACTTGTGTTTTTGAGGGGCAGTTTTCCATTACAAGAGAGAAGATTTTATTTTAAATGTATTTGTATATATCGCGCTCATATTCTTTTGTTGGCCTGGGAAAATCTGAGGGGCAAGTGCCCTCCCCCTCTCCAGTTCCGCAGCCCCTGAACCAGCTGAATAATAATGACCATTGACGACTGCCGCAAATAAAAACACCGCCGCAGCAGCTCCGAGCTGTTTTAAAGGGAAGATACAACATTTGCAAACATTAAAGAACGAAATGATCAAATTATCACGAAATACCTTACTGAACTGTTAGGTGATGACAGTCTAAAGCATCCTTTAACATCGTGGCTCCTGGTGTGCTGACATTTTCACGAAAAACTGTATTTTTCCTACTTTTTCATATCAAGTTATTCTGACTTTTCTTTGCAATTGATTACCCACCTGTGAAGGGGTACAAGCCTGCGCTAGACTTATTCTCGACCTTACAGTTCCCCAAAGAGTATTAATTGCTCCGTTTCATCTTAAGTGGGGTCAGGGAACCAGACTACAAGAAAATGATAGGTTTTCTTGGTTTTTCCAGCATCTTCAAGACCAAAACGTGAATTCAGTCATTTTAACAATATTTTCTATAACTTACTAATCCGCCAAATCCATTTATTTCTGAAAATTGCAGCAAAAGCAAATGTTGTACATTCCCTTTAAGTGTGAGGTTTGATATTACAGACGCTTTACACACAGACTGGAATCCCATCATAACTTATGATAGGTCTTTATTGTTTCAGTGCCAAGTCACAAGTGAAGGTTAGTTATGGCCTAGCTGGGTCTGTGGCCTTATTGCAAAGTTGGCATGTACAATTTTTGTAGACGTGGACTCTGGCTAGTATATTTGTGCAATGAGCTTAGATCAGCATATCAGCACACGAGCAAAATGGAGCTGTCTGGAAAATAATGGATTTCAAATAACCAGTCGGCGGCAAATCCGGGAAAACGTCGTGACCACGAAGAAAGTATTCCAAGGACCACTGCTCAGAGTCGAAAAACTTAGAGGACTAATTTAAGCAAACGACCCATCTTCGGAAGCTCCATCGGACGACAAACGATGCTTGCTGGCAGCTTTGTCATTGCTGCATATTAGCCCCGCCCTCACACGAGGAGGTTGGACTATGCCATTTTTAAGTATGGGTACTGGGTGTGCGGGATAAGGTTGTCAAGCGTGCATGCCGGATTCGCACAACGGCCGCCTTCTGTTGGTTCATTATACATGTATAATACTATTAATTACCCCCTTTTCGCTCGTACCCCCGCCCTGCAAACAGGACTGTTTGCAGGGCGGGGGCACTAGCGAATTACCCCTTAAGCATAATAGTATGGTCCGCGCTGACCCAGGCCCATTTTCTTGAATAAAAAACTACGTGTTGCGTGTGTTGACAACAAATAGTGTAACGTCGCGGATGGGTGAGGTTTGCATGATCAGTACTAGAGATTTGTATTAGTCTCAGTGTCTCACCCACAACAAAATAAGTTGGAAAGTAAAATGGCGTTCCGCGATGGTGCTCTGTTGGTGGTTCTGGGGCTGTGTCTGCTGTATGTGAAGAGCAGTGAAGCGAATGCAGGTTTGTGGAAAACTTACGGAACGAATGCTGCAAATTGACGCTACTTAAGCGGTTGCGTGCAAAGTCAATCTGTAGAGTCAAGATTTTTTTAAAAGTATTTTCTACAGTTGAAAATGTTTCTCAGTGCCAGATTCACGTCTTACCATCATTTTTTGCAATGGGTGACCGTCATTTCGATGATATATGAAGAAAAAAGCAGCGTCAGATTGCAACATTCTTTCCAAACTGACAATTCTAGAGATACGTTCAATGATTGGTCATATCAGAGTAGTAATGACTCGAGTCACAATTGTTGGTGACTCAACACGAGTCCCTATAAGGGGTAAATGACTCGACCCGCTGCGAGTAAATGACTCCAATCGACTCGAGTCCCCGTTCATCAGAAGAAGTCGGCTTGACTTGAGCGAAGGCTAAAAAGACTTGATTCCCAAAAATATCAGCAAAACTTTTGGGAAAAAAATATTTGCAATGACTCACGGTGCAAAAGTTCAACTTCACGTCAATGTTCACGTTGTTCGGCTAATACAGCGGCCACTGGTCCTGTATCCAGGAACCGGATTTTAATTTTAAAGAATTCCGATTAGTTTTATCATTGGCTTTGGGAGATTTCATTATGGATTCGAACGCCGGCTAAATGTATGCCCTCCTTTTTTTAATCAACTAGATACATGGAACTTTTCAATAATCAGAAAACTGTTTGGAAAGACTGCCATATCTGTCCATCACTATTTTTTCCCTTCAGTGACCTATCAGTCATCAGAAAGTGATAATATGTCCTGACTGATGTCAAATTTAACATACGGTTTGTGCACAGGGTAAAAAGTAATGGCCAGATATGGGAATCTTTCCATATAAAATCAAAGTTTCACTTCTTGTTAACTGCAGTGATACAAATAACTTTCTCTCTTGTTTTATTTGTAATATGTTCAAAAATCGTGACCGTCAGAATCGACTCGGGCTAAATATTTGACTCGACTTTCTTGACCCTTCGAATATATCGACTCGACTTCAGTTGGCTTTTTAAAAATTATTCGACTTGACTCGAGTCACAAAACACATTGACTCATTACAACTCTGAATCATGTGTATTATCAACTAGGAAGCAGGAGGGGCAGTTGCAATATCACTGGGATGTGGTGAAAACACCTTTCATATAACGGGGGGGGGGGGCATTTAAGGGGCATCTGATTGAGGGGCAATATTCAAATAACAGTTGATGCAAAATGTATGCAGTACATGTCCATGTGCACCTTTTAAATTGTACGTAATTGATTGAACTGTTTTTGGATTCTAGATGCTCTGTGGTGCGATCTGAGGCAATTTCTGACCACTTTAACCAATGTTTTTTTTGAGGAAAAGATGGTGTTGTACTCATTGCCTGCCTTTATTGCGATGTCACATACCAAAAAAAAAAATTGGTCTCGTTTTTTTGGGGGCCATGGCCCCCTTTGGCCCCCCCCCCCCCCTGGATCCGCCCTTGGTTTATACATGACATTGGCATAGTGGCAGAATATCTTAGAACTTTAGGGATACTCAAAGCAAACACTTGTACAAAATCTACACACACGGATAAATTATTGGTGGAACTTTCCATTGGCACCCCGCCAAATTAAAAGTATTTGGGTTGCGAAATTCCCCCTTACCAGGGCCCCACCCCATTCCCCGGATGGCTCGCCGCCAATGCTGTGAAGATTGACCGCTCAGTGTTACGAAATGGGCGGGTGCATGCATGAGCTCGCCATTCAGGCTGGTGAGGTGGATGCCCTGGAGTTTAACCGAAGCCGGGCCCCAGTTTTCACGAGAGCTACTCGTGCGGGGTTCTTTTGGTACCTGGGCTTTTATTCAGCATGGATCGATTAATTCAAATCAACTGGCCAGGCAGATAATCTGGTCTCTCCTGTTTAAAATCTCTGGCAACACAACAATGTACATTAATGTTGTACAGGAGGGCCGGGGTAGGCTAACAAGTACCAAAGAGCAATAATAATACCATGGAGCCATGCTCATGCATACCAGCCTTGTGGTTGCCGATTTGTGAGGCCGATTTGTGAGGGTTACGTAATGGTGGGAAAGAACAGAATTACACATTATGTTCTCTTTTGAAATTAAATGCTGTCAACTGAAAAGTAAGCGCCGATAAAATTATATATGGTCGACGATTCTTGACATCCGTCCAATCTGGAAATGGTATCGTTCAATTTCTTTAAATTTGCTAATTTCGGCCCGCAGCACGAGTTGGCTGGCGTACGAGTTGGCTACCGTACGAGTTGGCTGCCGTACGAGTTGGTTCACGTACGTTTCCTGTTATAAAACAATGTCGTCAAAACAGGTGTTTTCCCAAAATTAAATATAAATAAAATAAATAATAAAATAAAATATCTGATCAAAAGTACATTTGTTTTGACACGTTTGGTGCTAAGGTGAGAGAGCAGCCAGTGGGCGTGTACTGCTCGACACCATGGGAACGAGGTTGCTACACATGGGGCAGAGGTTGCCACATCACCGTCACCACGAAGTGACACTAACATCGGAAAATCGATATTTTGTGATTTCGATTTTTTTTTCCTAATTTGTGATTAATTACACATAATCTATCACCTCAAGAAGTTACTATACACAGAGTTTATTAGATTTGTCAAAATATCAATAAACATTGATTAACGTTTGTAACTTAACGGGTCACAAAAATATTTTCACACGTACACAAAATATATTCAGACTTATTTTTTTGTAGGTGTGAAAATATTTTTTTTGTACAGCGGCCGCCACTTATTATGTGGCGGCCGCTGTACAAAAAAATATTTTTCACACCTACAAAAAAACATATTTTTAGACTTATTGAGTGGCACTATCCGTCTTCATGGGCGTCGCCAGGATTTTTTTCTAGAGGGGGGCAGGAGCATTAACGATACAAGTAAAATTCTACATGGTTACAGAGTAGGCTTGTTTTTCATGCTTGTCTTTGCCAATTTTAATAGCTGTTATTTGAATTATTTTCATAATACATTGTAATTCTGTTCATTTAGCGTTTGGATACGGCGGCTTCCAGCTTGAATTTTCTCCCAACTGCACTCCACACGCACTTGGGGGTTCGTAATTGACAACACGAATACATGTACATTGTTAGCCAGGGTGACCGTAAGGTCATGGCAAAATTCTGCTAAATGCGCTTCAAATGTACAATTTTTTTCTGTATAATAACCATTTTTGCAGAATTCTGCCAAAAATATGATTCTGTCAAATTTTCTGTCAAACTCGTTTTTTTAACAAAAAATCTGTCAAAGTAAGCCGAAAATCGGCTAAAACGATCACCCTGCTGTTATTCCTGTTGATGATATCTTGGCTCCCGTTGCGAAACAGAGAAGTATTAGTAATAGTGGGGCTGATAGGGGAAATGTTTGGGGAAATGGTGCCTTACAATGTACAAGCATGGAAATCGGAAAACGGACAGCCGATGTCATGAGAAAGATAGTTGGCTAAAGGGCCATCGCAGATTTGTCCTTTACAAAACTATAAGGTACATGTACTTGTAGAATAATTTGTTGTCTTCCTCTGTCTCTTAACAGACGTGGAACACAACAATCGTCACGACCTGATTGTGAAGCTTATGGAAGTGCACAACAAGCTGGTCATTCCCAGGACGCCCGTCCAACTTTCTTTTGGCCTGGTAATGCGCGCAATCGAGGATGTGGTAAGTCCATTGCACTGAAATTAGTGATCCACCGGATTTGATGACCCGTTCTATGATAATTAGATTCTCGTGGGTTTTTTTAATGGATCGTCTCCGGTTTTACTTTGTCGTTAAACGTTTTCAGATTTTAAACACAGTCACTTGCTTTTATTTAAGGAAACATTGACTTATGTTTAGCTGAAATCTTCAAAGTTAGGGACCCAAAAAGCAGGCGAAGCCGAAATGGAGACGAAGCCGAGATTTGGAATATACCTTGTATAGAGGCTCGACGTTGTTATTGTTTGTACGCGATAGCCCGCCGCGCCGGCGCGATAACCCGCCGCCGCGCGAAGGCGCTATCACAACCTACCGTTATCACGCATGAACCCGTCGAAGCACAGGGGCCATTATCGGTTGGTCGTGATAGCGCCCTCGCGCGGCGGCCGGTTATCGCGGCGGCGCGGCGGGCTATCGCGTACAAACAATATAACAACGTCTAGCCTCTAGACTAGAATACACCATGGAATCGTCAGATTCTAAAATGCAATGTGGTACATGACGCATCATAGCTTGCCCATCGTACGATTAATGTCAAATGTTTTATATGCAAGCAATGAATACATAACTTTTTTTTTAGTAACGGTATATAAATGTGTGCGGGCCGGTTATAAACAGTATTTTTTTTAGACCGGTTGGAGTCTGGATGCAGTTAATTACCTGGTCAGGTGATATTGGCGGCTGTCTGACCTAAGATTAGTCAGAAATAGAATCTTTTGGTTTGGGAACCAGACTACTCCGCGACCAATCGACGGCAAGACAGAGAGACCACTGGGAAAGACATGATGCGATCGCATTGCCGACTTTGAAGCGAATTTCGATAGAGAAAACATTCGCTTAGCAATTCGCTCGACGTTTGATTTTTTTCCCCCAACTTCGCAGCGCCAAAGCTTGCCGTGACGTCGGCAATTCGTTCGTGTTCGTTGACGCATGCACCAATTGTAAACCGGCATTTTCTTGTGTATTGTATTTGTGTATTGAAAAAAAAATCAATCACATCATACATATTTGAAACAACAGAATAATATACACTTGTTCTCATGTTGTGTTTAATTTTGATCTATACGAATATCGATATAACTCTTCATTTTGGTTAAAATTGCAGGACGAGAAGGCAAACATCCTCCGAATTTCCGTTTTTTCCGATATGGTAAGTAACCCAAGGACACCTAGTGTGAACATGCCTTTGTTTTCGTGTAATAAAGAAAAACCTGTGAAACTGACACTGTGAAAACATCTTTCAACGCAAATGTTTTACTATGATTCCATGGAGTGTCTCTCTTCATGTTGCGACGGATAAACCTCGACCGAAAATGACTTTAAACCTGTTTTCATGAGAGGGGAAACCTTGTACAAGCACTACATTCACTGTGTGGACTTCGGAACAAAAGAGGTCCACGTAAACCAGGTAACAGCGACGTTGTGTGGACTTGCCCACGTCCACACAATGTTTCCCCTCTCTGGAAAACAGGTTTAGAGGTATTTTGGGGCTAGGTTCATCGGTGGCAAAATGAAGAGAGACACTAAAGGGAATAATAAGAAAAAAAATGGGTTGAAAGAGTTTTCAGTGTGATGATGAGTTTTTTCACAGGCTTTTCTTAACTATACGAAATCAAAGGAATGTCCACACTACGTATGCAACGTAAACATGCGTGAGTGGACATGTGTAGCCTAAGTCCTTACAACGTATCTGAAAACTGGTTTATGTGGACATCGTTTGTTCGGACATCCAGATGCATAGACATATACACACCCTTTCTTATTTATGGTAAAGCGGGTATTATTTAACTTTATTGTGATCCGTGGGCAAGATTACAAAACGGTGTTTGCGTTAAAACTTCCATAACTGAAAACGTGAGCAATTTGATTCATTCTTTCACTAAAAGAAAGCTTATGAAATGGACCGCCATATAGATCTGGAAAGCGCTACATGCAGAACTTGTCTTTCTTAATAGGGCGCACCGTTTTGGTTTTTCCTTTTTTTTTTTTACTAATCACTCCTGTATTTGAAGAGTGCATATCCAAAATGCTACGAACACCACTCTATCCCCTTTACTATAACTCTTCTGATTGCCCACATTCATTTTGACGGCTGCTTCATGGTAATAAAGACAATAAAAATGGGGAAAATATAGTGACCAACATTTATATTGTGCATTTTCTTTATACACATACACTCATTGCATGTGCAGTGTAACCTTCTTACTTTGAACAAAATCAAGAAGTCCTTTAAACTTTCGCGCAACCACTTAATCAATCTATGTTTTAATTTCTCGTAAAACGAATCTTGTTGTAAATGTGGTCACCATCGCCCCTATGAAGTTGTGTTCATTATTTAACTTTTTATTTAGAAGTCAAAATGTTGATATCGCATGTGCAGTTTGATTCATGCCGAACTATCTTATTTTGATTAAGAATTTTCAAAATGTACATCTTTGTATTAATAAGTTCAACAAGTTTCAAATTACAAAATCACCCTACCTAGTTCAACGTTGATAAACCGCCACCAATTCACCAATCCCATTTTGATGTGCTCATGGCGTCGCTTCTCGCTAAATTTATATGGCGCCACCACGAGGGAAATATTAATTGGAGGGAGTTTTGGACATTATTTTACAGGCATGGTCTGACCACCGTTTCCAGTGGGACCCTGCAAACTATAGCGGAATATATTCTGTGAGTCTACCACTAAATAGTGTCTGGCGTCCAGACCTCGTCCCAAGTTACGCTAAGTAAGTAGCTTTAAAATAAATACATGTGTATCCTGAAGCCGTGTATGGCTGAGTCAAAGCACTGTACACGTGCAGCTACACCGCGCAGGCGACGCTACTTTTGTTATCTATGTTTTGAAGACGAATTATTTGCTAGTTCGTAAATCTGATAAAGAATTTAGTCAACCAAACAAGACGAGAATAACATTGTTTCAACTGTTTGTTTAGGATTGAGGAGGAACATGTCACCGTGGCTGCGTTTGTCGACGGGACTGTTCGATCCTACGTTCCGCAGCGTTTATCCATACCGTGCTCTTTTGACTTCAACGACTACCCGTACGATGTCCATACCTGCGACCTTAAGTTCCAATCCTGGACTCATTCCGGTAACAGGATCAATCTGACTATCATTGATGAGACAGCAGCCAGCTTGACATACCATCGTGACAACAGCCAGTGGGAGATTCTGTCCTTCAAAGCGACTAGGACTGCGACTACGTATCCGTGTTGTCCCAACGAAGAGTATATCGACGTGTCGTACCGCATCCAATTCAAACGCACGGTGGGCGAGTACCAGGTCCGCGTTGTGACGCCCTCTATCATCACATCACTTCTGATCCTGGTGTGTTTTCTCATCCCTCCACTCTCTGGTGGGAGGATGGTTCTCTGCTCCGTCGTCATCCTCGGCCTCTTGCTTCAACTGGCAATTCTCAACCTGACTGTGCCCATCCGCGGTCCCAACGCCCCCTTCATGGCCGACTTCCTCTGTTTCAGCGTGTTCTTGGCCTTCTTTGCCGCCATCGAGAGCGTGGTGTCAATGAATCTCTCCAGTTGGGGGTCCTTGAGTGGGAGTGGCAACAATAATGGTGACGCCTCCAAAGACGGTGAGGAGCTCGTGGCGCAACCCAAGCCAAATTTGGTAGGTTCCGTGTGTTGCTCTCTTTTTGTATAACAAGATTATCTACGATTACTGGCAAGGTTGACACGGTTGCCTTTTTTAAGCACATGCACTGCCTTCATCCCCAAGAGGCTTCGGATATTATACATAACCCGTCTAACATCGAGCACACAATTTTGTCGATAAGCTAGACGAGTCTGACTTTTAAGTCATGCCTGGGCAGGATTAGCCCACTTAATGATGGGTGCCACTTGCTGGCTGTTATGGATCCTTCCAGCCTGGCATTCCAGCATTGGCCAATACGGGCGATTCCTAAATACAGCGCGCCACCAAAGATTGCCACGGTAAAAGCCGTACATTTTTTTTATGCTGGAACTGTGCAGACGTCTGCCCCTTGGTGACAAATAGATAGGTAATCATTGTCATTTCGATTGTCATCATGTTTCTTTTCCCTGTGATTTTGAACTTCGTGTCCATTTTTGTCTCTCCCTGTTTTAGTTCCTGATGCAACTCGCCCGAATCATCGACTTGGTCTGCTTCGTCGTCTTCACCGTAGTCTTTGCTATTGGCGGAGCCATCATACTCAATCCTAAGACGGAGTAGAGAGGAATACGTGACACTTCCAACAACCCACACATGTTTGTTTTACATACGCTATGTGGACATTCATTTGTTTTCGTGTAGTTAAGAAAACTCGGTGCAGAAAATATCTTCACTTAAACTGTGAAAACTCTTCCAACCCCCATTTTTTTGATTTCCTTGAATGTTTCTCTTCTTTCTGCGACGGATAACCCTAACCTGAAAATGCCTCTTAACCTGTTTTCCAGAGAGGGCGAAACGTTATGTGAACACGGCTTAATCCACATAACGTCAACACAACCTGCATTATATGGACATCTTTTGTTCACATGTCCACATAGTGACTGTAAGACAAACTCACAACCGGCAATTTTTAATATTAAGCCTTGAAACCGCGGGGGCATTAGTGTTCTCTATCCGTCGTGATTAGGGATAGTAACGAAAATGGTTCCATCACTGAAAAACTTTGCACTGTTGCTCATCTGAAATCCTATCTGGTTCGCCGTTAGTGACTTCGTCATACACGCACGCGCACCAGCGGGCGTGGTTTAAACTGAAATGACGTCAAACGAACGAACCGGATAGATTACCTGTGACGGTATACTAAATAGTGGGGTTGTTTAATAGGAAACAGAATTGTGTACTTTGTGACTGAAGAACGAAGCTTCCCTTGTTGGTTCTTCATGCCATGAAAACAATTTTCAGAATGTAGAAGTATTTTATATTTGACCTCTGTTGACCTTTAAGAGGTCACCGACCTTTACATACTCTATTGTGACAATTGTTCTTAAAAGCAAGACTTTCGTATGGCTCAAGTCTACGTCATATGTGAACTGTTGAATGGGATGTTGCCAGACTACTTGTGCATTTTAGCCTCACTTTATTTTTTTTTAATGTGGCTTAACACATTAGGGCATCTTTAATCACAAATTCAAATTATTCATTAAAGCAGACTGGTACTTATTTTTAATTAACTTTATGTCATTGCTGTGATTAATATCTCTTCGAAGGTTCCAAAAATGAATATTTTACCTCCCTTTCAATTTAATATGGCCGATTCGTGAATTAAGTCCATAGACCAGTGACTTAGACGTGATTCATGAGAAAGTGGCATTCTTAAGAACAGTTGTTATAAATACGGTGTATTAAGGTCATTGACCTCTAAAAGGTCACCAGGGGTCAAATATGAAATGCCCTCACATCTAAACATTTTCTTCGTGGCATGAAGAACAACCGTGCGCAGTTAAATGCACAGTCGTTAGTTATGTGACCTCAACAGCCCCACTAAAAGCGCCATCAACGGGCAACCCCAAATATCTAAGCATCTCTAGCACGCTATTTTTCCTACGATAAAACAGGTAACATTGCACTTTAACACATTTCAAAGAAGTGAGCAAGCGTGTACATATTAAACAAGTTAAGTATTTTCTAACAGTATGTTAAACAAGGTGGTTAGTATTTCTTAACAGCGCTCACAGGTTCAATATCGACAAGGTGTTTAGTATTTCTTAACAACATTTATAAGTCAAGTCCGACAAGGTGTGTAATATTTCTTAACAGCGTTTACAAGTTCAACTATGTGTTTAGTATTTTTTTAGCGTTTATAAATTCAACAAGGCGTTTAGTTTCTCAAAACGGCGTTTGTAAGTTCACCAAGTTTACTTCAGTTTAGTATTTCTGCACAGCGTTTATAAGTTAAACGAGGTGTACAGAACAGAACGGTGTTATAAACTTGAATAACATAAGGTTATCAAGTTATCTAACATATAAAGTTAAATAAGGGGGTTAGTATTTCTGTACAGCATTTATAAGTTAGATGAGGTTTATGATATATCTTAACAGCGTTTATACGTTAAACAGGATGTCAATTATTTCTTAACATGATTTATAATTCTGGTCCGACAAGGTGTATAATATTTCTTAACAGCGTTTAGTTCAGCAAGGTGTATAGTATATTTTATTTACGTTGATAAGTTCAACAAAAAGTTAATTTTTTTCGAAATGACGAGTATAACTTCAACAAGTTCAGTATTTTTTGCACAGCGTTTATGAGGTCCACCAGGTGTTTAGTAGTTCTTAACAGTGTTTTTAGATTATTAAATTGGGTTTGTTTTTCTGAACAAGTACGATGAATTTTCATATAAGTAATTCTTTAATTTAGGCCCTCCTTTTATCGCAAAATACATTGTATTTCTAATTCGTGGCCCTGACGGATTTTCTTTATAAAAGGGAAATAAAGTCCGAAATGTCTTTAGGTCGGATGTCATCATTTTCGTTTCTAAATCGTGGCTGTGGAGGATTTGTTTTGTAGGGAAACAAAGTTTGAAGTTTCAATTGGTCTAATTCCCGCCCCTAAATACAAAATCACAACGATAATGTATTTATTGATTTCTTCTATATATGGGGTGGCCCATTCAGGCCCATTGATCAGATCTGATCTCCCATGGGTGATATGGGGCCGTGGCGTATCCAGCTTTTGATGTGGGGGGGGGGGTCGCACTCGCACATCCGTCCCGAAATTGTAGAAATGTGGGTTTTTTTTTATTGTGTAGGACGATATGAGATGGAGGGAACCCCCCTCCCTCCTTTGTGTTGGTCATTGCGATTCCAGAAACTCAGGAATTCTTTTGAGAGGGGGATGTGTTAGGTAACAAGTCTATGGTTTTCATCGAGTACGGGGAGATTTTGGGGTACCCCTTCACCTCATATCGTGCAGACACTTGGCCTCCTTACAAGCAAAAAGGGGGTACCCATCTTCATAATGGAAGTGGTATTCACATTATTAAGCATACTGGAAGATATATATGCAAATTTTCACTGCGCATTGTGATGGTTTGGGGGCTTGTTTGTTTGTTTTTGTTCATGTCAGAACTCTCTACGTCTCTGCGTTTTATGTGCACAGTGACATTTCAATTAAATTCGTCATAACAAACATTTTGTTCAGGTTCGGCTAAGTTTGTTTAATACCAGTCGACTTTCAGCACGGAAGGTGTCGTTTACTTTGCATGCCAAATGTTTTTGTTTTTTTTTGCTTCTGACGCGTATCAGAGAACCATGGAGCAGTCGTTTGCTGATCTGTCATTGGTGGCATGCTCGTCCATTCACTGTGCGATGAATGTGCGCCATTTTTGTGATCTGTTGTGTACGCGCATTGATGTAAAAGTTTATCCAACCTTGTTTCCATGGGTACGATCTTGCTGCGCCATGTTGTTTCCCATCATGCCTTGCGCGAGTGAAGGAACGCGTACGCGCCCATGGAGTCGAGGCGGAATTATATCCGTCCTCCAGCACGTGACCTAACTGAACGCGCGAAGCTAGAAATGCGCACCGAGTATCCGCTGCGCACACAAGTATTTGGGGTGCCGCTCTCTGTTTCGGTTATGATCATTTTTTTCCTGCAAACTTAGAAACCTGTAAACCTTTACATTGTGCAGCCGTTTACTAATATCCAAGAGCTCTGGTTCTGTAGGAAACCTGTTCAAATTGAGTGGGGCCAAGGCTTATAAAAATGATCTACCAATTTAACTTGTGTATTATGCCACTTTAACCACTGTACTCCGGATGAGGGCTGAGTTATGAAAAAGTGCTGCAGTTAATAATGTTCACAGTTTGAGTCCTTGTTTCCGATGAGTTTGTAAAGTTCAAATATTGAGGGATCCCAGGACCATATTGGCTCCGTTCGCCAACCAAAGAGGGCGCTTTTTACCACTTTTGAGAGCCCGTGGGCGGGACACACAGCGTGTCCTTACTGTAATGTACTGATCGACGCGCAAAATACGCACGATATTCTTAAATGCACCAAAGCTGTGGTCACAGCGTGGTCTCCCAGACAGATCCCCGTGTAACCGAGCTGGAAAGGTTACGCAGAAATTTGAAAGTGACACTGGGTATATATTCCACTATAAATTGATCAAAATTTTATTACAAAAAAACGACAGTCATTCTTCAGCAGTCCAAATATTATGGATGCTGGATATGGGATACACTGGTCTACTCGAGAAGGCTTCTCTATTTGCGACCACTCAGGAACCACAGAACCACAAGCAGTAGCGGAGCAGTTGTGGCCTGTGTACCTATGCCTCGGGATGTTTGGGCAAACTACACGATATGCATGTACATGATATGTGTATGCACATGCGGCGTGCTAACCATGGCAAAACCACGTGAGAAACACAGCAAAATATAGACAAGCTGGCTCGCAATAAGGTGTGGCTGGCAGCAGCAACGACAAGCAGTCAAGTGACCTACCCATGCTTGCTTACTCTCCAAGAAAACTAGCGAAAAATTCACGGAATGTGCGTCCGAAGCCCTATGCTTTTGAGACGCTGCACGGAATAAAAGGCTTTTTCGCACTGCATGTCATATGCAAATTGTTACGCAACTCTGTATGCTCTATTCAACGGAAAACACAAGAGGGCGCTCGCAATGCTTCGACAACTTTCGCATCGCTGTTTATGCTAAAAATATAAGACATCGACAAAGAAATATTTTACAGACGGGACCTGGCAGCATGATTACAGGAATTTAAGTCTGGCCGGTCACACCCGCCCCAACAACTTTGGATCATTCGAAATGATACGCAGTGGATGAACCGGGAACCAGTCTAAGTCTCCCAATTCTTCTTTTCTGGCCGAATTGAAGGGGTACTTTGTACCAACAGGGCACGAGGAACAACGAGATGAGAAGAAGGAATTCGGAAAAAAGATGAAATTGAAAAGTGAACTAAGTTGATCGTGACCTAGCAACTGTCTGGCATACGTCTTACTTTTTTATCGAGCGCCAGCAGTGGTTTAGGTGCAAGAATATAGAAAACTGTGAAAAGTACAGGTCTAGAACTACATTGTATAATACAATGTATTGTAAAACCATAAAAAAAATAAAATTATTATGTGGTATAGGTCTTATATAATTGCAAGAACATCCTTTGATGTTCATAACTTTCAGACTTTCAGACTACCGTTGGTGGCGCTGTAACACAAATACGATACGCGAGATGACAACCGTTAGTTCTCCTAAGACGATATCGGAAGTCGAAGGTGAGGCCGAAGCTGCTAACGCAGCATGTAAAATATGCCGCAAAGCGATAAGACGAACTTGAATGTGATACCTCTGAAACTAAAACTGATGGAGGAAGGGTTTTTTTTTTTTCTTGAATACATTGGATTTTGAAAATGAACCAGCAGTTTTTCCCATCTGAAAAAAAGCATAGGCGTAGCCAACGGGGGGTATAAAGAGAGTATTTTCCCCCAATATTTTGTCAAGACTGCCCTTTTCCATTCAAATGCCCTTTTTTCAACAGCGTTTACCCCCCCCCCCCCAATATTTTGTAAAGAGTGCCCTTTTTGTAAGAAGTGTCCTTTTTTTCTGAATAAGTGCCCTTTTAAAAAAGAGGTTGTGCCTTTTTTTGTGACATCGGCCGTTCCGGGTGGTTTTTGTTTGTGGGGGGGGGGGGGTAATTTTACTCATGTATGGCCCTGAAAAGCACAGTATATTGTCCGTTAGTGTGCATAATCGTCAGTTTTAAACAACGCCCCCATCGACAGATGGTATAGTCGGACTCCCTATTATCCCTGAACGTTGCTTGCACTGACCGGTTTTCCTTGCTATTTTCGCAGCCATAAAATCACTTCTCAAAGAATTAAAGTCTGTGATTAAAATAATTCATGGTGGCGGCCATACTCCTTTCCATTTAATTTTAGATGTAGTGGCGGCATGTATGATTACGCCCCTTCCCAATAAACACGACTGAGTTGAAGAGAACTCACAAATCGAGAAATGGATCGTTCTATTAGACAGTTGCAACGCTTTCGACAGAGGAGGTTAGGCTGTGGATTTCATGTAAGGAACGTAACACAGGCGAAGACTTTGGATATAGAATAAGAAAGAAAGAAATTAACTTTAAAAAAAGGGGGGTAAGGGAGAGACACTAAACAAAGGAGAAGTGTTATCGTTCAGATGCACAGTTCTAAGCTATTCTATGAAAATTTGGTGGCTCTGAAAAGAGCCGTTTGCTTTGTTTCGAGTGAATACAGAACTATTTGATGCCGGAAACAAGCCCTCTTTCTGCCCTGCAGGCTGATTCTGACCACAGGGCAACTCATCATCGCTATCGCTAAGCATCATGAGGTCTTGTTCGGCTTCTTGGTTTCTTGAGCCGGGGGTGGGTGGGCAAATGAGTTCTAGGTTCTAAGTTAATTTCTTTCTTTCTTATTCTATATCCAAACTCTGGACAGCTCAATTGTGTGGTATACACACCGGTGAACTCATGGGCGTCGCCAGGATTTTTTCTAGAGGGAGGCAAAACATATTTTTCCCCAAAAATTCTTGTATTTCTGAACAAATTCTCGATTTCTCAGTTTGAGACGGGGGCAGGTACATTTTGCCCCCCCCCCAACTCATTAAATTTACACCACTATGACTTCGCGCCTCTTTTTCTTTTCTTTTTTTCTCTTTTCTTTCCCTTCCTTTTGTAGTTGTTGTGCTTTTCCAGGGGAGGGGAAGCGCCCCCTTGCCCCCCCCCCCCCTCGCGACGCCCATGGGTGAACTAAGTCTCAAATTAACGGAACTCTTCTCTGCATGCTAGTCGGAAGGAAAAAAAAACTCTTCAAAAAAAATGCATCAGCTCACAGAGCCTCCCGTCTTCGTAATTGTTTTGCATCCCACGAAATGTAAAGAAATGAGGAACAGCCCTGATGGTGCTGATAGTGAGTCCCACTCCTTGATAAACTCTGATTCACGGCAGCAACTCTCTTGGAATAATCTTGGAATTATCCTACAACAAATTAATATCGACGATTTATTTCCTGAACGTTGCTTGCACTGACCGGTTTTCCTTGGCCTTGCTATTTTCTCAGCCATAAAATCACTTCTCAAAGAATTAAATTCTGTGATTAATAAGAATTCCTGGTGGCGGCCATTCCTCCCGGCGCTTTTTCTTTTGCCGCGGCACTTTTCCTTTTGCCGCGGCGCTTTTTCTTATGCCGCGGCGCTTTTGCTTTTGCCGCGGCGCTTTTGCGCTTGCCGCGGCGCTTTTGCGCTTGCCGCGCCGCTTTTGCGCTTGCCGCGGCGCTTTTGCGCTTGCCGCGGCGCTTTTGCGCTTGCCGCGGCGCTTTTGCTTTTGCCGTGACAGTTGTGGGCCACCGTAGTACAGCGTTCCGACGCCGCTATAGGTATACATTATGTACGTATAATACTGACACGGAGGTTCACAAGGTCATTGTGCAGGGTAGCTTCGTGTTCGATTGGGTGGTTGCACAGTAGCCTACATATGCACTCGTTGAAAAAAAAACAAGTTTGTCCTTTTCTCACACATCATCAAAGTAAGTTTTTATTAGTAAAATGGCGTTCCGCGGTGGTGTTCTGATGGTGGTTCTTGGGCTATGTCTGCTGTATGTCAATGGCGGAGTTGGGGAAGGAATCAACGGGGAATCGAGTGAAGCGCTACCCGGTAAGCTCATTACTTCCCCCTCCACTCCAGTATGGCTATGTACTTGTGTAGGTATCTGAAGTAGGCTACCATATACATTTTGTATTACTTTCAATTGTGAAGCAGGAGTGACGATTTTTTTTCCTTTCAAATTGGAGTGTTTGTGTGTGTGTGTGTGTGGTGGGGGGGGGGGGGGGGAGGGAGCAAGCAGCTTGGAATTTTCGAAAGAGGCATCTGACCCTAGGGGGCGCTGGTCAAACAAGTGATTGTATGTATCATGCACATGCCCATAATTATGCGCATTTTGCACCGATTCCGCGCAGTAGCTGTACGTTGTCGTTTACAAGAAAAAAAAGGGTGGCATGATCTTTTGTGATTAATATGGAGTGTACATTTATGTACATTAATTTTGTCAAAATATATGTGCACTGGATATATTACCGGGGGGGGTATCGACAATACGTTTAAGCATCTCCGCCTAAACTAAAGGTATTTTGGGTTTGCACTGTGCCCTGACCCACCCCCATTCCTCGAGATTATCGCCACCCGCGCTGTGAAGATTGACCGACTCCTCGCGGGCTACGAACTTGTTTGTCCCGAACGGGGACTTTGTAATTCAGTGGTTGGGGATGCAAGGAAAATTCTCTAGAACACACCTGACTAATTTACTTTATACAAGTTTTAAACTGATTGATACAAAACGAATTTGATCTCTGAATGCTGCCATTAGTTTCGCAACAGCCTAAACGAACCTGATCTGTAGTGTAATGACGAATATTCGCGACACGATGACTAAAGAGGGTGACCAATCTTTGAAATTAAATGGTGACTACATTGATTTTGGTAAAAGCGTGTGAATTTTTTTTTCTCGGACAAAATTGAATGTCAGAGTTAGTGATTTTGAATGAAAAATTCTCCAAAATAACCGGGGAAAAACCCATACTTTCAACATGGGCGTCGCCAGGATTTTTTCTAGAGGGGGCAAACAATTTTTTTGCCAAAAAATGTTTGTATTTCTCAACACATTCTCGATTTATCAGTTTTAGAGGGGGTAGGGACATTTCTCCCCCCCCCCCAACTAATTAAATTTATACCACTTTGTCTTCGCGCCTCTTTTTCTTTTTTTTTTTTCTTTTTTCTTTTCTTTTCTTTCTTTTTTTCCCTCTTTTTGGGGGGGCTTTTCCAAGGGGGGCAAGTGCCCCCCTTGCCCCCCCCCCCCTCTCGCGACGCCCATGGCTTTCAATTTCAATAGTGGTACTGTGCATCATTTGGTGCTTTATTAACCCGAAAAAAGATACAAAGAAGTTTCCAGCGACACCAATAAACTAATACGAGAATTGAAATACGAGCACCGCAAGTGGGTACCTTGATCCTGTCTAGACTTAAACTTTAAAATGGGGTTGCGGTCGCTGCCGAAGTTAATTGGGCGTGATGGAGTAATAACTTACCGTCTGATATTTTCTACACAAACCCCCGGTGTAGGGGGTTTTGCATAGAAATGAAGATACCAACTTTTACGACAATGTGTTAGTACATGGTATAAGCTATCCATGGTGATTATATCCCCCCCCCCCCCGCATTGCGCGTATGCCGCTTTTCACCTTGGGAAGCTGTTATTCCCACACTCACATATCTCATTATGTGCGTACCCGGTGTGTTTTGATTTCCTTGACCTTCAGTTCTACAGGCGACGAATTTGTTTTTCAGTACTCAGGTTTAGTATGATCCACGTATGAAGCCCGGGAAGGGACAGGGTGGAATTTTTTTTTGGAGTTTGCTAATTCGTTCGCACGAATTGCTAATTCGTTCGCACGAATTACTAATTCGTTCGCACGAATTAGCAATTCGTGCGAACGAATTAGTAATTCGTGCGAACGAATTAGCAAACTCCAAAAAAAATTTCCACCCTGTCCCTTCCCGGGCTTCATATCCACGCGGTTGGTGTGGTCCTGGTGTAAAACGGTAGACGTGATTCGAGACATTTTGATCCACGATAGGCCGTCACCTGCATGGTTACGGCTGCGTGCGTAATACAGGGCGAGTCAGAATGATTTATACCCAAGTTCACCACTTTTTTTGATGGCAAATGGAATATTGAGATAAAAATAATACCGTGTCTTCCGTCTTCCACAGGAAGTTTGAATTTTTCAAATTCGAAGCTGTGGTGATCGAGGAGTTGTGCCATTTTCATTGAAGTGGCTCATTCCCAGTCTGGACACGGAATTGGTTTTGTCTTTTTTAAATGTGTTAATCACTTCAAGTGCCAGTCACCTTGACTAGGGTTTTATTTGTTATTACACTGCTTCACATCAGCTCGAGATTTCAATAAATTTGTTGAAACATGAAACCGTGGTCAAAGCGCTTTTCTTCAAAATGGTACAATGGATATACATAAAACTTTTTCCAAATATGTCCAAAACACCAGCATATATAACATATCTCATTTGCATTTGTTTTGCTATTTGCTTCATATTTTTAATATTCTCTTCAATTTGGGTCCAGATCATTCGGACTCATTCTATGCATATACACGTAATTGGCATAGGCCTACACACAATGCTTGTGCCATGCGTTGTTCAAGATCATTTTTGTTTCTTCGAGGTAGGTTTTAAGATTGTATAGAGTAGCATGTTCGGTCGCAGACCACATCGACTACAAAAACTAAACGTTTGTCCCAGAAGTTGTAATAAAAATGATTTAGGTAATTTCATCACAGCATATGATACTGAATGAAATACAAGAATTAACCAAACCCGCATATTCCAACGGGGTTTTCAAAACACCCACTTCATCCCTATACTGGTTTCATGTCCGACTTTATTAGAATCACTTTACAAACCTTTCATATCCGAACCAAAAGGGCATACTCCCGGAACTGTGCCCACGGCAATGATTTAATGTTCAGCCGAGTTGCAGAACATTGGACCCACATTGGGGGGTCTACCCGATGTTCCCCATTATGTTCCCGATATATATTATGTTCCCCAAAATCCTTAGGGTGGGGGTTAGGGGAACATAGGTATTAGGTTAGTATGCACCCCCACATTGGCCCGGTTCTGGTTCCCCAAAAAGGCAACCTCGTTCCAAGGGTCTGGTTCCCCAAAAAGGCAACCTCGTTCCAAGGGTCTGCTTATAAAAGCCACCCAGATAATCGTAGACCCTGGAAGAGGAGAGGAGCCAGTGGGAGCATACTGCTCGACGCAATGTGGACGAGTTTGCAAGTTAGGCACATATATAATCTCCTGATATCGAACCGGAGAGGAAGCCGTGTTTTTTTTAATACTCCCAAAATGTTTCACAAACCTTCCCGATAGATCCGGGTTTTTTTAATTTGTTTCTTTGCCTTCCAGGCCCGGATCAAGCGAGCCGCGTCAGGTTGATGGTCAATCTGCTGAGTTCGTACCATCCACTGGTCATCCCCAGAACACCTGTCAATGTTTCCTATAGCCTGGACCTCGTCTCAATCGATGGTGTGGTAAGCGCGATAACGAAATCAGTGGTCCGCCGGATTTCGAAATCCGGTGGCACAAACATTTAGATTCGCAACTCAATTTTCGATTCCGTGCCGCTTTTAGAAGGCGATTTCAAACATTGGTCATTCTATTTCACTTTTAGATTAATGTTATGTGATGCGATCTGCTATTTTCAATGAGAAAAATGTACTTTTGATTGCACTTTCACGAAATTGTATTCCAAAACTCTGCGCGAAAAGGTGTGCTTGCGTAAATGAATGCACAGGTATATAGGAATTGGCCGTCTGTTTCTCAAAACCGACTACATGAACAACGAAAATGATTGAACTTTCGTTGAATTGAAATTGGATTAAAGACGTGCATTCATATTCAGACGAAATGAAACACTGGTTTTTAGAAATGAATGAAGTTTCAGGAAATTGGCCGGGAAAACCTATTTTAAATTCTGTTTCGATAGAAAATTGTTTATTATGCTAATTTAAATATATATATATATATTTCTATAACTGTACGATGGGAGTGGTCCTGGTTCCCGCAGCACATTCGAATAGAGAGATTCAGAACCAGCGCGTAGCTTCAACTGTTCGAGTCCCACCCGAGTGATTTTTTTCAACTTTCACTCGGTAGGTAACACACTGAGTATGCAGTGTTTACACGTCGGTGAAGGGCAAAACCTAATTTGATTTACATTACCCCGACGCAAAATTACACCTTATGAATAGTTTATGCGGTACCTGCTGCTATGTACATCAGATTCGAACCAGCCAACTGACCCCGTCAGCTTGGTGGTCGAGTGGTAAGACGTCTGCACTCGAAAGCAGGAGGTCGTGGGTTTGAGTCCCACCCGAGTGATTTTTTCAACTTTCACTCGGGAGGTAACACACTGAGTATACAGTGTTTACATTTCGGTGAAGGGCAAATCCTAATTTGATTCAACTGTTTGCATGGTGCACAAGGGCCAATGGGCTATCCAGATTTTTAAAACATGGAAATCAGTGGTACTGTCCTCATCGGTAGGTATTTGCAAGTTTGCATTCACAGTTCACATATTCTACTCTCATCGATTGGCAGTGGTCAGTCTGCCGTCACTTATAATGGGCAGGCCCAATTATTTAGAGTGCTTCGATTTTTGGATCGTGACCGGCTGGTCCAAAGCACCAAATTGGTAGAAAGATTGTTATAGCCCAATAGAGAAGATATTTAGAAGGGGTGACACCTGAAATGTTTTTTGTTTTTTGTTTTGGGAGGTGCTTAATTTGCATAAATCCTACGGCCGCCGCGTAACATATTTATTCACATATTTTTGGTTGATTTTCGGGTGAAATCAAGTATATTTGGGTGTCTATTTACATATCCTTACTTAACATTTTCTAAAGAAAGTGACTTCAAGTTGATAATTATGAGGACATAATGAAAGTTCCAAAATGGCTACCATTGTACCTCAGCGGCGTAGCCGTTGAATCATCACTGGCCTCGCAGTTCAGGAGGTGAGCATTTATATAAGGATCTTGCTTTTGAGGTGCTGTTAACAATCTGACAAACATCACTGATCTTACATAAATTCAGACCATGTGAAAGAGGCGTCGTTGTACTTGCATTAATTTGTATTATTTCTAGGAATAACAGCGCTTCTGTCATCAATGTCACTTGCAGGACATGAAGGAAAAGATGCTACGGATTTCCGCCTACGCGAAGATTGTGAGTATCAACTTTCTTATAGAGTTTAGGCACTCTCCTGGAGACGGTCAGAGCATACTGACCGGAACGTCGAGTTTATACCTCTAGTTCTTTTCAGAACCATTCTCTTAGTTGAGAAATGTATTCGCATATGGTGTTTCCGCAAACCTGTCAATATTTAGTATCTCCACCACGCAAAGCCTCAAATCTTACTTATTGCGAGTATCCAACGCAATACATATGTACCAGTAAGCCACGATTTTCTCTGTGGGAAAAAAAAACTTCCGTCTGACGTATGCAAAATAATGGAGGGTACTAAAGAGATTCGAAAGAGGGTATTAAAAATCCAAAACTACAATATTTTGGACTGCTCCATGCCATGCAGTATTTGAAGCGGTTATTTTCAAATCTTGTGGTCGTAAACAGTTGGTTTTATGAAGACAAAAGTGAAGGTAAAACGTATCTTAAATTACATTTATTAGTTATAGGCAATCTTCTTTCTGGTATCATCACAGTGCGACTTTCTTACTCATCCCGAAAAATACATTCCTTATAGTTATAGCAAAGCACATGGTAATCACTATTCAGCTTTGTGCATGGTCGGTATCTCAACACATTTTTACCCAAAACTGCTTGAGTTACCACAAATAGTATGCAAAATCGCCAGTGTCTCCATGAAGGCAACTTTCAAGCATTTCAATATGTTTCAAATACTGAAAAGTAATGCCCCTCTTTTTATATAGATATAGTTGCCAGAGATCCTTTCGAATTCAGCAAAAATCGAAGCATCTCACCACAGAAATTTCACATTCTTGGCCTATTGCCATTTTTGCAATAGGCTGGATCCGCGCAAACATTAAAGTTGCGATTTTGAATTTAGGAGGCGGGATTCAGACCTATGCACGTTCTGCATATAATTTGCATACATTAGGAGAAAAGCCTCCCAATGATGCATTCGGGATTCACTGCTAGCTACATGTCCCCACATGTGAAGTCCGAAGGACAATGGAGACAGGGAACCAGTCTATTGAGAGAGTTACTAATGCGAATTCATATTATTTTGCTTTTGCAGGAGTGGCATGATGACCGTTTACAGTGGGATCCAAGCATCTTCAGTGGAGTGTCTTCTTTACTTTTACCAGCAGATAAAGTATGGCGACCAGACCTCAAACTGTATGCTCAGTAAGTAGCCAAATATACGGTGTTTTTGGTACGTCTTGAAGCTGTGTGTGGCTGAGCATTGTCGCCGTGCTACACATCGGATCCTGTTAACGTTTGTGTCTTGAAGATGCAATTGTTTGAAGACAAGGTTTTGCAGTTGAAGACGTCGACTAGATGCCCTTGAGTGTATCTCTTCATTTTGCCACCGAAAAACCTAACCCCAAAATGCCTCTAAACCTGTTTTCCAGATAGGGGGGAATCACTAGGCCTATGTGTCCGTGAGCAAGTCCACACAGCGTCGCTGCTACCTGGTGGACCTCTTTTGTTGGGAAGTCCACACAGTGAATGTAATGCTTGTACATCCCATGTGCGCAGCACGAGTGTTGATTTCTGAAACAATATTCATTGCTTTTTGCATGGATGAGATTTGAGCACATGGTTATCGAAAAAGTCACTCTTGTCTTACCAAGTTCATATACCAACCAGTAGAAAAAAAACAACAGTGTCTCCACGAAGGCAACTTTCAAGCATTTCGTCTACAATTAGGTGTCAAACACTGGACAGTAAAGCCCTTCTCTTTTATTGAAAGTTGCCTGAGAAACTTTTGAATTCAGCGAAAATCGAAGCTCATCACCACCGAGATTTTGTATGCGTGTTACCATTTTGCAATAGGCTGGTGCCGCCCAAATATAATTTACATTCATATAATTTGCATACACTAAGAGGAAAACCTCTTAACGCATTCGGGATACACCCATTATTTGAAGGCCGAATGACAATGGAAGGACTGGGAACCAGTCTACTGAAGACGAAAGAAAAAGGCGAAGGTTTTGCGTTACGTACTTGAAGCAGCTATTTGTAAACAAGGTTGACATTTTGCAGCACCTCATTCTGTGATATAAAAACAAGTGCGTGTGTACAATAAGCTCTGGCCGTGTTGCAAGAAGTCTTGCATGAAAACGCCATACTTTTGGTCAACTTTCGGAACAGACAGACCGACCGACCGACCACCAAGTGACTTGTTGAAGCTCCTGTCATAGCTTAGTCATTCCAAATAGCTCATACTTTTCTGGTTGGGAAAGCGGTTATTTTGCTTGTTTATCAGTTTCACTTGTTTAAAAAGACAGTTCCTAACATTACTTGTGCAACTTACGAACGGGTAGGCCCTATTTCTTAGTACATCATCACCTCATGCGATATGCGTTGCCAGCCCGGCCGATTTTGCACATAAAAAAAGTGGAGTCATGGACAATAAGCGCTGGCCGTGTTGCAAAAAGTCTTGCATGAAAGTCTTGCATGAAATCGATCCCAATGATCCCTGCCAGAGCCCTGAAAAATGCGACACCGAAAATGCGACGCCGATGGCACATTATGGAATACCATACTTTGGGTCAATTTTCCAGGGACAGCCCGACAGACCGACAGACAGACAGACCACTTTGTGACAGACAGACCACTTTGTGCTTAAAAATAAGTGTGTTTATATAGTCCAATATAATACTACCTTGAAAATGTTGTCGTACATTAAAAAAAAAACAACTAAAAATACACCTGAAACAAAAGGTCATTCGGTAATCATATATTTCGTGAGCTTGTTTATATATGTGACACTTAGATCTTTTCACATTGAATTGCTTTGTATTAAAAATACCAACGACGTGTCTCAAATCGAAAAGAGTGCCGAATGTACATTTAGTATAGCTTGAAATATCCAGCTCACTGGGCTCATGACATGGATCCAGCTCCCACGTCACTGAGCCTAGTGCTGGATATTTCAACCTATTGTGTAACTGTAAGAGTTTGATTTTTAACTCATTAGTTATTCGCGGGCAAATTTGACAGAAAGGACTTCCGCCAACAGAACACAATGAAGGTATTGACTTTGTTTGATCTGTTTATTTATCTAGAGTCCTGGAGGAAGAAGACTTCAACCTGCGTGTGCATGCCGATGGGTCTATCTTGCACTACGTTCCGATGCGTCTAGCTGTACCTTGCCCTATGCAATTCGGCAACTACCCGTTCGATGTCCAAACATGCTACCTTAGGCTGGAATCCTGGGGCTACGACGCGTCCATGATCAATCTAAGTCATCACGAGAGGTCACCGGGGGCCGGCTTATACTACTATCTTTCAAACGCCGATTGGAAAGTCCAGTCCTTCACTGCGTCGACGCACGACAAGCTGTTTGTGTGCTGCGAAGAGCCCTACATCGAACTGTCGTTCCGCATCCAGGTGAAACGCAAAATCGGCGAGAAGGCCGCGTACTCAATACGCGTGCTGGCGCCCTCTGTTCTCACATCTCTCCTGCTCCTGCTGTGTTTCCTCATCCCTCCACGCTGCGGCGAGAGGATCACTCTTTGCTCCGTCTTGCTCCTCTGTGTCCTCCTTCAACTGTTCCACCTCAACCTGACCGTGCCCATCACCGGTCCTGACGCCCCCTTCCTCGCCGACTTCCTCTGTTTCAGCGTGTTCTTGGCCTTCTTTGCAGCCATGGAGAGTGTGCTGTCCTTGAATCTCTCCCGTTGTGGAAGTGGGAGTGGCAACAACAATGGCCGCCCCATCGACGGGGAGGAGTTCGTGACGCAGGACAAGCCAAGTACGGTAGGTTTCGGGTGTTTTCTTTATTTTGCAAAACAGAATTTAACGACATAAGTTCATTCCGGGTCTTTGGTGAACTCATCATTCATCATTCGGCTGCTCCAGACCACAATTTTCTTCTAACTACGCCGGTTACTGTCATGGTTGACTAGTAGTGTTGTTGGAAGCACATTGTCCTCATCCCTGAAGAGGTCTTGCATAATATCTTAGATCAGCTGTTGTCGGCCGCGCTGCTTTTTATGCCATGCGATGGAACATAGTGAGGTTACCTTTTGGGGGTTCCCATACTTATCTTGAGCACAGTCTTGTCTTATCAATAAGTTGGACTAGCCTGACTGTACCGACTTCAATAACTTACACATGTATGTCCTCGCTGGTCTTCCATTCAGTGACATTATGATGGTTTGCAGAGATATTTTTCAAACCTTAACATAAACTTAAAAAGTGGTTCTGGTGTTGTTCACTTCCCTCTTCACTGCTTGTAGCGTTTGCATCTGTAAGTGGTCATGTTGGCCGGATCGGAGTAGGTCACCACCAGCATATTTTAGGGGTGTTGAGTACAAAAATGGGGATGGGTTTACAACCCACCCCCGGCAAAGATGGTTATATATCCTCCCCTCCCCCGGGATCTACGTCACCTCAAAGTGTTGAAAGGATGGTCACTGTAAAGGCATATAGGATCATTTGCATTTATCCCCAAAGTAACCTACCGAATATTTATTAGCAAAAATCTTACTAAGGCCAAAAAAAAAATATTCGGTCTCTGGTCAGACCAAAGTCTCGGAATTGACGCGGCGACGCGGCTTTTTTTTTTTTTTTTTTTTCTTCCTTCAAGCTTGGATTGTACAGACAAGGTGGGGTACTATTTTGTTTTTTTGGTGTCCTCCTGTACATTGGTGTCTTTCATAATTTGCCTTGGTGCTCTCGATCATTTGCTGTGGTGCAACTTCCCATTCCTTGGTGCTCTTTGGTAAAAAAAAAAAAAAAAAAAAAAAAGAGGAGGTGCGGCAATAGAGGGCGCTGTTGGAGCTACCGCGGAACATTTTGGGGAAAAAAAGATTGACGCGCATGATTAAAATCGACGCGCGCGCTGACCAGAGACCGACTTTTTTTTTTTTTTTGGCCTAAGAGACTAAAGATTGTAGCAGTACTATTGGTACTGCATGGTATTAAAATACCCCATGATATTATTCCGTCTGGCTTGCTGTCACATTACAAGAAACAAGAAATATAGGGGATTTCCAACCATCAGTCAATTGATTATGATTTTGGAAATAAAGAGTGCTATCGACAAAATCGTGTTACTCGATCAAAAGGTTGGACATGATTTTTCACTGTTTTCTCCAAAAGTGCAATATCCCTTGAGCTGAAGTTTCACCAGGTTGGGTTTTGAACATTCTTCTTTGGATTTTGAGTGGTTTTGTTATTGGAAACGAACAACATGCATGAAACTCAAAATGATACTACATGTCTTCAAATAACTGTTTTCTTATGTGATCTTGAATGTCATGTCTACGTTTTTCTCGTTTATTCGTATTCAGGGCCTGATGCGAATCGCTCGATTCATCGACGTGGGCTGCTTCATAGTGTTCACCTTCATATTTGCTGTCGCTGGGGGCGTCATACTCAATCCTGATACAGAATAGAGAGATCACATGACCCTTCATACTGCACATAATAACCGGCAAAATTATAATTAACGTTTGAGACCTAGGGGGCGTTTTCGAATCCCTGTTCTTGACAACACTCGGGTTAACCCGACACGAGAACAGCGGTCTCGAACGTGACGAACAGACCCGAGAGGGCGTTCGCGGATCGATTTTTTCACTCCCCGGTTGATGGAGGGTTCGGCGAGGTGCAGCTTTAACAAAATTGCGGACTGTGCAGATTCGTAATTTGTTTTGTGTTGGTTTTTTTTGCTAATACCCTAATGATTGGAATAAGAATACCATTATAGTGCAGGTCTGTAATTTCATCCCCGCATGTCCGGTTTTGCAACAGTCGTCCTCGTTCATTTACAGGCCTAGGTACAAATTCAGACGATTGTCGGCCATTTTGCATTGCTTTATATCGATGCGACACGCACCCGCGCGTTCGTAACAACCACCTCGAGAACACGTTCTCGTGTTACACGCGTGTTGTCAAGAACAGGGATTCGAAAACGCCCAGGGCGTCAGTGCTCACGAGATTTGGTAATGAGGAATAGTAAAGAAAATGGTTCCCCAACGCCATACCTTTGATAACACTGAGAAATTCGGCTTTGCTGCTTATCTTAAATCCTGCTATATAGACCATGTTACCTGCGACGTCATACCAAAGGCCCACCGACTGGCAACCCAAACATCTTAGCATCTTTTGCATGCTATTTTATGTCACAACTTGTACACCGATCACCCTACAAGAGATGCACATACACTGCAGAAGAGAACAATATGCTAGTAAAAGGTGTGTGTTCTTTCAGCAAAACGAAAACAATTCACACACATCCCTATGTGATTTGTTTTCGTATTGCTGAAAGGACACTTAACCTTTTTGTGATCCGTGGACAGAACCTTAAAACGGTGGTTGTGTTTAAAATTCCGTAATTTGAAAAGTACATAAGTGATTTGAATGATTCTTATATACTGATGAATTGGGCTTTCGTATCCTAGATTTTGAAAGGGTTACATGCAGAACTTCACTAGAACAATGGTCCCGACATTTGGGTTTCGTGGTTTTTTTACTCACCCTGTATAATAAATGGCTTGTTTAAAATTTCAGCTCACTGAAAGCTATTGGTACTTAATAATGGTTTTGCAGGTGGATTCCGATACATGTACTATATCTCTTCCGATAACTGAAACAGCTTGAGTGCCGGGGATTTAACTATTTTTTTATATTAAATCTTAAGTTAAAGGATACAATCTAAAATGTAAGCAGGGGCTGTCAAGGAATGAACAAATGTATAACATTTGATTGAATGATTTGTGTTCACCTATAAATGTTAGTTGGTTTAGTGTTTAATGTGATTTAACTGTCATTTGTTTGTGACAAACTTAAGCGTGTATATCGACTTGTCCTGAAATTTGTTTTCTTTGTCTTTGTCTCTATGCATATCAGTTCATGTAGCTTTTTATTGTTTATAATATTAGTAGTCGACTAGTTATTACTTACTTTTAGTGTGTTTTTTGTAGTAAGCTGTCAAACCATATGTAATTCCTTTTTCTAAGGATAGACAACGTTTTTGGATTGAATTGAATTTACATATACTCCTGATAATTTGTAGTGATACTCCCGCACATAGCCTACTTCTTTACCTTCTTTAATTAATTGATATTGTTCGGTAATAAAACTAATTCGATATAAATTGAATTCCTTTTATTTATTTATTTATTTATTTTTGTTTTGTGGCTAGTTTTTATTTCCCCCTCGTGTATAAGTGGGGCATTCTGTCCTACTTTTTAGGCCATTTGTTTTGTTTGTTTGTTTTGATGGAAAGACCTATATTTTATGGGTTATTTGGGGATTGTTTTTGTTCAGTGCTTATGAAACCACTCGTAGAGACAAAATAATGAGAACAAAATAATATTGAAAATTTTAATTGCAAAACTGATGGCTTATAAGGGGTGACTGACATAGGCAATCATGTAAAAAAAAAACCACATACACAAATACACGCACGCACATTCTCACCGTCGATCGTGGGCGTCCTATTGTCTCTCTTTTGTTAGTACTCTAACTTTTTAGAAAGACTCCCGTGGGTTTTGTACATGACACCAATCCCAGACGTATGCTGGGAATCGTGGACGATATTGTTCTCTTTGTTCTCTCAGATTCTCTCAGCAGATTTTTCCCCGGCAGTTTACCGTCGGCTTGGGGTAGACTAACTTGTTTATGCTGTCAGTATCTACTTTCTCGTGTTTTCTGCGGGGATTGAAAAAAGTGCTTCAACCAGTGGAGAATATTGATGGAATAACCGAGTGCATCAAAACAGATCCACAGACGGCCCCCTGGGCGCACCTGCTGTGAGACTTGGCCCAGGCCTTGACCTTCAGATGATGAGATTTGCAGTATGCTTGTCCTACAAAGAACCGAACAGTCGAAAACAAATTAAAACAGGTAGGCCTATATTGCATGTGAGGTTTGGAATATTTTCATATTACCTCTACAATCAGATGACCAATCTGCCATACAAACCTTATTTAATTCATTCAAATCGATGCATTGGAACAAACGCTATGCTTCATCTAACTCAATGGTCTTGGGCCACTTTTCTTGAAAGTGAGAAGGCGCAGATTGCTGTATCTTTTGAGCAAAATATCCTAATGAAATCAACTAAACAGCGTTTGGAAGACCACTTATTCTACTCAGCAATTAATACATTAGACACGATTTTGATTTCTACCCCCACTTTTCTGAAAACATGCCCGATTCGAATGTTAGGTTTTGTGTGGGACAACCTATAGCTGTAAGCGTCATCTGCAACATCAGCCGACATTTTGAAAAAAAGTAGGGGGAACAAACCGCGTCGCCGCACCGCTTTTGGGGCAAGCTCCATACCAGAAACCGGAGACTTTTTTGGCCTTAAATGATCCTCCACTATAAATGCTCGATGCTGATAGATTTGTTGGGTAGCGCCTCAGGTTACACCTTCATCACAAGCTCTCACACTCACAATGCATTAACCTTTTTTTCAGGAGAAACACGAGTCAAAGCCACCATTTCGCATGCATTACCCCTCCAGTAATGAGTAGCAGTGGGGTGCACCTATGTTACCCAATACCTATGTTCCCCAACCTTTACCCTAACTCTAACCCTAAGGATTTGGGGGAACAGATGTATTGGGGAACATCGGGTAGGCCCCGTAGAAGCGGTAGAGCTAGCCTTTCGCCAAGTCCATCGTGGCTTACCTTGCCGGCATATTAGACAAAGCGGCGAAGCCGTGAAGCGACTGGAGCAGGAGACCACACACGCGAGTGCCGAAGCCACGAGGCCTTTTCCAACTTGTCAAGAATTTCTTATGTTTTTCTTTATAATCTCGATTTTTGCTACCCTAAAAGGGTAGCAAATTTCCCATGCACGCCGTGCCCCGGGTGCTGGCTCAAAATTAAAAAAAGAATGCGAGTATAGTTATAGTTCTCCACGAGATCGTGACGGCGTAATTGTTCTTTCACTATCATATTTTAATTTTACCTATAACAGTATTTCAGGAAATTGTTTGAGTGTATGAACTTATTTTTTTTATCTGAACTTATAGTTATTTCCTCTTACGTTTTCCATTACTCACCCTTCTTTCACAAATGGACGCAACTATAGGCCAAATCCGCGTTGTGATTGGTTAACCTTTCAGCACTCTACTTAAAGGGAAAATACAACATTTGCAAACATCAAAAAATAAAACTACCAAATCATTTTGAAATACCTTGCTGGACTGTTAGTGAATGACAGTGTGAAGCATCCTGTAAAATCATGGCACCTGGTATACTGTCATTTTCAAGAAAAGTGGTATTTTTGTATCAATTTCCAACGCTGGTCGGCCGACCAGCGTTGGAAAAAACTGGCTTTTTTTTCTAATAGGCCTACTGGCCCCAATTGACCATTGCACTTGTTTGCAATCGATTACACACCTATGAACGGGTACAAGCCAGCTAGACTGGTTCCCTGACCTTACAATTCCTCAATGTATGTAAATTGCTCTGTTTCTTCTTATATGGAGCCAGGGAACCAAACTACAGGAAAATGATTGTTTTTGTTTTTATAGCATTTTCGAACCCAAAACCTCAAAAAAGTCAGTGTAACTATATTTGCTATATATTTCCAACCCCCCAATTCCATCCATTTCTGAAAATTACAGCAAAAGCAAATGATGTATATTCCCTTTATTATTTGCTTTTAAAATATGAATAATTCCACAAAATCAAGTTAGAAAAGGCCTTCTGGCTTCGCCACTCGTGCTCACTGAATTAGTCTTTGCTCCAGTTGCTCGCAGTCTCGCAGCTCTAAGCCACGATGGCCTAGGCGAAAGGCTACGGTAGAGCGTGTATGGTATGTGACACCGAGTTTAACACGGGTTATTGTGCAGCTTCGCGTATACAGGCGGTTGCATGATCAATACCTGTGAGAAAACAAGTTTGTCTTTTTCACCCACATCAAAGTGAAGTTGGGAAATAACATGGCGTTCCGCAGTGGAGTTCTGATGGTGGTTCTCGGGCTGTGTCTGCTGTATTTGAATGGCAGCGTAGGTGTATCGAGTGCAGGGTTAAAAGGTAAGGTTGTCATTTTCCCTCTAGTAGCAAAGTCATGGTCATAGCTCAAGCAGAGATCCATGCACCGAAGGTTTTGAATTTCGGATGTAGAATTAATTCCTGGGCAGTACTATAAACTATAAACAGGAGCGGCGATTTATTGTCAACTTTTAAGGGGAGAGAAGGGGAGAGGGGAGTGGTGTTGGAGGGGGGGGCGACCAGCTTAGGAATTTCGAAAGGGGCATCTGACTGTAGGGGCGCGTATGTATGTATTGTACACATGCCACTAAATTATGCGCGTTTTAGTACGCCGATTCCGCTCAGTAACTGTTGCACTATTAACAGGTACGTGAATTAGATCATTGGGGACAAACGGTGTGCATATGAACAAGTGGTTAAAATAATATGCCGTGAGTACGAGTATGAGTACGATTATACGAGTACTGTCCACTAGCAGGAGGAGCAAATTCAAGATCGCTATTTGCTGTCAAACTTGGCATTAAACAAACGCAGACGCCTCCTAATTAACAGGTGAAAACTGTTTTTTTTTCCTGTATGTAGCTCTTAATATTAAAAAAAGTATATATATATTGCAGGGAGGGGGGGGGGGACTTGCGGGAGAACATTTGCGAATACCTGCGAGTACGAGGTGAGTACGAGCGAGTATACTTTAATTGTTACGGGCACGTGTACGGGCATTTTTTTCTTGTTGAGTATGAGTACGAGTACCTGTTCACGAGTACGAGTAGCAAAAAGTACTCAAGTACGAGTACGATAACTACCACACTGCTAAATTTTTGAACAAATATATTGTTAAAGTCAGCAGATTTCGCCAACTTTCATGCTTAAAATTAAGATTGACAACTATAGAGGTAATAGATGTGACGCGTTTTGGGACCTAGCTTTGATGAAAAGCGCCACACATTAAGCGACACACGTCATTATTATGAAGGGAATAAACATGCTGGCATGCTTGGCCGTACGTTTCAAACCGGCTAGGGGCCTGGTCGTCGAGAATGGTCCGAGCCGAGGGCGAGGCGCCATTATTTTCCCCACTCTTAAATGACGAGGAGGAGCATTAATTGCGATTGCATTTTGCTCCCCCGGTGCGCGTATATCGCTTTTCATCCTGAAAACTATTTGATAATAATTTCCTGCCCGCTCACCGGTGGCGTAGCAAGGATTGTTTTTAGTTGGGGGGGGGGGGGGGGGGGGGGGGGGCACCAGCATTTTATCAGGGGGCACCGGACCCAACAACATTTCCCCGAACAACATTTCGGACCAAACAACTCCCCCCCCCCTTCAGGCCCCCCCCCCCCCTTTCTCATGCTACGTCACTGACGCTCCCACATTCCTATACGTGCGCGTGCCTGCCTGTAGTATTTTGTTTTCCTTGACCTTATAAGCTCTATAGGTGAACAATTTGCTTTTCCATGATCAGGTTTAGTCTGATCCAGGCAACTTTGACCCTGTTATGCTGATGGGATTGTGATCTCAATTTAGGGTCCCCGTTCTTCATTGGGTTGTCATTACTGGTCCTGGTGTGATGCTATAGACTTGATTCGAGACGTTTTGATCCACGACGGTCTTTAGGCTTTCTTCCTATTAAACTTGGCTATTGTTGGATGCGTCAAAAAATTGGATATACAACTTCAACTTACAAGTATACTCGTGCCATATATTTATTTTGTGAGAGGTTTTGCTAATATTTTATTATTAACCCCAACAGTCCTAATACTTCAATTTTAATATGATTTTTCTTTTCACGAGAGAGTAATTGGGTTATGTGTGTTTGTCCATATGGAACAAATTATTTCAATAAAATATGTGTCATTTTCACAGCAGTTTGTGATGTTGGGATAGAAAATAGTTTAAGCCCAGATTTAGAATCTCAATTAACTTTAATTACATTATCCTTACTTACCCGTTGACATCTTTCAGATTATTTTTAATTACTTTGTGGTCCACACAGACAGTTCTCAGAGACACTCTGTCTCCATTTGTGTGGTCACACTGGGCTTGGTCGTAGATCAATAAAAACCACATCCTAGATTCTTGGTATTTGCTGTCCTTGGTTTAATTCACTTACACCCAATCCATTATGTTTCATTCCTGTATTTTATCAGCCCCTTTCCCCCTAAGTTCTCACTTTCTCTATCTCTTCTCTCGTCTCTAGTCATCACTCTGTCAAGCGATTTTAATCGTTGCTCTCAATAAACACACATGACCCTATGATCCTTGTCAGGAGTTTTATTTCTTCAGTAAAAGTTTCTTCTCCGTCTTCAACTTAATCTTCTGTCCGCTCGGGCTATACGCGCTACTAGGAGACATATCATTTTATACATATGTACATCTCTCCTGTAACCAAGACTCTAGGACTGGTAGTCAACCACCTATGAACCAAATACTTTGTGTTACAATAGGATGGGTGCCAAACCAAACCTGTGCCAAGAGGTTTTTCAATACCCCGAATGATCTCCGCCTTCAAGTTCATGTGTTAGAATAATTAAAAAAGTCTTTAATATCCAAGCCAAAAGTGTAGACTCCAAATTCTGGCCATATTATTTTGATGTTCCACGGACCTGCAGAACACTGGACCCACAGTTCTATAGTTCCTAAAGGTAAGGCAACCTCGTTGGGCCCACCTGAAATTACCGTCGAGATAATCGTGAACCCCTGGGAGGGAACCTTGCTTCTTGTTCCTGATTCGATCCTGCTAAAGCAAGTATTTGGGATTTATTTTCCACGTAAAGGTTTACGTTCGCTGTAAATTATTAGGCCTACGTTCAACCAGGGGCTTCAATCGCTTCTCAAAAGTGGGGGGGGGGGGGACATACTTTGATCAGAACTGATGCGAGCGCGAAGCCCTTACGGCGTGGGGTTCGCTTAAGGGCCCCGAAAAAATGGATTCTAGATGCTCTTTGGTGTGATCTGAAGCCATTTTTTACCATGCTTTAACTAATATTTTCTTAGCAAAATATAATTATTTGAACATCGTTTTCGAGGTTGGAGTCATTGAATCAGCTACCAGAATTCTGAGCTACAGGCGTGGGGTTCGGGGCCCGCTTAAGGGCCCCGAAAAATGTTGCAATCTAAATGCTCTGTGGTGCTATCGGAGGCAATTTCTGACCACTTTAACCAATATTTTCTAAGCAAAAGATACATTGTAGTACATAATAGGGCCCTGTAAATGAGACACGAGTTCAAAAATCTGGGGGGGGGGGGAACTTTGATATTGTGTCCCCCACCCATCAAAAAGTGGGGGGGGGGGAGAGACATGTCCCCTGTCCCCCCCCCCCCCCAGGATTGACGCCCATGCGTTCAACCCTCCTCAACAGCAATCCCCCCCCCCCCCCAACAAAACAAATTCGAATTGATCTCGAAAGCTGTGGGCCAACGAATTTGTGTTCATGCATAACGTGATTGTGCCGTGTAATTTGTGGAAGGAGTAGTGTTTTGAGTACAACAATCAGGTTCTTAACCCCATAGTGACTCCATGATGACTGTTGACGGTCACTGAATGAAGACCCAGTGACACAAAAGAGGGCCAGGTCAGGAGGGACGAGTTGGTAGCCACGCAAGCCTGCACTGGAACGTTTGTTACTAACTAACGCGGAGACATGACGATTTGTTGCGCTGCTGTCCGCAGCTAAAAATATTGCAAGAGGCTATGAGTAAGACGATAACATCACAACTTTGCAAAAAATAATGTGTTTGTCGATCTCAGGCCACGCCCATGCAATATATATATTTTTTTTTTAAATACAATCCTTGAACATGCAAGTTTGTGTTCCATTTTAACCCTATATTCAATTTCGGTTTTGCCATTTTCAAGGGTATTTTGGTGATTTAGTTTTGGGTTTTTTTGCCAATGCAAATTTCCATATTTTCATGAGCAAAAGTTGGATGTCATTTCAGGCAGTAAACTTAATGTTTTTATAGGTATTTCAGCAACAAAAATGTTTTGGATATTTCGCTGATATTCTCTGAGTGGTAATATACGTTGTTGTGTCAGTACATGGCAGTATTAAGCCAATGAGCAAATTTTTCTTACAAATGTTTCCAATGAGAAGATGTTGGGTTCAACATTTGAACAGGAAACCCCTAAACTCAACAGTGTCTTCCTGAAATTACATCACAGCAACAGCGCCCTCAGTAGTCCGGAAAAGTATGGCAATGCCTTCCCAGCATGAGTGTCAATCCCGTGGAAAATTGGGAGGATATATTCCCCCATTTTTTCGACTGGAGGGGGGCATTGAACCATCTCCCCAGATTTTTGTGGTGAGAACCCCTCCCCCCCCCCCCATGCCAATTTTGAAGTTGTCTTGTAATTTTCTAACTGTCCGAATTTCTTGAATAAATTTGAAAAAAAAGAGAACAAACAGCAGAGAAGCCTTGAATGTACCGTTGTAATGTAAGATTAAGAGACGAAAGCGCGCGTTTGCGTATTTTGTATCATGAACAGCGCCCCCTAGTGTCACGTGGTCCCCCCCCCCCTTTTTTAAATTTCCACTGCCGATGTCACATGAAAATCCGACTCCTATGAAAATCGGACCCCTATTTCTCTATTATTGGTTGATCCCTCGCACGTGACAGGTCACTCTCCTGAAACGATCCTAAAAATAGCATAGCATCGTACTCACGCGTGCGCAGTACTACCAATGAGTCCACAATTCATGGAGTCGGATATTCACGCTACTCCTGGCTAATTTCAGGATTTTGCGGTATTGCCACCAACCCCTCTCCCACACAGCGGACTTACGCCATTGCTTCTCGATAGATCACTTTAATGTTGTTGTTTTTTCCTTTGCCTTCCAGACCCGGTACACGATAGCCGTGCCACGTTGATAGTCCATCTGCTGAGTCTGTACCACCCGATGATCATCCCTATGACACCTGTCAATGTTTCCTACGGCCTGGAACTCCTCTCCATCGATGGTGTGGTAAGTCTGTCGCAACAAAATGGGACATCAATCTGAGAAGGAACACACGAAGTTGACTTAATCTCCAACCGGTACTGCGGAACTTATTTTTTGAACATTTCTTTTACAACAGTGTAACGTGGCCTACAAGTTTCGATACCGGGCTGAGATGCAAGGGGTGGGCAAAGTGTACAGTAATGCACAAAATGCATTCTCTGTCGCTGTTTTGGTTGACAAAATTGTACTAGACCTTAAAACAAGTTTTCTTTCTTTGTTATCACTATATTCTATATCACAAAGGGCATACAGCTTGGTTAATCAGATGATATACGGTCATCATCTCCGAAATTGCACATTTGGTATTCGTCGCTTTTTGCCATTTTGCAATGAGGCCGGTTGCGCGCAAACATTACCGTTGTGGTTTTGAATTCATTTCAGGAGGCGGGATTCAGACATTATGATGTGTGCATATAATTTGCATACATTAGGAGGAAAGCATCCTAATGTGCGCAGGATTTATTACTAGCTACCTGTTCCCATATTTGAAGTCCAAATGACAATTGGGACAGGGGACTAGACTAGGGTAGACCATGCCAAGCACACTATCATTACAGTACGGTGCGTTCGCTTAGCTCACCATGGGTCGACATGAGTCAGCCCCGTGCCGTTCGATTAGCTCTGACGTCATTTTCGGGGCTCACCCAGGTCAGTCACCACAGACCCTGCTCGTGGAGCAGAGTCACGGGTGGAAGCACGTCACGCATGCGTTGTTCATTCCCTAGAAACGGACAAATATGGCGGCCTGACAGCAGAAATCTCAAGTGGACTTAAACGTTGACTTTATTTGAAGTCTATTAAAAGGTAATCATTTAGTGAGTTCATTGCAACTTTTGAGGCTATAATTTCAGTCTAACTTTTTTTGAGCTTTGCAATTGACTAAAAAGCAGTAAACTCCAACTAAGACCCAATCCGCAACGGGCGTTCTTTCAGCGGTGCCACGTGAGGATCATGCTGATGGCCCGTGATTGAGCGTTCGATTGGCCCTGCTGTCGTGGCTGACCCGTATGCCTTTACCCGTGTCGACTCGGGTGAGCTAAACGAATATACCAGATATTCATGGAGGCCCCCTTCAATGGCGAAAGTATGTGCCAGCTATTGTTCAAAGCAAAACTCTCAGGACGGATAATCTGAACAATGTTTTCGCCATTGAAGGGGGCCCCAGCCTCCTTGAGTGTATATAGCGTCCTCGGAATGGTCTCTGTACAACGGTGTGGTCACTGGCGGATCCGTGGCCACGCCCCACTCCAAGTGTCAGTTTTGTTTTAATAAGTTTCTTTAAACCCACCGTTATGAAAGATGTTATTACAGGCTAGTGGAAGCTAAGGCCTGCCATGAAACATGAATGTATCGACGTGTATAGATACAGAAATTTCGAATACGTTCTTGAATTCATGTACTAACTTTATTATCTCCAGATAGATGGATACATGTAAAATGTCAATCTATTCATTTCCCATATCAACCAATTTTTGCTTTTAAGCACACCTTTGAGAGATTTTAAAATTACATAAAAAATTACAATAATTATGTACAGGGCTCAAAAGGGTAACAGCTTGAGCCAAGAATGCCTTCATTGTGTTTGTCCAATTCAAATGGAAAGCAAATGTTCTCGAAAAATGAAAACCATAAACTCCCCTTTTTCTGTCTTTCCTTTATTTCAAATCTATGCAAGTTATTTACTTTAAAAAATTTAAAGACATATCCTTTAATAACATGCTTTCTTATCTTCGTCACTTGCAGGACGAAAAGGAAAATATCCTTCGCTTTTCCGCCTGGTCGAGGATTGTAAGTATCCGAAGCAAGTACGCCACAATCCCATGCAATAGCATAGAGGGTACCAAAGAAATTCGCAAGATGGTATTTAATCCTTCGAGCAGCTTGCCCAAAAAATTGACGCGGTGGAACCACCATGAGAATTTTATCACATAACGTGTTTCTAGGTCAATAACCCTGGCATGCCTGTACATGCACAAGATATAGGTCATTCACATGTCCAGGGAGTTTACAACCTGTCCGGGCTCTAGGCGGCACGAGGGGTTGACACAAAGGGATCGGCGGCACTTAAGGTTTGGCCGCTAAGATCTCCAATTATTGCACAAAGGCATTAGCCGCCATCTTGGCTTCTATCTTTCAACACTCCTTACTCCGGAGTGGCTAAAGGGTCTGGCCAATGGGAGTCTGCAGGCTTGTGGTGTATAGTAGGGGTGAAGTTTACATGGAAGCTTGGCCTTATTGGCCCATTGAAAAAAAAATGTGACCGTATTTGGAAAGCAATGAGATTTTATTTCACGCGCCGCTGCTCGAAAGGTTAAAATACAAAACACCTTTGGACTGAACGAATAATATAGTGAGAGCTTATTTCCCAAAATGCTGTCAACGGCATTTTGTCCATTTTTTAATAACGCCCTCTTGTGGTTGCCTACAGTAATTTTTGACGGCTACTTAATAAGCATAATACAAAATTCAAACAAAAATAAAGTGAAAATGTACCTTACAAACAACATTATTGTGTATGATCTATCTGATATCATCACAGTGAAACATTCTTACTTTGATCAAATGGAAATAATGCAGTGTAGAAATTAACTACAACTTTTGCGCGACGACTTTTTTCATCTTCGTTTCGATTTCATGAAAAAAAATTGTAAATTTGGTCACCGTCGCCCCCATAGATATATACGTCTTTAAATTAGTAAGTGTCGCCCCCATAGCTACGTCTTTGAATTAATAAATGTCTCCACCTACTAATAATCCCCTATGGAGTTCAATGTGGACATAACTCAACAAGTTACTAATCCCACCGCTGCCACTTGTGGTCATGGCGTCGCTTCTCGCAATTTAGCGCCACCATGCAAGAGCGATACAATTCATGATAGGATTTTTTTGCATTTACAGCAGTGGCGTGATCACCGTTTCCAGTGGGATCCAATAGAGTATAATGGAGTGAATGCTATAAATTTACCAGGACATAAAGTCTGGCGACCAGACCTCAGACTGTACGCTCAGTAAGTACCCTTTGTTAGGGCCTATATATCTTGGAGCCGCGTATGACTGAATCAAATCACTGTAAACGTGCAACACAGGTGCTACGTTTATCGTCTATGTTTTCAAGATGCACATTTTTGAAGACCTTAATTTTGCAGTTTTCGTACTCGAGGGAGCTACTTGCAAACAAGGTTGAAATTTCGCATACAAAAATATATCCAAGGGTGAAGTCCTGTCAATACAATAATTCTGAAAATATTGTGGTACATTCTAAAAGCTTCTGGGTCAGATTGAGCCAGAATCTGAATCTTATTCTGCTCAGTCCTTTTCCGGGTCAAAAAAAGACACTTTTCTGGGTCAAAATGAAAGGGAAAATTTTTTTTCCCAAAACAAAAGTGTCATTTTGACCCGGAAAATGACTGAGCAAATACAGGTCAATTTGACCCAAGAGTTTTTCGAGTGTACACTTACGAAATAAAACTGAAATTAGTAGATCTCGTGAGTTCGTACTCTCGGATGCGACCCCTCAAAATAAGATATTTTCACATTGAATTGTTTTGTATTAAGCACGCTAACAATGTGTCGCAAAATGAAAAGAGAAGTGAATGTATACATGACTCAATTGACTTTGGTAAAAAATAATAATAATAATAACATTTTTTTTTCATAATTTATTCGCAGGGAAAATGATAAATATCACTTCCCGTCTGAAGAACACAATGAAATAAAGTTTGTTTCACATGTTTGTTTAGAGTTCTGGAGGAAGAAGACGTAAACCTGCGTGCGTATTCCGATGGGACTATCTATCACTTGGTTCCGATGCGTCTAGCTGTACCGTGCTCTATGCAGTTCGCCAACTACCCGTTTGATGTCCAAACCTGCGACCTTAGACTGGAATCCTGGACCTACGACGGGACCATGATCAATCTGAGTCTCTTCGGGGGGTCATCGGGGGCCAGCGTAGGTGACTTCCATCGTCCAAACAGCCAGTGGAAGGTCCAGTCCTTCACTGCGAGTAGGCAACTCCTGTCGTATGTGTGCTGCGTCGAGAAGTACATCAATCTGTCGTTCCGCATCCAGGTCCAGCGCCAGGTCGGCGAGTACACGGTGCGCGTGCTGGCGCCCTCTGTCGTCACATCTCTCCTGATTCTGCTGTGTTTCCTCATCCCTCCACACTGCGGTGAGAGGATCCTTCTTTGCTCCGTCTTGCTCCTCTGCGTCCTCCTTCAACTGTTCCACCTCAACCTGACCGTGCCCATCAGCGGTCCTGACGCCCCCTTCCTCGCCAACTTCCTCTGTTTCAGCGTGTTCTTGGCCTTTTTTGCAGCCGTGGAGAGTGTGCTGTCCTTGAATCTCTCCCGTTGTGGGAGTGGGAGTGGCAACAACAATGGCCGCCTCGTCGACGGGGAGCCGGAGGAGTTCGTGATGCAGGCCAAGCCAAATACGGTAGGTTTCACTTTTTATTTTATTTTGTATAACGGAAATTGACGATATTGTGCAGTGGTTGACTCGTCATTCATCATTCGGCTGCTCCGGACCACACATTTCTTCCAACAGCTATAGTCACTGACAAGGTTGACATCATCGTCATCATCTACCGGTCGCAACTGAGATCTCGTTCGCAACGCCACGTCTGGTGCCGTTATCCCTCATGATGTACGGAAGGTCTTCAAGTTGACAAGTTGTCTTGTTTGAAGCACATTGTCTTCATCCCTGAAGAGGCCTTGGATGATATTTTAGATAAACTGATGTCGGCCGCCCTGTTATGCAATGTGATGGAACGTAGAAATTTTATCTTCTTTTCTTTGTTGGTTTTCCATAGTTTGACTGAAATTGAACAAAGTCTTGACTTGTTTATAAGTTGGACTATAGTCTGACTACAGTAACTTTCACATACTCGCTGCTCGTCCATTTACAATAGTTTGCAGTGATATCTTTCAAAAAGATTAAATATTAAAAAGTGGTTTTGCTGTTGAGTCAGTCTTCCCTTTTCACTGCTACTGGCGTTTGCGTCTCTGAGTGGACACCTTGACATCAGGAGTGCGTCATAACCGGCATGTATTTTATGGTGTTGAGTACAAAAATGGGATGGCATGATTTTACAGCCCTCCCCCGCCACCGTCTAAGATGCTAATACATGTAGTATCCTCCCCTTCCCCGGAGTTTCACCCCCCCCCCCCCCCCCCCCCCCCCTTATTGATTTTCGGAGGCCAAGTGTCTGGAGAAAAAACACCCTGTCTACATTTCAGATTTTATTCCCGATGAAACCCCCCCCCCCCTGCAAAAAATTCCTAGATCCGCCCCTGACAGGGTAGGTATTGAACATTCTTCTTTGGATTTTGAGAGGTTTTATCATTGGAAACGAACAACATGCATAAAACGCAACTTGTTTTATTTTTTTCCATGTGATCTTGAATGTCTTGTCCACATTTGTTTCTTCGTTTCGTATTCAGAGCCTGAAGCGAGTCGCTCGATTCATCGACGTGGGCTGCTTCATCGTCTTCACCTTCATCTTTGCTGTCGCTGGGGGCGTCATACTCAATCCTAAAACGGAATAGAGAGATCACGCATGATCCTTCATACTGCACATAATAACGGGCAATTTTCAAATTTAGGCATTGGTGCTGGCGATCTTTGGTAATGAGGAATAGCAAAGATAATGGTTCCCCCGTGCCTTGAGTGTTAACCTAATTGGTACCAACCTCGTCCCCAGTGCTCACTTTATTTCCAACCTCGTTGCCAGTAGTAAGCCCTGGATAGGAAACTTCCTGTATCCTGATTCGGTACCGCAATTTGCTAGTAATGGATTAATATCGTGTTGTTGGTGTTGTTGTTTCCAACGTGCATTACGTGTTTTCACAATATTATTGTAATTATAATGTCCACGCCTTCTCAAAAATACTCCTTTCCTTTCAAATTTGCTTATATTAATATGAAATATGATACTGCATATTGGCGGGCCAGATTGTAACATTTTTTAACTTCCCCAAAAAAATCGTGTTTTCATCTCACGGCGCGACGAATTGATGCTGTTTTATCCCAGACACCGCATACAAAAACAAACGCTAATGTACCGCGCATGCAGGTACCAGACTATTCAAAAATCTTGCACATGCAAATGATCCAATACCAGGGTGAGAGAGCAGGTAGTGGTGGGTACGTACTGCTCGACATCCTGAGGACGAGGTTGAATGGGCACTACAATAATCATTGGTGCGCGCGCGTATATGACGTTATTACTGAAGAACCGGGTACACGAAGGAAATCCAATTGGCTGGCTGGGGGGGGGGGTCGCATAAAATTTGCATGCTGGGATATGTCAGATGTTGAAGTGTGGCTCTGCACACGTGAACGTCTGATCCGCAGACAAGGCAAAGTAGGATGTATAATAAATGACTTGCTTAAAATGCTAGCCCACTGAAACCTATGTACTTTAATGGTTTCGCAAGTGGATTCCGATACTATCTCTTCTGATAACGCAAACAGCTTTTGTGCATGGGATTGAATGATTTGTGCTCACCCATAAAAATGTATGTTTTAATGTAATTTAGCCAAGTGCAAACCTACAGCTTGTTTTATTTCGACTGCATGTAGTCATGAAATTTGCTTTCTTTATATCTTTACACAAATATTCATTATACATGTAGTTTGAATAGTAATACTCCTGAAGCCTACTTCTTAAAACCTTCTTGTATTGGTAGTGTTCCTTAAATCCTTTTTTTTTCTTTATTTGTGTTTGTCGCTAATTTTGCTCCCTGCCCACTCGCATAAGTGGGGCGTACTGTTCTAAATGTCGCGTCACCAAGCCGGTGCTTCATTCTCATAATTGAACCACACAAAGTCACAAAGGAGATGTATCTACATTAAGATCCTATACGTGGTTTGTCTGTCTGATGTTTGTCTGATGTCTGTGTGCCATTTTTTTTAAAGGCCTAAGGAGTGTGCGGCAAGGGCGGATCCAGAACCAAATTTTTGGGGGGAGCCCCAAAAAAATTTGGTCCCCCAAAAAGTGGGTCAAAAAAATTACGGCGTGGGGTTCGGGGCCCGCTTAAGGGCCCCGGAAAATTTTTGGATTGTAGATGCTCTGTGGTGCGACCTGAGGCAATTTCTGACCACTTAACCAATGTTTTTTGAGGAGAAGATGGTGGTGTACTCATTGCCTGCCTTTATTGCGACGTCACATAAACAAACAATTGGTTTAGTTTATTTTTTTGGGGGGGGGGACCATGGCCCCCTTTGCCCCCCCCCCCCCCCGGATCCGCCCTTGGTGTGCGAAAGCACAAATGCAAGGCTTAAAGGAAACATGCAGTGGAAATTCTGCTCATCTTATTTTCATGCACATTACTATGTGTTGCAAAAATTCATACCAGACCTTAATACTTGTTTTTATTGGAAGTGTTAAGAAAGTAGTAGTTTATTTCAATTATTGGAAAATCCTTTCATAAATACATGTAAGAGGACGCTGTTTTGCTTTTGTCACACAAGGTATTCCTTGTCAAAAGTGCATAATGAACAGTACAAAAATAAGTCCTTCAACATTACCCACAAAAGAAGTTGTCGAGAAATATTGGCCACTACTATTGTCCAAACAAGCTGTTTTACATGATAAACAAGAAAAAAGTCAAACTTACACCAAGAAAATAAAAAAAAGGTTGATGTGTATTTCTACACAAAGCTACGGAGACACTACTGTTCTGCCTTGAATGACATCACGTTTTGGCTCATGAAAATGGAAATTGCCATTAGCATAAAAACTAAAATGTTGAAATTTCTCCCTTTTACTGCTACAAAGAAGGTGAAAAGTCATAGTTACATGGCAAGTAAGTTGTTTTAAATGTATTTCATTCACAACAATCCAATTGCATGTTTCCTTTAATGGCGAGGCTTAGTTAAATAAAATAAACGGTTTCTCTCATTATGCGGTCACCTAGAATATTCAAGTCCTTAAATGGTAAATGTATGCTACTATTTCACTGCCCCTCGAAGTCACGGTTGGCTTGTTAATTTTTTTTATATATTTTTTTTAAGGCAAACTTGTTTCTTTGAGACTTTGAATAGTTAAATATAGCAACACAGAACCTTAAAACGGCGCTTGTGTATAAAACTCCGTAGATTTGAATTATTCTTGTACTAAAAGAAAGCTTGTGAATTGGGCTTTTATATCCTAGATTTTGAAAGTGCTACATGCAGAACTTCACTAAAACAATGGTCCCGACATTTTGGTTTCGTTTTGACTCACCCCTTTGCTTCAGACGTGGCCCTCCATATCTCCAGATCCACCCCATATCCTCTCCTGCATGTACCGGAACAACCCCTGCTTCATATACCAACCCCTGCACCAACCCAAGGCCCCTCCTCACATTAAGAACAATGAAAATCCTGTCCCTCTTGAATGCAACAAAGTACGTGGACAAGCCCTGCAGGTGTTCTGGTGTTCTTTTACTATGAGTGTTGGAGTACTCGTACTCGTACTAGAGTACAACTCGAGTACACGCAAGTACTCGGCTCGTACTCGACTATCAGTACTCGAAAATTATTTGGACTTGACCTTATTTGATTCTTTGTACTCGAATTTTGCAAGGACTCGATGGTTTGGTACTCGGTACTCGACTCCAGTACTCTGGAGTACAAATCGGGTACATTTCCTTTTATTCGATTCCATAGCTCAACGTCTCCGCAGCAGACCGGCACCGTGCCAGAGCAAAAGTTGTAACCGAAATTTTACAGGGAGTTCAATTCCAGCAAGCTCAAAATAATCACCTTCTTCATAAATATTGAGTTAATGACTGACGCGTTACGATATTGTTTGTTTCCCTGATCCAACTCACCTCCCTCGGGAAGTTCACCCATTCCTGTTTAACACTAACTATACTAGGAGTCTACAAATCGCGCTTTTTAATATTTGGTCATGATCTATCGCCAAATCATGATCAAATGTTAAAAAACTAGCGGAATAGAACAAAGGGTTTTTCGCAGTTTTTGTTTTGTTTGAAATTAGCATGTTTTGTTTGTTACTTTAAAAAAAAAAATTATCCGGTTAAGTTGGTACATTGGGGGCGGAACGTTTTTCAAACTAGGGGGGGATCACTAATTTCTCAACTCGAGAGGGCCACAATTATTGCGAGAGGGGTGTTTTTATGCTTTCGAGTGATATTTTTGCATAACAAGAGAGGAGACAATTTGTAATCGCAATCATAATGCTTTCATGTGTGCGTTTGAGGGTCAGTTTTGTTTTCATCTCGAGGGCCCGGGGCACCATAATGACCGCGAGAGGGGCACTTTTGTTGGCCTGAGAAAATTTGGGGCAAGTTCCCCCTGCCACTCCACCCCGCCGCCCCTGGAATGGGGCGAGCAAGGTACGAAAGACGCATATAAATAAATTCAAATTAGCTAAAACGTATTATGTTTTGAACGAAAGAAAATACATGCAGTCTGCTTCACCTTGATAATTATGTGGAATGTACTCAGTCAATGCAAATTTATAATGAAGATTTGGCCCCAACGACACCTAATGCGGAAAAAATGCGTTCAACTTAGTATTCCGGAAGGTTCCGTATAACACAACTAGACAATTCGTCATGAAAGAATCTCGAATGTCACTGTCTGTGTTTTTTCATTGATTATTTCAATTCAGTTTTTTTTTTAACTGCGATACGACAGTTCTTTTATTTCGCTATGTTTCAAGTTGATAACGTCTTCATACTCACAGTTACGCATGTTTTCCGAGACAAATTATAGTATATTTTTCCCGGTACTTTTAACACTATAATCAGGCGCAGATCCAGGGGGAACCCCCCAGCTCTGTCAATATTTTTTTCTCATAGAAATTCATTCAAAAAATTTTGCAACCCCCCCCCCCCCCCCCCGTTTTGACACCCCCAAAAAATTAAATAATGTCCGCCTGAGACCAGTTGTTACCGGAGTATTTATACACTATTGTGCAATAATTTCGTCGGATTTGAACAGCGCCCCCATTGAAAGTAAGGTACGAGCCCCATATTTACTTCTTTATTCATTTAAGTGCAGAGATGATCCCATATCGAACCCCGGTCAAACAGTAGAGGGATGTTTCCCCCCCCCCCCTGATTTACGCCCCCGATACTTAGGCCAAAAAAAGTATCCGGTTTCTGGTATGGAGCTTGCCCAAAAAGTGGTGCGGCGACGCGGCTTTTTTTTTTTTTTACCTGATTTTTTTGCTTCAAATGTCGGCTGATGACTGCAAATGGTGTCCGACTAAACTTAGTGCAAATATGGGAGTCCAGAGAGGCCACATAAAGCTTATTCTTGACCATAACCCAATCTAAAAACACGTTAACATTGTGCAGCAGCAGGATTCCAGTCAAACCAGCGAGTTTGGCGGTTTTGAGACATCATCTTTCATTGAAAAAAAAAACGTTTTCATTTTGCCGACGCGCATGGCTACGGCGACGCGCGCGCAAACCAGAAACCGGAGACTTTTTTTTGTTGGCCTTTGGCCTTATCGATGGTCTGCAGCAATAAATATAGTCTAGTAGGAAAAGGGGGGTATCGTGCACCCTTTGGAAATCAATTTCTAATCAACTTCTCTAGGTCAGACAAAAAATGTGTAGAAAACGATTTGCTATGTTAAAAAATTCAAAAAATGTCCCACGTATTGTTTTTATGTAAATAATAGAACGAAATAGGTGTCTAAACCCATGTTTTCAAGGTCAGACATCACAATAAAACTATTTTTGGAAGTGATCACATGTGTCTGTGGCATAAGAATATGCAAATTAGTGCCGCTAATACCGGAAAATCATGTTTTTTTGCATATCTCGGCCAATATAGCACATAACTACACCAGTAAGGAGTCTAAACCCATGTTTTGAGTGTTAAGTATTATTAGAAGACCATTTACGAAGTAACTACGTGTGTCTTTCGCCTGAAAATGTGTAAATGATAAAGTGTCGGTTTATCAGAAATATGCTTTTTAGCCAGTATCTCGGCCAAAATTGCACATAACTACACCGTGAAGGTGTCTAAAACCATGTTTTGAGTTTCAGGTATCATTAGAAGACCATTCACAAAGTAATTATGTGTGTCCTTGGCAGGTAAATATGTAAATTCTACAGTGCCAATTTATCAGAACTTTGATCTTTAGCCAATATCTCGGCCGATATTGCACATACATTGTAACTATACACACATAAGGTGTCTAAACCTATGTTTTGAGGGTCAGGTGCCATAAGACCATTCACGAAGAACTGTGTGTCTTTGGCATGAAAATATGTAAATTCCAAATTGCCACTTTTTGATTTGTAGCCAATATTTTATTCAATTTCAGCCAATATTACAGTTTATTTTTAATACGATGGCTTAAAATCAACTTTGATCATTACCGTTTATCAAAACCCTTGGCTAAAAATCAAATTTCTGATAAATCGTCACTTTAGAATTTACATATTTAGGCTACCTGCCAAAGACACACATAGTTACTTCGTGAATGGTCTTCTAATGATACCTGACCCTCAAAACATTAGTCTAGGCGATATTGAAAATAAAGGCCCAGGGGGGATGGGGTGGCACCGGAGCAACTTAGAAGACTAGTAGTCGTTTTTGTGAATGAGAAATGTATCAAACAGCAGAATAGGTGTATAACAAAATGTATAACAAACGTATAACAAGACGTTGGCTGCATAAATGCATGTGTTGCGTTTCGTCTTAAGTACCAATGTTTATAATGCTTTTATTGGCCGAAAATTTTGTGTCCACATTTTTTATCGATCTCAACAGCGAATAAATTAAACAAAGTGTTGGGAGAAAGCGTGGGGAGCTATCTTGGGGGGGGGGGGGAGAGGAAAAACTTGGGCCCCCCTCCCCGTAGCGCTGCCACTAACCTCATACATTTTTCAAGGGGTGCACTGAAGGCAAATGATGCATTATTTCAGTGGCGGTTCTACGGGGGGGGCTGGGGGGGGGGGCAGCCCCCAAATTTTGTCTATCCCCCCCAAAAAAAAAATTCAATAAAAAAAATTGCACTAGCAAAATGTACCAATGTGACGTACATGCGAACGGTCTCCCCTAAATACATAGTCGTGCATTTGTACACTTTTAGTTATAATATAGTATGCCTCAGTAGCCACCGGGGGGGCGTGGGGGGGGCGACCGCCCCCCATGAAACCTTGTCGCCCCCCCCCCCCCCCCCCCACCCCCAGTCGCCCCTCAACTGAGATTTTGAGTTTCTAAAAATATTATCATTGATCTACATGACGCCATGGGCGTCAATCCTGGGGGGGGGGGGGGGGAGGGGACAGGGGACATGTCCCCCCCCCCCACTTTTTGAAGGGTGGGGGACACAATATCAAATGTCCCCCCCTCCCCAGATTTTTGAACTCGTGTCTCATTTACATGGCCCTATTACGTACTACAATGTATCTTTTGCTTAGAAAATATTGGTTAAAGTGGTCAGAAATTGCCTCAGATAGCACCACAGAGCATTTAGAATCCACAATTTACGGAATAGCCTACATAATAAGCATGAATATTCCCCATACAAAAACCAAATATATTTTATGTTCTTTGATCATATCATGTGTGCACCCCGTCCACAATCGCCATATTCAAAACGTCATTTCAGTCGACTTTTTTTTTTCCCTTTCATTTAATTTTTTTACCACTGAAACAAAAACGCACAAAAGGCAACAATAAATGACAATATTCTAAGGATCTCATTTCTTTAAGTTTATTTCTTTGTTATTCTTTACAACCGATTGACATACCGACGTTTTTACCAATTCCTTACAAAACAATACTGACAATGGATTCTAGAATACAATAAATTAACAATACACATAAATTAACAAATAATTAAATTCTCCCAGTGCAACATGATCCCACTTGCTCTGTCGACAACTCCATTTCAATCATGACCGAGTATATGAGGGGAATGACGGGGCCACCCAATGCTGATCTGTGGCAGTCAAAGTGATTGGATTGGTGGGATTTAAAGAGCAACCGCCGCTGATTGGTCAAATGCCCTCAGTTGACTAACAAAGTCAGGAATAAGATAGGTCAGTAGAAACTAATAGCAACATCTTATAATAATAATACACATTTTAATTTGTTTTGAAGCAATTCAATTCGGACATTTTGAACTTTAGCTTAAAATAATGTACCTTTAAAAAAAGTAAGAACATTATAGGGTTGCGGTGCAAGACATAGCATAGCATGCAATAACAGGGTAAAGCTGGTTTCTTTGAATTTGGCTTTTTTTCGCGACTCAATAAATTAAGTAGCAATCAGGAAACAGCCAACCCCCCCCCCAAAAAAAAATCAACATTCATAGATGATTGATTTAAAGTATTGTAAGCACTTTTTATCTACAATTTTTGATATGAGGCAAGTTCAGCACTCAGTATACATTGCATTTATCCTTTTGTCGGGTTACTTAAACAATTAATTAAATGAAAAGACATAAAAAAACACCAATAAACACAAAGTGAAAAATAAAGTTAATTATCAGTAAAACTGTGCAATCAAATATATCATAAAAGGATAAACGCAACTGTATTTTGAGTGCTATAGTTACCTGTTGCAATGCAATAAAAGAAATATCTCCATAGAAAAAAATAATCATTTCAATTTTAATGCATGCATGGCGGCCTTAAATTTGTGACATTTCTCCAACATCTTAAACAATTAATTTTCACTTTCTGAAATTGTTTAAAACTCTTTATGACTTGAATCTTAAAATTTACTGTCAAGTTAATAACCATCTGTTGCAGTTTATAGAACAGTTTATAGCATTTTCGAACCCAAAACCTCAAAAAAGTCAGTGTAACTATATTTGCTATATATTTCCAACCCCCCAATTCCATCCATTTCTGAAAATTACAGCAAAAGCAAATGATGTATATTCCCTTTAATGCCAAAAAGAGACTTCTTTAATTTTTCGAATATTGTTGCCTAATTGGAAAAAATAACGACTTGCAAAATATACTGTCCCATATTTAATTCAATATGGACCTCGATGGCTTGTGATTTGATTATTTAACGCATCTTTTAAACCCTTGAAGAAGCCTCGCAGTTATTCGACTCTCGTCAATACAAACACTTAAGATAAATTCTAGTTATATAGCAAACAAAGCCATGTGCATTATTTTACGTGTACAGTGAATAATTATAACTGGCACTCCACTTAATATAACATTCTGATATTACAAACATTTTGGCTTTGTCTGGCCGATGTTTGTATTTTAAACGAGAGTCGACTGCAATTTTTATTTGAGCAAAATTCACCTCGGGAATCAGTAATGGCAGGCCCAACAAGCAGGGTCATCAGTTCATCTGTCGGTCCTCCTCCCTGCTTCCAATTCCTCGGTTTTGTCTTGATGCGATGGTTTCAAATTGGCGTCGATCACATCCTCTCGGCCTCACCGACTGGAAGCAGCCGCTTCATCCAGCCAGTTCAATGCCCGTCAGTGCTCCTTGTCTAAAATATAAAAAAGTGGAAAAAACTTTGAATTAACCCCACAAAGTAATGCTTTACCACCAGCACTCTTTCTTTATGGAGGAACACCAAAGATGGCTAGAAAATCATTTGATTCCATCCTGTTCAACTTCTCAAGTGTATTTTTTATATCTAACCTCAAGAATCAGTAATGGGATGCCCAGCAAGCAGGGTCACCAGTTCATCTGTCGGTCCTCCTCCCTGCTTCCGGTTCCTCGGTTTTGTCTTGATGAGATGGTTTCAAATTGGAGTTACATCCTCTCATCCTCAGCGACTGCAAGCAGCCTCTTCATCCAGCCTGTCGGTGCTCCTTTTCTAAAAAACAGAAAGGGGAATGAAAACGTTGAATTAACCCAACAAAGCAATGCTCCCTTACCAGCACTCTTTACCTTTGTGTGGGAGAACATCAAAAGATCGCCAGTTCACTCATTTTTTTATTAATTCTATTTGACCTGCTGCAGTTTACTTTTCAGTATACTGCATGTAAACTCACCTCAAGAATCAGTAATGGGTAGCCCAGCAAGCAGGTCATCCTTCATCTGTCGGTCCTCCTCCCTGCTTCCGGTTCCTCGACTTTGTGTGTGTGATGTCAGGACGAGGCTGTCAGATATTTTCCTCCTAACAAAGCAGCCTCCTCAGCCAGTCTGTCTCAACTTTTAGATGCTTCCTTTTCTTTGATGAAAGCTGCGAATCATTCCTAAGTGAACAGGGGTGAGAAAACAGCTGGGCCTAGCCCATTGTTACTGAAGTGAAACATTCCAACGCATCCAATAATTATGTCTAAGTCTATCTGTAACCTGTCATGCATGGTTTATGACACACAATGGAAATTATAGCAACCAAACCAAACATATTTTTTTTTCACTTTTCATTATTCACTTAATTAATACAACTGTTTTTGCCAGGTCTTTTTGAAAGCAAACTTTTCGAATGTGCAGCAGTTTCCCGCTATTTTCGTAGGCGAACATGCTTTGTAAATTACGTCAATTTTTTTTCAACAGTTTGTTCGAGATGGTGTTATTATTATTTTTTTTAATACGTACTGTTGTGATTTTTGCCATAATATCCGTCATTTTGTTTTTCTACCGTAATTTTCCCGTTTGCAAAACTTCGTTTTCCCGACTGTTTGATGCGGTTTAGTAACGGTTGCTGGCTGCCGATCAAATTTTTTGGCATTTGTAGCCATTGTTGTGCATGCGTCAAATGTAGGGAAATTAACACCGATTGCCAATTTTTGCCGTTAATTTTTGCCGTTATTTCTTCGTCATTTTAATTTTTCGTTGCTTTGATTTTCTGTAACTGATATTTTTAAAAACTTTTTTTGGGTAGCAGCGATTTGATTTTTTCCCGATTTTCGTCGTACTCGGGTAGGTATATACTGCAGTTACGCCTTGCGGTAAAAAAAATAACACTGATTTCGGGTATTATTTCTTCCAATACCGCAGAAGATGTCGCAAACTGCGTATTCTCGTCGTTTCTGATTTTTGCTGCTTGATACTGTGGCCCCGACGAATTGATTTGAAGAATTATTTCTTTCAACGTCTTGCTTTGCTGCATGTATTATACGATTTGCCATTTTCGTATAGCGCTCAAATCAAGTTTCATTAAAATCCTTTCACATTTTTCTTTTACCACACAGGCAGAGAAAATGACACGAAATAAAACCACACAAAGAGCGATCCACACGGTGTGACGAGGCTGTCAGAGGGTCAATTTTTCGTCCTAACAAAGCAGCCTCCTCATGCAGTCTGTCTGAACTTTTTGATCCTCATTTTCTTTGATGAAAGCTTTAAGTGAACAGGTGTTCGAAGACACTGGGCCTGGCTCATTGTTACTGAAGTGAAACATACAACATTCCAATGCAGCCAGCAATTGTCTAAGTGTCTAAGCCTACCTGAAACGTGTCATGGTTAATGACGCAATAGACCAACGATTTTACCCGTGTTTAACGTTTACAATGTTGACCTCAATGTTTTCATTGTTTTACTTTTTTAACAGACCCAATTATTTGTTATAATGCACACAAAAATATGCCGCGCTGATACTGGCGGTTTGTCTTGGAAACCACAAAATAACCCACACTGTAAACGAACATTAAAGAAATCCATTATGGTCTTAAGATGAAGAAATGCCATCTTTATCCTTGCCGATCTTACCACATCGGACTTACATTACCATACGGAGGAAGGGTTACATGTAACTCTAATTTACAAATTAAAGACAAGGACAATATAATGTTGCACGTGACTGTATTATGTCACATGTCTTACAATAGTTTCTTATGGAAATTCAAGGTAAGTGCGGTATACTCATATCCGCACAGAGATCTGATTTTGAACGTCACAGACCGATGATATTGAAACTGTCAACCATTCAAGGTATAAGCTGTCTCTTCCACTGCAGCAGCGTTGTTGTTTTGGCCGTATGCTTAGATCCCAAGAGGCAACCAACCAAGTACTAAGCGATCTCTACTTTACCTCCTTAAATCCAAGTCTCATTCAAAGCCGATGCTGGATGATCGGACTTACATTAGCAAACGTCAAAGTAAGACTACTAAATGAGTTACAGACGGACAAAATATACCTTGATAATTATGCGTCCCTGCCGATCGTTCGAAATCGGACTTACAAAAATGATGTTTAGGTATGAACAAAATGAAAAGAGCATGAAGAAATGTCGCATGCAGTAAACATGTCGCATGTCTTACATCCCGGTTTTTTTCACAAGCGTCTTTTACTTACATTACGCTTTACTCATTCACATTACGTACCTTGTTTCTTACCAGAAGTTCTTTTGGAAGATAAACCTCTCGAAGGTGTGTAGCAATTTCCGTGACGGTAGTTCTGCGGGAAAATGTCTTAAATTACGTCTTATCTTACCTGTGACACATTGGAAATTAACGATTCTACCCAATGTTTCCAATGTTTACCTCAGGTTTCATTGTCTGCTTTTAAAACAGAACAATTATTTGTTATAATGCACACAAAAATGTGCAGACACTGATAATGCCAGGTTGCCTTGAAAACCGCTTAATAACTCACACACTGTAAATGAACATTGAAGGAATTCATTATGACCTTAAGATAACAAAAATGCCATCTTCATAATACCTGCCGATCCTTCTAAATCGGACTTACATTGACATACGTCGGAGGAGGGTTACACGTTGGCCCTATACCTAAATCTAACAAGGGAAATAATAGTGCTGCATATGACTGCAAACGTGTCGCATGTCTCACAATAACTCCTTTGGAAATTTATTATAAGTGTGGTACACTCATTTAACAAAAAATATTGATTTCGAAAGTCATAGAACGATGATATTAAAACCATCACCCATTCCAGGTATTAGCTATCCCTTTCACTACCGCAGCGCTGGTATTTTGGCCGTATAAGCTCTGCTTTCCTCCTTGACTAACGCAGCACTGATTGTCCAGCCTCATTCCAAGCCGATGCTGGGTGATCGGACTTACGTTATCAAAGGTCAAAGTAAGACTACCAAATAAGTAACATATTAGGACTAAAAGGTACTTAATAATCATAATACCCTGCCGATATTTCCATATCGGACTTGCACAAATGATGCATAAACGGTTAAAAAAACATAAACAAATTTAATCGGAAAACATCGTGCGTCTTATGGCCATTAAACGTACATTATTTTACTCATATACAATAATACAATTGTTTGCCATCAGTTCTTTTAAAGCAATTTCCGTTATTTTTGTAGGCGAAAATACTTAGTCCTATACTAATTTATGTTGCTGTAAAATCCGTCATTTTTTACTACAGGCTTTTTGGTTCGAGATGGTGATTATTTTGCCGTTGTTAAATGCCGCCATAACTTTATTAAAGGAAACGTTCTCGCTGTATGCAGCAACATCCGTTAATTTCCGTATAACACTTGTTCCTGCGGGGAGATACTGTTCCAATTGCTGTAAATCCCGTCGTTTCTTTTAACAGTTTTTTGTTTTTAAATCAAATATACCGCTGTGCTTTGCCGTAATTTCCAACATTTTGTTTTTCTACTGTAATTTTCGCGTTTGCTAAACGTTGTTTTCCGACTGTTGGAAGCGTTGTAACGGTTACTACCGATCATAATTTATGGTATTTGTAGCCATTTTTTGCATTGCATCGAAGTTGGAAAATTAACACCGGAATTCATGTGTTTATTTCTGTCGCTCCTACTGTTGATTTTTGCCGTAATTTCGGTTCATCATTTTCTGTATTTTGTCGCTTTGATTTGGATATTTCCGTAACCATTTTCTTTTTAGTTTGTGGGTAACACCGATTTGATTCTTTCTCATTTTCGTCATACTTGTTACGTTTCTTTTAACAGGTGTTTTTTTTTTTGGTTCGAGATGGTAATTTGTTTTATCAAACACAGCTGTGATTTTTGCCGTAATTTCTAGCATTTTGTTTTTCTACTGTAATTTTCCCGCTTGCAAAACGTTGTTTTCTGACTGTTGGAAGCGTTTTAATTCTTACTGCCGATCACAATTTACGGTACGGTAGCCGATTTTTGCATTTCATCGAAATTTACACCGATTTCATGTGTTTATTTCTGTCGCTTCTACTGTTAATTTTTGCCGTAATTTCTGTTAATCATTTTCTTTATTTCGTCGCTTTGATTTATTGGATTTTTCCGTAACCGTTTTCTTTTAAGTTTGTGGGTAAACCGATTTTTTTTTTTCATTTTCGTCACAGTAGCAACCTTTTTTCCAGATAGGCAAAGCTGTAACGGTAAAAGTAGCGCTGATTTCGGCTGTTATTTCTTCCAATGCCGCTGTAAAGTTTGGCGTAGGGCCTACATTTTGTATTGTCGTTGTTTCTGATTGTTGCTGCTTTGAAACCGTTTTCCCCCGAAGTATTGCAGTCGAGAAAAAATGTAACACTGATTTCAAGTATTATTTCTTTCAACGTCTGCTTTGCGGTACACATACGAGTTGTCATTTTCGTGGGCCGAAACGAAAGTTGATTTAAAAACCTTGCATTTTTACTTTAACAACATGCAGAGAAAATGACACGAAATAAAATCACGCCACACATAGAAAGCAGTCCACACAAAGCGGCAATAAGCAAATGTCCTGGTTTGTCAACATGCAACATTTACAATGGAAATATACACACTTCATTCTCCGCCAGAAATCCATTGAAGTTTATCAAATTATCATCTTCTTAAAGGATAATAATCTCCTTTCAATAAATCTATAAATTTATACAAGTATAATGAATCAAAAGTATGATCTTTTTGATCATCAGTCTCTATTGTGCCCTCACTGTATGCTCACACTACACGTTTTGCAATTATAAACAGAGAAGACAATAGGCGCTTTTACAGACGATGTTAGTCCCAGATTAAACAAAAAATCTTTCATTTCCAACACACGCGCGTTTACATCGTCATCTTAACAAAGAACTCCTTCAGTATTAAGTGCTAATTATTAACTTCCAGTTTTCTCTTTATGGCTATTTATTGAGTGGCTTAATTCTTTGAAGTTTTTTTGGTTCAAGGTTAGTTTGACTTTTCAAGTTCTCATATCAAATCCAGAAGTCTCTCTGGTCCTTTGCAGGAAGGGGCCTCTTGGAAGTCGGCGCTACTAATATGCACCGAAGAGGATATCCCTTAGAAGCGACATTGACATGTCAACGTCACTGACCTTAAGTTTGCTTTAATGTTTAATTTCCACAATGTTTAATTTCACGTGCGAACGCAATGCACTGCACGTACTTAACTTATTCCCTTACAAATGTTTAATTTCTCACGTGCGAACGCAATGTCACTGCACGTACCTTACTTATTCCTTTATACAAATTAAAATTTCTCACGTGCGAACGCAATGTCACTGCACGTACCTTACTTATTCCTTTATACAGATTTTAATTTCTCACGTGCGAACGCAATGTCACTGCACGTACCTTACTTATTCCTTTATACAGATTTTAATTTCTCACGTGCGAACGCAATGTCACTGCACGTACCTTACTTATTCCTTTATACAGATTTTAATTTCTCACGTGCGAACGCAATGTCACTGCACGTACCTTACTTATTCCTTTATACAGATTTTAATTTCTCACGTGCGAACGCAATGTCACTGCACGTACCTTACTTATTCATTTATGCAGATTTTTATTTCTCACGTGCGAACGCAATGTCACTGCACGTACCTTACTTATTCCTTTATGCAGATTTTAATTTCTCACGTGCGAACGCAATGTCACTGCACGTATCTTACTTATTCCTTTATGCAGATTTTAATTTCTCACGTGCGAACGCAATGTCACTGCACGTACCTTACTTATTCCTTTATGCAGATTTTAATTTCTCACGTGCGAACGCAATGTCACTGCACGTACCTTACTTATTCCTTTTACAGATTTTAATTTCCACGTGCGAACGCAATGTCACTGCACGTACCTTACTTATTCCTTTGCAAGTTTGAATTTTAAACGTGCGAACGCAATGTCACTGCACGTACCTTACTTATTCCTTTGCAAAATTTAAATTTTAAACGTGCGAACGCAATGTCACTGCACGTACCTTACTTATTCCTTTGCAAATTTGAATTGTAAACGTGCGAACGCAATGTCACTGCACGTACCTTACTTATTCCTTTGCAAAATTTAAATTTTAAACGTGCGAACGCAATGTCACTGCACGTACCTTACTTATTCCTTTGCAAGTTTGAATTTTAAACGTGCGAACGCAATGTCACTGCACGTACCTTACTTATTCCTTTGCAAAATTTAAATTTTAAACGTGCGAACGCAATGTCACTGCACGTACCTTACTTATTCCTTTGCAAATTTGAATTTTAAACGTGCGAACGCAATGTCACTGCACGTACCTTACTTATTCCTTTGCAAATTTTAAATTTTAAACGTGCGAACGCAATGTCACTGCACGTACCTTACTTATTCCTTTGCAGATTTGAATTTTAAACGTGCGAACGCAATGTCACTGCACGTACCTTACTTATTCCTTTGCAAATGTTAAATTTTAAACGTGCGAACGCAATGTCACTGCACGTACCTTACTTATTCCTTTGCAGATTTTAATTTCTCACGTGCGAACGCAATGTCACTGCACGTATACCTGAAAATGATTGTTATCTTGCCCGCTCGTGAACATTTTATACCCCAAAGAAATTATGTATCCGGGCACCATTCCAGTGGATCGTTCAAATATCACAAAACGATTATGAAATCAGATTTCAATTTAAAAGCAAAATTTCTGATACCGACAAAAATACACCAGTACTTTCAATTTTAGGAATAAAATTATTTGACAAGGCAGAAGGCACGGTGTCATCGATCATCATGCAATCTGCGTTTTAGTCTTATTTAAACTGTTTCATGAAAACTCTGAAACTTTTAGGGTATGATGGCTTAGGTAGAATTCAATACTTAAGGTAGCCTCCTCTCTGGGGTTTCTGTAGAGGCTATGTAAAAGTGTGATCTTTTCGAGCCAAAAAAGAGAGAAGATTACCTATATGGGTATGAACGGAAACCGATTCCGTTCACAATTCCTACACCTTATGTCCTGACAAATAAGTCGAGTTAACGCCTAACCCCCTCCCCCATCCCCACCCATTATCGCGCTGCTTAGAGGCTCGATGAGCGCATGCTTGCAGCGGGTTGTGCTTGCTCCTAATATAGGCCCTATCATTTGCTAACATTTATCTAGATTTTTTTGCCGATAATTATTCGGAGCATGCTCACGAAATCGCGTGGGTAAAGTTTCTCCGGTATAAAAAAAATGACCTTGAATTTAATAAGACCTAGAGGGGAAGATTTTTATTTGACATTTTTATTTTAGATTTGTATTAGTACGGATGTATTACGTATGAACACGATAGTATCAAGTAAGCAGGTGATAATATTAATTTACGCACGTATGTAAAATCATCATGTACGCACACGATAATATTACATACGGATGCGTATTATAGTGAACTAGTGATGAATATAGGGCGTACGTACGTGATCATACATCACGTACAACTAGATACGCAATATTACTGGGTACATATGTAATTAAATAACGTGCGTACGTGATTATATTACGTACGTAATTACGTAGTGATAATATTACATTACGTACGTACGCAATAATATTGCGTACGTACGCGATCATATAATATTAAGTACCTACGCAATATACATACGAAATCAAAAACGTACTTATTATTACATACATATGTGAAAATATTATATTATGCAGGCCTACGTACGCAATATTATTGCCTACGCAATAATTGCGTATGCAATATAATTGTCTACGTGATCACATAATATAACATACCAACGTAATATTGCCGAGGGCATACGAAATACAAACACGTACGGGCGTGATTATATTGCGTATGTAATTATCATCACTTACTTACGTAATAATAGTATATTACGTACCAAATGTACGTCCGCAATATAATTGCGTACGTACGTGATAAAAAATTATTTATATTATCAAATGCGAACGTGATAACATCATGTACGTACGTAATACGAAAATAAAATATTCAAGTCCCCTATATCCCCTTGCCTCTAGGTCTTGGTATGTATTTGCGTTGGGTTTTACTTTCACATTTTGGCTTAGAATTTGTTCAGAGAAAGTTCAATCACCAAAATGAAAAGGCGGTAATACGCGGTAGAGGTTTACCTTCTAAACGCTTTCGAATCTCGATGGTATTAGACCGAATTTAAATCGAATTCCTGACCCTAACCAGACACTATCCCTATCACACACTCCTAGCCTAAGCAACTGGCTGCTTGGCGCTGCTGCTTAATAATGCACGCGAGCTGCCTCTGCACCCCTCCAAACTTTACAAAATCCCAATTTATTTCTTGGTTATACACTTTTCCCCAGATTGTTCATACTTTTATAACATGTTTAGGTTCCACTTTTCCCCATGATGTGGAGTTTTATAAACAAGGAGATCAATGTGACAATGAAGGAGACACTGTCACAGGTTTTCTCTATCATCAATTTCCCCACTTTTTTAAATTGTAAAAAAAAAAGTTATAAATTGAAAGTACTGGTGTAAAGTATAGCGATGGTATTTAAAAATTCAGGAACAAGAGTTTGAAAAGGAAACTTTCCACTGAAATGCAACCCGGCTTGAAAAAATAGTAATTATAAATAGCTGTCAAGTTTATTGTGCGATTTATTATTCTTTTTTACAACATTTAGTTAATTTTAAGGAGTTCTTCGTTTCAGGTGACGAACTAATTTTTCTTCACAGATTCCTCCAAATAAGAAGTGTTTTCCAGCCCATGATAAAGTGTTTATTCGCTCAGCTTGCAAAAATGTTTGAACAACCAAAACTTTCTGGGATTAACGGATACTATGGCCACGCCCACTGTTTTCATTGTCAACGTGCAAACACAATGTCAATGTCACTGCACGTACCTAACTTTTATTCCTTGGTAAATTTGAATTCCTCACGTGCGAACGCAATGTCACTGCACGTACCTTACTTATTCCTTTGCAAATTTGAATTTTAAACGTGCGAACGCAATGTCACTGCACGTACCATACTTATTCATGTGCAAAATTTGAATTTTAAACGTGCGAACGCAATGTCACTGCACGTACCATATACTTATTCCTATGCAAATTTGAATTTTAAACGTGCGAACGCAATGTCACTGCACGTACATTACTTATTCCTTGGTAAATTTGTATGTCCCCGTGCGAACGCTATGTCACCGCACGTGCCAGATCTTAACATTTTTATGCAATATTAAACGATGTCTTGCACATAAAACATATAATTCGAACATGTAACATTAAGACATACCTTGTGCTCATACTTGGCGCTGATCTTGGTGCAAGACAAGTGATATGGTCAACACCAACCACTAACACACATGTTAAACTAAAATAAACTTACAGAACTAAGCTCAAAGTTTTACCAAATTAAATTACAGGCAATGCACAAAATAGTACAGTGAAAGTGTATGTGTGAGCTTGAGGCGCACAATGACATGCAGTCAACGCTGTGAAACAACTAGTCTAAGACGCCACCCAGGATGCTACACTGTAGGGATCAGTGAGGCATGAATGTAACAATACGTGCGCGTATTCTAAACACGCTATTTGCATAATTGCCTCCAGCGCAAGCATGGACAATTTTTTTTAGAATTGCGAATCAGACGAAAGAATGCTAATGACGTAATCCTAATAATGGGCGACTGCTGGTCACTGCAGTCCGTGGCGCGGCTTATGAAATCGAGACCGACTGTACCTGTGTTCCAAAGCACCAAATGTTCTATATTGGCCATACAAAGCATATTTAAGAAGGGTGGACACCATGCAAGTTGTTTTGGAAGTGTACCTTATTATAGAAAATGGCCGCTGTGTCATGTATTTATCCATATTGTAATTGGTGCATTAAAAAATTTAAAGTATAGTTTGGATAATCTTTTTAAATATCCTTTTTTACAAAATTTATAAGTCATTGACAATATGAGGAAATATCCAAAATAGCTACACCATTATGATCTTATGAGTGCATTTTCCCCCACAGATTTCATCAAATAGACTTATACAGAAGTCTTCAAACCTGAGGTGATGAGCTTTAAAATTTTGACACTGACATTATTATAAACAACCTGAATCTCTTAGTTTGGGGATTTCTTCAAACTTGAACTTGTTCAAGCCCTTTACGTTATGCAACCCTTCGCCTGATTTTTAGCCCAATTCCCGGACACGTCTTATTGGGCTAAATATCCGTGACGATGGGACGTGAACAGACTGGCAAATATTTCCTGACGACGATTGGAGCTCGGGGCAGGGAGGGGGGGCTAAACTTCTCAAAGGTTATCCCCATCTCGGCAAAATAAAAACGATTCAAGAAACGAAAAGGTCACCAGATTTTGTTTTCGCCAGGGAAAATTTCCAGTTTTTCTCGAGAGAAGTCGGGAGATGTTCCTGAAATTCTGTGTGTGTTGCGGGAAAGACTTAGTACATTTAGCAACACTATCGCGGGAAAGAATAAAATCGGGACCAAGGATTAATCATGGTTGCTTGGTTTATATCACCGATTTAAATCAAATCATTTCATGAAGGCGAGGGGGGGGGCTGAGCCTGGTCAACTCCTGTATTAGCGTCAGCACTCGATAATATCCTCCAAATATATTGTTCCCCTATAACCTAAACGGCGAAAATACAAAATATAACATGTGGGCTGAGAGCCGTACGAGCGCGAGCAGAAGGAGCTGGGGCGTTCCCTCAACCGAACTGCCCCGTTCAACGTTCCCTCTGACTCCAGGCAGGGGTCGCAGCCCATGGGTCTGGTTCAAACGTTACCCACTGAATTCATAACTAACAACACAATCCCCGACGATTGAAATATTAAAGGCCTATAGAGCCATTTAAAAGGGATACTTTAATAAATCAGAAAATTCGCTGAAATAAAACGTAGTACTTTTAGCCGTGCACAGAAAGATATTGAATGCTTCGAGTGGTGTAGTAAAACTAGCCTCCCGAGGTGATCCATGGACCATTCTATTTTCCCGAGGCGAAGCCGAGGGAAAATAGAATGGTCCATGGATCACCGAGGAAAGCGGCGGGCAGCCGTGTTATTCACAAAATCAAATAAATGTCAGGTAGCACCAAAGGCAGCACTTAAATGACTAACTAGAGGAAAGAATACAGTCTCAGGAACCTACATCCTTATTTAATAATACAAAAGAATTCGAATTTTGTGTCAAAAGAAATTCAACCACAATCTACACAAAGCCGTCCAACACAGAACACAAAAACCAAACAGTCATTGGCATACTTTCTAGATACTTTTAATTGAAAATATATAACTCCAAAATCTTGAGAAAAAAAACAAACAAACAGATCTGCTTGACAAACATTTTATTATACAAGTTTTTTTTTTGCAAATTCTTTTTTTCAAAAACAAAATAAATAACTGTACAGAATGCAATGTGCACTTGTCACATTCTTTGTAAAGGCTGCACTCGGGTATCACGAAGCTAAAGGTGAAGGAGTGTCGACTGTTTCGAATGATTTCCAACTAGCTCTCGGCGATATTTGAATCATTTCCACTAGTTGGGTCAAATTGTTCATTTTATTAAAACAACCCAGGACACGGCCACAGTTATTCTGACACTGAGAGAGGTACGTTTTTACTATTTCACTTTGGGGGGGGGGCCTTCAGGGGCTCGGGAGGGTCTCCTTGCCTAAAGAGAGTTTTGTTTCAATTTTTTTTCGTAAACAAAATTGCCAGAAAACTTCCTTCCAGGCTGAAAGTGTTGACAAATTGTGACCATTTCTGGGAAAAAAATGTTGCAAGTGACAGCACTTTTTTTTCTTCATATTATCATGTCAATGAAGGCCCATCATTGCAAAAATGATGATAAGACATGATTTTTGGGACTGAGAAACATTTCCCATTTTGTTAGGAAATAGAATATTTTCTTGACTCTCCATAGACTTTGTACGCAATCGCAGAAGTGGCGTCAGGTTGCAACATTTTTTTCCCATTTCTGGGTACTGTAGGTGTCTCTCTCTCTCTCTCTCTTAGTGTTGCACAGAACACAAAGTAAAATTAATAACACTTTGCAATCATGAATGTGAGGAGCAGTGGGTGTGGGCTGAGGAAGGGGTGGCCGAGGTGTGGGCTGAGGGAGGGGTGGGGTTGGGGCTGAGGGAGGGGTGGGGTTGGGGCTGAGGGAGGGATGGGGTTGGGGCTGAGGGAGGGATGGGGTTGGGGCTGAGGGAGGGATGGGGTGTGGGCTGAGGGAGGGGTGGGGTTGGGGCTGAGGGAGGGGTGGGGTTGGGGCTGAGGGAGGGGTGGGGTTGGGGCTGAGGGAGGGGTGGGGTTGGGGCTGAGGGAGGGGTGGGGTTGGGGCTGAGGGAGGGGTGGGGTTGGGGCTGAGGGAGGGGTGGGGTTGGGGCTGAGGGAGGGGTGGGGTTGGGGCTGAGGGAGGGGTGGGGTTGGGGCTGAGGGAGGGGTGGGTTGGGGCTGAGGGAGGGGTGGGGTGTGGGCTGAGGGAGGGGTGGGGTGTGGGCTGAGGGAGGGGTGGGGTTGGGGCTGAGGGAGGGGTGGGGTTGGGGCTGAGGGAGGGGTGGGTTGGGGCTGAGGGAGGGATGGGGTTTGGGCTGAGGGAGGGGTGGGGTTGGGGCTGAGGGAGGGGTGGGGTTGGGGCTGAGGGAGGGGTGGGGTTGGGGCTGAAGGAGGGGTGGGGTTGGGGCTGAGGGAGGGGTGGGGTTGGGGCTGAGGGAGGGATGGGGTGTGGGCTGAGGGAGGGGTGGGGTTGGGGCTGAGGGAGGGGTGGGGTTGGGGCTGAGGGAGGGGTGGGTTGGTGCTGAGGGAGGGATGGGGTGTGGGCCGAGGGAGCGGGGTGGGCTTGGGGCTGAGGGAGGGGTGGGGTTGGGGCTTCTCCTCTATCGTCTCTTTCTTAATCTCCATCTGGTTTCTTCTTGACTTGTTTGATTCCCTTCCAGTAGTAGAACTTGTCAAAGGTGCTCTTGTACTTCTTGACAAACTGCCTTCGGATCTCCTCGTCCTCGGTGATGACCCGGGTCAGGGGGGTGGGGTTGGCTGCCACAGCCGCCAAGTCAAAGATTGGAAAGATGCTGGAGAGAGGGGGAAAAAATGCACATCGGTAATCACCTTGTTGTAGCCATATTTGTCATCTCAGTGACTCTTTTCTGAAACGGGCTTCCAGAGCTACGGCTAACGCCATTGTTATGCATTTGTAAGCTTGGTTTGGTCCCCACAGTCAGGCATTACAATTGGCTGCTGGGCACCAGGCAAACTGGCGAATATGAACTGATATGAAAGAGGGTGCCAGTGGCTGTGTAAAAATAATTCCACATGAAAGGTTAACACACTTTTTAATCAGCAGATGGGATGTTGCCTGTCCTCCATATTATGTAACCAGTAGAATGGCTTGATTTGATTAGAGTCGTTGGCAGATATACATATATTTGCTTATGAGAGCCAGCCTCATAATCTTGTCAGTTGTATAATATCTCGCTAGTGGACTGATAAAGCCCAAGGCAACTTAGTGATATTTAACCCAATTCCTGATAACCCCAAACAGAAATATGACCAGCTCATCACATTCAGAAACAAGTGTGATTATGTGTTGGCTGCATCAATCTTTTTGTGACTGTTGAAGTCAAGCAATATTTATGATTAGGAAGAGTTAAAAGAGGAGTTGGGGCTTAATAACAGCTTAATGAATGCTTAATGTGGCAAAACTCGCGTTTTGATTTAACTATAATAATGAAATGGGAATGAATTAACCTTTCATTTTGGTATATCATGGACCTCTGCTTGTTGCATTCTGTCAAGGTTGTACAAAGCTAGAAATGTCTCAACAGAGAAAAAAAGTTTTAAAAATGACAAATTTACATTACCTAAGGCCAAAAAAATTAAGTCTCCAGTTTCTGGTATGCGCGCGCGTCGCCGCAGCCATGCGCGTCGGCAAAATGAAAAAGGTTTTTTTTCAATACAAGATGATCTCTCAAAACCGCCAAACTCACTGGTTTGACTGGAATCCTGCTGCTGCACAATTTTAATGTGTTTTTAGATGAAGTTATGATCGAGAATAAGCTTTATGTGGCCTCTCTGGGCTCCCATATATTTGCACTAAGTTTAGTCGGGCACCATTTGCAGTCATCAGCCGACATTTGAAGCAAAAAAAAAAAAAGAACAGGTAAAAAAAAAAAAACAGCCTCGTCGCCGCACCACTTTTGGGGCAAGCTCCATACCAGAAACCGGAGACTTTTTTTTTTGGCCTAACCAAGAACGCACCAAAAATCCTAATTTTGTTAGTCTTTTTTCGTACAATATTTAAAACTCTTTGTAGGACATTTAAACTAAAACTACCAAACAACCAAAAATAAAAAAAAAAAATTCAAATCCAATATTTACTGTTACCATTTCAAAATGGCAAAAGCTTGAATTCAGATTATGCGACATTTTTGCAGAGCAGGTAACATTTATGTATTTTAAAAGCAAGAATTGCCCTTACTCTTTCCTTTTGGTGAAATTCTCAGCTGCAAACTTGCTAGTGTATTCCCTAGACACTGCCTGGCCCAGCACCACGCAGTTCAGTGTGGATAACGTCTCCTCTCTGCTCAGACCGAGCCGGATGCAGAGGTTAACGAAAGAATATAGGACCATCTCTGCCCACTTGTCATCTGTACTCAGAATTGCATCTAAAGGGTAAAAAGAAATCATGGCAGGGCTTAGGATTAAGAATTTCATTGTTTCTTTATTTAATGTTAATTTTAACAGCCCCATCTTTTGTCTAAGAACTATCTCCCTGGAGGCCGTTGGTTACAATCAAATGTATAAAACACAGAAAAGAAAAGCGAAAAATTTAGTTTTAAAATGCAAACAGGTAACATTGATGCGGATGAAAACCAGTGCGATACGAAACTGGTTAAAAAGATTCACACTAGTGATAAAATGCCAGTAACTATATAAAGTCAGATAAATACCATTAATTTTTTTTTAAATGGTAACATTAGCTAATATTGACACCCCCCCCCCAATAAAAAAACAATTAAAAAGGCATCAATTCACAAAGGGAAAATTAGCTAAAACAACCAAGTAGGCCTAAAGGACACGTAAAAGAGAAAAGATTTGCTGTCTTTGATGAGTTCAGATATCAATATGTGATCAGGTCTAGAAAAATTGGACTGAAGATTCATCAATTGAAAAATGGGGAATTTAACGCCAATTATGAAAATGTACCTCACAGAATGTATTACTCAGACACATGGATTTTATAAGGTGTAATATTTGACAATTGGCTTGCCATTTGGCTTCTCAACAGTCTAAGTTGCCAATATAGACTTTCTTTTACTGAAAAACATATTTGGTGCCTTTTTTACATTTTTGGTTCTCGTGTTGTTTTTCCATTAAAAACAGTTGATGAGTTTCCCAAAGAAAAAAAATCTTTGGACAAAAGGTTGTTTTGTGCACTAGTCCCAGTGCAAGTCTTCCATGACCTGCTTGTGATGATATTAGACGAAATAAAAAAGCAAACATCTTTAGCGTCCCCGCCTGCTTCCTTTTTAAAGGCCTGAGTCCAAGTGAGGGCCATTAAAGAAAAAGATGGCGGCCAACTTGAAAATACCCCGGTCGGTCGTTTTGGAAAATGGGTCAGGCAGCCATTTCGGGGGAAGAACCTCCTCCTTCCTTTTTTTTCAATAAGGCAGGACGCTAAACGTGTGATTTTTTTATTATTTGGCCTTACACTCACAAATAATTTTGAATATCCACTTCTTCAAAACAAAGAGTTGCAGGAAAACAATTACGACAAATAACCAAGAAAATGAGCACACTGTGTCAAATGGAAGTAGGATTCATCTATGTCATGTTTACACTGTTCTTCTTTCTGTCATATCTGCACAGAGATAAGCCATATTGTCTTTCGTTATCTGCATAATCCTCCATCATAAGACTGTCTTTGGTTACCAGTACAAAATGTCGTACGATGTACATGTATATTGCTTGCAACTGGTTTTCAAATATAAATACTGGCTTTACTTGCTAAGCAATTTTTTCTACTCACAAGCTCAACAAATTTACAGAGCTTTTTTGCAGGTGTCAACTATAATATTGTCTGCTTTACAATATTATTCATAAGATGGAATTTTGCGTCGGGGTGATGTAAATCAAATTAGGTTTTGCCCTTCACCGACGTATAAACACTGTATACTCAGTGTGTTACCTCCCGAGTGAAAGTTGGAAAAAATCACTCGGGTGGGACTCGAACCCACGACCTCCTGCTTTCTAGTGCAGATGCCTTACCACTCGACCACCGAGCTAACGGGATCAGTTGGCTGGTTTGAATCTGATGTACATAGCAGCAGGTACCGCATTAATTATTCATAATATGGAATTTTGCGTCTGGGTGATGTAAATAAAATTAGGTTTTGCCCTTCACCGACGTATAAACACTGTATACTCAGTGTGTTACCTCCCGAGTGAAAGTTGGAAAAAATCACTCGGGTGGGACTCGAACCCACGACCTCCTGCTTTCTAGTGCAGATGCCTTACCACTCGACCACCGAGCTAACGGGATCTGTTGGCTGGTTCGAATCTGATGTACATAGCAGCAGGTACCGCATTACTTATTCATAATATGGAATTTTGCGTCTGGGTGATGTAAATAAAATTAGGTTTTGCCCTTCACCGACGTATAAACACTGTATGCTCAGTGTGTATTTCCTTCATTAGATGAGGATTCTTAAAGACTTCTTGGATGTAAGATTCAAACTTCAGTCTCAGTAAACGTAGTCCAATAAACGTAGTCCAAGTCATATCAGAAAAGGCACGTATCAAAAATGTACAGAGACACAAATTGACATTCAGAACTTGTGACTCGCAAGTCTGACTTTTAGATAAAAATCATAACATATGCCCTTCAGGAACCCTGGCCATGAAGAGTGAACATTAGCAAATACATACACGTACCTTCTTTGTCTAAACTGAGTGGACAGGTGGCCTGCACCTGCTGTGAGTTTTCCAGAGTGGTGCAGACATCCTTGCTGCAGTCCCACGGCTTGTCAGCCTTATCAGGTGGCAAAGAGAACTCCGGCTTGATTAGGCTGCTACACTTGATCACCTGTGGAATATGAACAGCCAAACATAAACACCAGCAGAAAAAAAATGGCAAGAGCAGGATTCGAACCTGCCCCATCCAGTTCAAAAGGTAGTTTTTTTATACATAGAAACAAAGAGTTCAAGTTCAACTAAAACAAAATTTCATATTGGTTAAACAGGTTAATCACAAATTTTTTCTCATGAATAGTCGCTGTAAATCAACTTTTATACTCTATGAATAAAAAACTGTGTTCCCAACACTTTATGAAAACCAAAAAAATTCTTGAGAAATTTCCAAAATTTCGTGAGAAATATTTAAATTTTTCAATAACGAGGACGCTGGGAAGTCAAGGGGAAGTGTAGCTACTTCAAGTGTTATTGCCTGGAGTTATTCACACGACATACATGTAAACACTAAAAAGCTACCATAGCCAGTAAATCAATGGACAAAAATTGGATACATGGCACAAGACGCACAAACTTCAAACTGGCAAAAAAATTTCCTTTCTGGGTCACTGTCAAATTCCCTGACTTTTCTCCAAATTGTTGATGTTTTTCCCCAAATTCCCTGAGTTTTCCCTGACTGGCAAAATGCAAACTTGTTTTCAAGTTTATCCCTGATTTCCAGAGTGGTTGGGAACCATGAAGAAAAAAAGTAGGAAGGGCTATAGAATACCCATGATACTGAGCAAACACCAAATAAAGGGGCTTGCAAACAACATTATGGTAGCTGAAAGTAAATTGTCCAACCATTGGTAAGAATTTGTCCTTTACAAAACAAAGACTAGTAAACAGGTGTACAGTCACTCATCTGTTTTATTTTTTTTATATATAAATAGCATTATGCAAGTCATGGTCATGTGAGAAATCAACTTGATAACCTTGCTGCCCCTGTCTATTTTGGTATCCAAAATTAGTGCTTACTTAACACAAGCACAAATGTATTGCAAATCTGTGACGTCAGTGGCAAATATTTGCAATCTGAATTTGCAAAAGCTTAAAGGTACAGTCCATCGTTTGCAATTTGTGCATTTGGTTTTGAAGCAACAAAAGTGCTCAAAATCTAAAGAAGGGTGCTGAACATTAATTACATTAGTATCTCCACCATGCAAATCTTACTTAACCTGATGAACTTTCAGCTCGACCAGCTTCAGCTGTATATTTCGAGAAAAACAACATTCTAGGATCTCAATTTCAAATCAAAATTTGCTGAATCAAGTTTTGAATTGGGCCTGAATTCAGCGTCCGAAACACGTTTTCACTTAGCTGATTGCAGCTACACCACGTCGCGCACTGATCCGAGGAATTAAAGCAACCGAGTGCGTGTGCGTAGTGTCGACGCTTGTGCACGCTTCACCAAATAAAAAAAAAAATTCTAATGGATATTTCCAACTTTTAATAGACGCATCGTTGGAAAGGCCTTCTTTTGTTGATTTCTTCAAATGACAGCATGCCAAAAAATTCATTTCACAGGGAGTTTAGTTCCCTTACTATCTTTCAACCAAGTATGTTTTTCAACAATAATTACATCAGTTACATTTTGGATAGCTGCAAATGATGGACTGTAGCTTTAACTCATTACAACTCCGGTCAATTTTTGTACTGCTTATGTTTCCTATTGTCAAACTCACTTCGGACTTGCATACCAGCCTCAGGGTAAAGTTGTTGTGGAGTTCACCACAAGTCCGCTTCAAGTCAAATCACAAGTCAATATTATTCCCCAGGTTTGCAGCATTGCTAATGTTTCTAGCATTGTGACTTTGGGCGTGATCCCTGGCTACATGGCATATACGGGTTTATGGCTTCTGACTAGCGCCCCTTGAACAAAGACTTTGACAAACTGGGCAACCGCCAACAGGGCTGGATAGCTCAGTTGGTAGAGCACCGGAATGGCAATCTGGAGGTCACGGGTTCAAACCCAGTCAAATTCTTTGTTCAACTTTACAATAAAGTCAATATCAAACTGGCACTTAAGGTATAAGTAATGGGCTGTACAATGGAGTACCTCTGAATACAGCTTGTGACTCGACTTGTAATTGACTTACGATTGATCTGTGATTGACTTGCAATTGACTCGTGATTTCCTGTGATGACAATGTAAACAATGAAGAAAGGCCTTTGCATTGCTTGAGACTTGGCAGACTTGCAATTGGCTTGTGAGGTCTTGTGAGCACTTGTTAGGACTTGTGATGGACTTGTGAGGACTTGTGTGGACTTGTGATGGACTTGTGAGGACTTGCGAGGACTTGTGGGTACTTGTGAGGACTTGTGATGGACTTGTGATGGACTTGTGAGGACTTGAGAGGTCTTGTGAGAACTTGTGAGGACTTGTGATGGACTTGTGGGGACTTGTGAGGACTTGTGATGACTTGTGAGGACTTGTGAGGACTTGTGAGGACTTGTGATGGACTTGTGGGGACTTGTGAGGACTTGTAGTGGACTTGTAGTGGACTTGTGATGGACTTGTGAGGGCTAAATGTGAGGACTTCACTACAACTAAATTTGCCTTAGGGAAACCTCACTCATTCAGTCAACTTCTTCATTTTACTTTATTTCACATCTCGGCCTCACCTGTCTTAACCTTGGGATGGGTACAGAGCTGAGGAAGGTGTAGACAGTACAATGGGCCGGGACGATCCCCTTGATATCATCAGCAATGTCGGGCAGCTGCGATGGCAGCACACAGAGAAAGAGAAGATGCACGGAGGTGGCAACCTTGGCGTTGTTGTAGACACAGCTAACACCTCTGTCTTTCAAAGTGCCTGTTCAAGATGTTGAGTTTCTTAGACTGCTGTCAGTTTAAGCTCTAGCTAGATACCTGATATATGGGTCATTCTATATAATACAACACCTGAATAAATCCCCGTCATCTGATTGGTGGATCGTTGATAACATATCATTGAATTATTCGTACCAATGCACGACGTGCGCGTGGCGCGCAGCGCACAGTGCAATGGAAGTACTATTGCACTGTGATTAGAAGTACCATTGCACTGTCACTGCACATGTTGCCGATGGTGGCGCTGTGGTGTTTAAATTGGCAATAAAAGTTCTGAACTTATTGAACTGTTTGAGTTCTAAACTTATGGAAAAGTTATAAATTGAGAAAAATTGAATATGATAACTCTGAACTCGTTAAACTTGTAAACAATTTTTAACTTGAATAAATTGGCTATTAAAAGTCAACCAATCAGATGACGAGGATTTATTCAGGTGTTATGAAAAACAAATAATGAATGTTTCACGTTCGTGCAATAGAAAGAATAATTTCATTTGGCGACAGATGAAATGTTCCATTCCACTCGGCTTCGCCTCGTGGAATGGAACATTTCATTCGTCACCGAATGAAATTATTCTAACCATTGCACTCGTAAACATTCATTATTTGTATAATGTTGGGGTCCACTTTTTTTCCTGTCCCTGTTACATCTGGCGTTTTATACTTCTAATGCACTCTTTAATGAAGTCACTCTCCAAGAGTGATTATGAATAACAACCTTAACCCACCAAATGAAAGAATCAGTTGAAGTCATTCTTAATATTTGAATGGTATCTAAAGTACCAAGGTATTACAGGGACAGGAATTTAAAGAAGCTGATCCCGTATTGAGGTGAATTGAACGCATGTACGCTTACTGATCTCTGACTCTATATCTGACATTGTTCAGACTGAACCTGTGCTCTGGGAACTTGTGCATAATTAAGCTTCCCAAGAAATAAAAAAATACTGAATTAAAGACAGTTTTAGTGATAGAATCTGAATTTTCTTAAATGATTTCAAGTGAACTAAAAGCAGCAAAATGTCCAAAACGTCAAGTATTTTGGACAAACTATTATCCCACCTCAAGCACAAGATTATAAAAAGGCTTGTAACAAAAATTCTCAGTAAGGCCAAAAACAAAAAGTCTCCGGTTTCTGGTATGCGCGTGCGTATCCGTAGCCATGTGCGTCGGCACTTTTTTTTTCAATGAAAGATGATGTCTCAAAACAGCCAAACTCACTTATTTGACTAGAATCCTGCTACTGCACAATGTTTTTAGATTGGGTCATGGTCGAGAATAAGCTTTATGTGGCCACTCTGGACTCCCATATATTTGCACTAAGTTTTGTCGGGCATCATTTGCAGTCATCAGCCGACATTTGAAGCAAAAAAATCAGGTAAAAAAAAAAAAAAAGCCGCCTCACCACACCACTTTTTGGGCAAGCTCCATACCAGAAACTGGAGACTTTTTTTTTGGCCTAAGAAACTTGCTTCGATTAGGAAAGAAAAAGAACAGCTTTAATTTCACTACCTGATGCGCATTTCCAGCGTTATGAAAGGAAGTGCATTGTCTGTGACAGAGCTAATTAACCATGATATCTTATTTAATGATACAGAAATGTGTTCCAAAACTCGTAGTCTGTAATCTCCGTGACATTTGTAGATGATGGATGAATAAGATTTGAAAAATACATTTTGTGGTTTATTCACTGAGCTCTTAGAAACTGTGTCACAGACATGACATAATGCTAAAATTGCCTAGTTAAGAAAAAAAAATGACGAAGATTTTTAGGCTTTCAAATAAAAATAAATACAATCTCTTTATACCGAGAGTTTCAGGCCGTCTTGTTGAGACAAACAGCTCCTTGGGTTGGACATCAGCGTATGTCAGCAAGGCGTTGGCAAGATGGAGACCAATACGGCCGCATCCGATGATGCCGACTAGGAGCGGATCCCTGGGTGGGGCATCTTGGAGGAACTTGGACGTCTTGGACTGTTGGGGGCTCCTCAGCTCGAGGATGTGCTGTCTGGAATCAAAGCAAATGCAACGTCCGTTTAGTGTAGTTAGGAGTCATTTCATTGAACATCCAGGATAATTTGTGGGCAAGTTTATCCAAAATGGCCCATCAAACTAGCTTGGAATACCCACCCCTAACATGTCTATGGCTCATGATATCCATGGGGTAAAAGGCGAATCTCCCATGTCATGACTCTATACTGGAGCTACATCATACATGTTAAAATGAATGCAGTTGCAGGTTCCAAACAATTTCTCAAGAAACTTCAACAAATGAAGTTTAAGCATTCTTTAAGAACTTTACTTATTTTTAATCTATCGCGGTTACGCGGTAGAATCGTGATATAGGCCTACAACCTACAAATGGACACGGAATGCGCAAAATCTGAGAAAAACAAAACGTACAAAATTCCATAGAGTTAAGGGTCGTGGCCAATCTCCCAAAACAACAAATTTGGGACATTTAAAACCAACAGGACTGTCGTGGATTAGAGTTAGAGGGCAGATGGCCAGAGACAGTGTAGATTTTTTAGGGAAATTTTTGTGTTAATACTATTAATATTAATAGCGATGAAGAAGATGACAAAAATACTAGGCCTACATGAAAATAAAGATGGTGATCAAGTTCAACGGGATGCATAATCATGACAATGTACACGCAAAACTGCATTGATTCGCTTGGTTCCAACACACTGTGACCAACCGTAAAACGCATCGGAAAATCGCATTTTCAAAAATCCCCCCCCCCCCCCGCAAGAAACACGTCACTCACTGTTCAAAATTAGGATTGAAAATGAAATGATACCATTAAAATTTTAAGAGAAGTCTGCTTTAGCTTAGGCTTAGTTTGAAAGTCATTTTTGGAATGATAAAAAAAACACCCTCGAGTCTAAACTTGATCAAAACTTAAGAGGGGGCGCACACTACACAATCGCCGAAGGTTTTCAGACGTGTCGGATTGTTTTTAATTTTCACGAAACGGATGAAGTGGGAAATCGCATGAATGTTTACCTCGCTTCGTTTAAAACAGCGGCAAAATACGTTGCCTGCGCACACGCCGAAACGGTGATCGCATGAGACCTCGTTCGTAAAACAAGATATTGTGCTTCTTCCTCGGATATTGCATTTTCAAACTTCAAAGAGGGTAAATCTCTTGTGATATCGCCGATGGAATTGCCGATCTCCACGGACGCCATGTTCGTCTCCAGGCAGGGCGTTGCATGATGGGATAGAAAGTAACTAATAAACTTGCCCAAGTCGATGTGTACGTGTATTGTTGATGTACCCTAACGTGGCGCGGCCCCTAACATGGCGCACTTTGATTTTTCGCCTGTAGCGCGTAGCTAGAGCAAAAGGGGACTGAAATTTCACAGAAAGTGGAATTTCATCAAGTTCTAAACACTCCTGTTCATAAACAGGAGTGTTTTTCATTGTTCGCGAATTTATCTACCCGTTACAAAGTTAGAAGAAAAATATATTTTGGTGGGATTTTCTGATTTTATTTTGAAGTGCAAAGTGAACACTTTGAAAATGCCCTGACAAATAAGAAAATAATTTTCTGACAAACTTCCGATTGGGTATGTAAGTAGAGATAATAATTGTTTATCAGAATTTATCAACTTCACAGAGCGCCTAGCTAGAGCAAAAGTTTTATCTGAAATTTCACAGAAAGTGGAATTTAGAAGAAAAATATATTTTGGCGTGATTTTATGATTTTATTTTGAAGTGAAAAGTGAACACTTTGAAAATGCCCTGAAAAATAAGAAGAAAAAAATTCTGACAAACTTCCGATTGGGTTTGTAAGTAGAGAAACTAATTGTTTATCAGAATTTATCAACTTCACAGAAATCCTTAAATGTAAATTTGGAATTTTCCGAGATTTATTCAAGTGCGCCACGTTGGGGAACACTCAGCGAATTTGTGTGTGCCAAATTTCTAGACGCCACCGTTTTTCAATTACGTATTAAATTTAATGACACCGAAATTGTTCACAGAGGTTAAATATAGCAAGCATTAAGGTAAGAGTACCAGTAATTCACTGCATGAATTTTAGGTTTGTCAACAAAGAGGTTTGGCAACACCCGAGGAAAGTCGGGTAAACGTCGAAGTGCGCCACGTTAGGGAACACCACTGTAGAGGTTAATCTGTGTCAAGTACTTTCGACCTTCCCAAAATAATATAGAACATGTTTTAAAAGCCTTTCATTGTGTCTTTTTTTAATTCAGCTGAAAACTACGGAGGTCGCGCGTTCGAGTTCTGACCAAGCACTGTCAATTTTGTTCTCACAAATTTAATATTGTTGATTGTGGCGCGGCCCCTACGCCAATTAAGGTGGCGCACTTTGAGCAAAAGTTTTACCTGAAATTTCACAGTAAGTGAAATTTCATCAGGCTGTAAACATAATAAACATTCCCGTTTATATATCGTGAGTTGATCTACCCATTATAAAGTTAACAGAGAAATTAATTTTAGCGTGATTTTCCGACTTTATTTCGAAGTGCTCATATAACAGTGAACCCTTTGAAAATGCGCCCAAAAATAAGAAAACATTTTTGGGGGGAAACTTCTAGTTGGGTCATGATGGGAGTATAGATATCAGAATTTCAATTAATTTTAAAGAGTCTTAAATATTAACTTGGAATTTCCGAGATTTGTTCAAGTGCGCCGCGTTAGGGAACACTCAGCCGATTTCTTGCGCCCACTTTCCGGACGCCACACCGTTCAAATTGAATTTCATGACACTAAGATTGTTCACAGAGGTTCAACAGCAAGCATTATTAAGGCGGTATTTAACTGAATGAATCTGAAGTTTGTCAACAAAGAAGTTTGGCAACACTGCATTATGCATGATACTATAAAGTCTAGGGAAACGCCGCAGGCGCGGATCCAGAGGGGTCTGGGTTGGGGGGTCAAACCCCCTCCCCCTCCCCCGCTCTGACACCCAAAAAATAATTACCTATATGTCTGCCTGTCCGCAACAATCGAACATGCCCAAAAAATCTGACGCCTGACCCCCCCCCCCCGATCCGCCCCTGCTGATCACTTTTTCGTCTCCTGTCCACGCTTGCGGCTTGCCCACGCTTGTGCCACGCCCTCTCTGCAGAGCTAGAGATCCCAAGATAAAAACGAAACAATTTTGGCTTCTACATAAGATCAAGGTGAATTTGAAACTTAATTTCATTCCAATGCAAATGTTCGAATCTTATAAGAATCAATAGGCCTATACAGATAGTCGTTTCCAAAAGACGCTGCTGACGGTGCTGATTTTTTTCGGACTTTTAATGATCTAATCTGCGCCGAAATAGTAAAACGAACACAGCGGCATGTGTCTTCAACTTCTTGCAGATTTTCAGCGACGCTTGGGGCACTTTGATACAAAGAAACTCTTGGCCGTGATTTCTGCGTGACTTGGAGGGATCGGAAACAATAAATGTGAATTATATCAGGAAATTATTGATTCGGCAACACATTTTGTGCCGCAACAGGAACGTTACTCAATGACATGATTGGGGGATTCCCTATATAAAAATCACGCAATTCCATCACACGCTTTACAACCGACTTTCCAGTGACTTTAAATCGCAATATGAAACTAACTTCCTAAAATGAAATAATAATCATACTTGAATTACACAATAGTTTCTGTTTACAGTCTGGGATATAACCCTTTAAAAATACACAGCAAGGAATGGTGATTTCTAAAAGTTGATTAACTTATGTCATATTTCCCGAAGGAAAAATTCTAGCAGTGAGTCTTAGGCCTACTCCGCAACGCACCTGTTATACAGGCAATGTCAAACTAAAGACGCCATGTCAAGTGAACGTAGGCCTAACTCTCTCTGATGAGGCCCCAACTAGACAATATCGGTCCCACGTTTAATTGAGACGAAGCTTGGAATGTCCCAACTAGGAAAGTCCCATCTTAAATTGGGACGGTCCGGGACCATGGTCTGGTAACTGTTGTTCACAGTTTTCACAGAAAACCCGTAAATTGACGTTAACAGCATTTTCCTGAAATGACATCACAACAACAGCACTCTCAGATCCATTGTCAGTAAAAGCATGGAAAATTGTGTAGAGTTGAAAGAAGTGCATTATTCAATAAAATTAACCGAAAAAAACAGGAAGTCAAATAGTGTTCATACCATAGAGGAGTAGAAAGTTGCACAAAATAATTATGTTCCCAAGTAAAATTCCTGTTATGGGCCCTAAGAAACCAAAAGAACAAGGCAATAAAAACAACGTTCAATCGGGAGGAAAAACGAAAATGACATGGTACAGAGTGTACTAGTAAATACGAATGGAAGAACTCAAGCTCCAAGTCCCAATATATAATTGTTTATTAGTTAGATCAAACTTTGGTTTTGAACGTATTAAACTTTTTTAGGCAACAGAAAAGCAAGCCATTGGCATACATTTGACTTTTCTCCTCATTTTAATAACCCCCTTTTGATATATTAAACTGAAATGTTTTGTTTTCTAAAGGGAATGAGATCTTAAATCAACAATTGTGAATGGCCAATATGTTTTAAAGCTTTATCAATGTCAGTCTTTCAACTGTGCCAGAAACAAAGTCTAAGGATGATAAAAAAAAATATCGCGACATCTCTTAAACGTACCAATATTTATAAGATTATAAATACGAAAATAAAAGCTGAAAAACAAACCACCGCATCATTGCCACCCTCCCACACACAATGACCCTTTGTGCCAACGATTCTCATCTCTCAGTACATGAGAAGTACACGAAGGAAGTGCTGACGTTCACATTAATGTTTGGCGCTGACGTCACACAACCTTTGGCCTGGAGACCCGATTGACCCCCAGCTGCTATGGCAATGCCATTGTATGACGTCAAGGAACTGCGCCTCACATTACCGTTCGATCAACATCACCTATAGACTGGCCCGGTAATGTAAACCACTTGGAGTAACTTGATATGAAAGTTCAGCATGCAGTGTTCGCGCGGCAGAAAGCAATAACTTCCAAATGAGATCATTACCAAAATATACAGTTTCTGGTCATTTTATTTTTAGCGATTATGTAGTTTAGGGCCCCTTTTTCGTTTTAAAGAGTGTTTTGTATTTCCCACATTCTAACGCACTTTCTACTTGATACCATGCGAATCACTGAAGTTTTGTGCCTTGAATCGAATCATTGAAGTTTTGTGCCGTGAATCGCAGTGTTCGCCGTCTTTATTTGCGTTTTGCCGTCTTCGGTCTTCATCCTTTTAACCCCCCCCCCCCCCCCCCAATTTCCCTCAAAAAGTTAAAACCCTGCCCTCTACTCTCTAAATTCCAAAGAGTGAAATTAGGAACTAGACGTTTTAGAGTGAAAATCACTCTCATTTTCGATTGAAATAGTCTGAAAAATGAACCACTCCAGCCGAAGCTCGAGTGAAAACTCGATCTTTACGATTGAAGAGATTTCACTCTAAAACGTCTAGTCCCTAGTTTCCGACTGTGGGAGTGAATCTTTACTCGAATGGAGTGAATTTTCACTCTTTGGAATTTAGAGAGTACCCAAGACATTCATATTGGTATTCAACAATGCTAACTATAGTTGGGTGAGTCTAAGATAAGAACCTAAAACTGAATTGTTCTTTAATATGAACATGGCCCATTGTAGCTACACTCTCAGATAACGGCAATTTGCAATACCCGCGGTATAGGAAGCCAGTAAGCTCAACTGATACGGAATAAAATCAATTCAGTTCAATTCAATCAACCTTTATTTCCATAATGCCACAACCTTTATAAAACAACGTAACAAAGTGAAATAATAAATAATATGACTGTATTAAAAAAGTATATACTTCAGCAGGAGTGGAATACCAGTGTTGTATAGTCGAGTACTTTTTTTTCCGAGTACCGAGACAGCCGAGTAATACTAGGTTACCGAGTACGAGTCGAGAGTAAGAGTACTTGTATTCTGAGTCGAGTACCGAGTACGAGTACTACAACAATGTGGATTACCATGCACCGGTGTTCAGCAAGGGGTTGGGCCAGTGAGTTTCTTTCTATTTGCAGATTTAAAACAAAAAGTAACTCCACAGGACATTTTCTGCCAATGCTTGTTTGCCATCCAGAGAGGCTGAATTTCGATTGTTTAATCAGGTCGAGTTGGAAAGTCCCATGTCGTAATATCGGCCTAAATGGGACGCCACGTCGTGTATGTAGCACGTTTCCTGCATTCCACTAGCATGATCAAACTCCACAAATATCAGGGTTGGTCTTTAATG